TAGAACAGGATCAAACAAATCTTTGCAATACAACAAGTCTTCCATTCTAGGCTTCCACATATGATAATTGGATGAAGTCAATTTAATCATCGTACCAGTACTCGATGACTCTTCCATTTTATTGGTGTAACACCTCAATTACCGAACCGTAGCTTTGATGCCACTGTTGAGGCGGAAAGGGTATAAGCACAACACACTGCGGAAGCGAGCCCCAAGAAAAACTTCTTTCCTACGACCAATAAAATAGGACAACCACCCAAACAAGCAACTAACTCAAGAACTGATAAAATAAAGGAGGCACGCAAATTTACGTGGAAACCCAAATCGGGAAAAACCACGAGACTGTAACAACAGTCAAATCTCCACTATCACAATAATGGGAAAACAGTCTTCACCGACTGGTGGATACACAGGACTTCACCCAAAGGTGGATTACAACAATACTCTTCCACACACACCTATCACAAAGTAGGACTGGAAGGATCTAACCAAAAGAGAGCTAAACCGAAAACTAAACCCTAGCTTTCTTTCTTTTTCTCTCATACAAAAACAATGCACGGCTGCCCCAAACTTTTCTTCTCTTCTTGGCTGAAAACACACCCCTAAAAATTATACCAAAGCTTTGCTTTTATAGAGCAAAAAAACCTAAAAACAAAAAACCAATTAGAGTATGTTTTGTTTCCTAAAACCAAAGCCAAAATTGGCTTGGTTTTATTTGTTTCCTTGTTGACCCAATTAAGGGGAATACCGGGCCCAACAGTTATTCACATATATCCGTGAATTTCTCAATAATTTTCAGCCTCCCTTTGGTGTGAGTTCCAAAGGCAACAAACTTAATTGCAGAAATGACATTGTTGGGAGCAGGGCAATGTACCTTGTTCATAACAAAGGCCATTCATATAAATGTATTCCCATTGGAGTAAGCAAATTAAAAAGTCTAGTAGTTTCTTTACTGCGATTCCCACTGGAGTGATCAAAGACCATAGCCGCACCTTTACAGACGCGTACATACTCAAGAGTAACCTCGGGTGGATGGCATTTTAAATAGATGTCGTTTTTGCTAAACACGACTTCTGTTCTAGTATTTTAACTTGGCACAACCTAAGTTTGATGATAAAATGCTCCAAAGTCCAAACAGAATGTAGATGTTTTGAGCTTCTTTTTGTTTAATCTATCATGGATCAGCAAATTTTTCAATCTGCAGCATACCACTCAGCCAAAAAACAGGAAGAAATTAGATGAAAGAGTGGACCTGAGATAGTAATAATGGGACCTCATTGGGATCTGAACAAACTTTTCTGTTGCTTCAACATGTTCGCACAATCGTGGTCGTAACTCGCTGCATCTCATCCTGAAACAGAACTATCAGCTCAATCAAAAAGTGCTTCTTTTTTATAGCAAGCACTCAGATGTACTGAGGAAAACCTCGATCCCAGGTATAAAATGCAACCAAAGCGGAAAACCTCTGTTCAAATTTCCAGAAATCATTAGACAAAGCAAATAAAACACTAAGAACACATGGGTTTTTTTTTTTTTTTTTTTGAGGTTCTTACCCGTAATTCCCCTCAGCACAAACATTACGGACAAACAGCATAAACTCCATCAGCATTTCACCAATTCGAGGAACATTCTTCCTGTCAAATCATACTGAAGCAAAAGCAATTTTCTTCTCAACTCAGAATTTTTCATGATTTCTTAACCTCTTCAAATTTATCATATCATGTGGTGTTCTTATTGCTTTTGAAACTCTAAAAGGCTACAATCTCAACAATTGGATGTACCCGGGCACGAACTGTTTTGCTTATATTGTTGGGATAGGTGTCGTGAAGGATCTGTCACCTGTTTATAAGTACCAAAGGCCACCCCACTCATTGCCAATTGGTTTTGAGATGGGAGCCCAAGGTGACTTTAACATGGTATCAGAGCCCACGATTTGTGGACCTGTGATAACTATGGACCCGCGTGTGCGGGCTTGGATCTGTGTGCCTTGGACTTGCGTCAATCGCTTCCGTGCATACGGGTGGTCTTGTTACTGATCCGACAGTATATTCGGAGTATGTACCCATGTGTACGGGCTTGTTGACTGACACACAAGTCGTCCCGATTACATCGATTTTAAAAAAAAATTAAAAAAAAAAACAAATGGATGTAGAAGTGAAAACCAATGTTTAAAAAAAAAAAAATTACATCGATTTTCTAGCTAAAGCCTAGAATGGTAAAGAGTGAAAGGCCTTATAGATAAAGCCTAGAATGGTAAAGAGTGAAAGGCCTTATAGATACTTTGTAGAATGAGGAGTAGCTAGGATGGTTAACAGGTCAAGTGTAGTGGTAGTTTTGTGACAGTGGAGAACTAAGGATTTAAAATCAGGAGGATCATCCCTCTGTCCCAAAATTATTGTCCAGTTTGAAATTTCATTTTTAGTACAAATTATACTAAAAATGAGAATCCAAACTGGACAATAATTATGGAACGGATGGAATAATAATTTGTAATAAAACAATTCTCTATGTTATCAATAAAATAAAGTGGAATTAGCCACTGTTGCCAACAGTGAACATCCTGCAATATGAAAAAAAATAAATAAATAAAGTGGGGTACTTTTGTGTGACGGAGCGGAGTTGTACAAATCAACTGACTATGTTTATTAGTTGGAGGTAGAGGGCTCTTTTAATAATTCAAAAAAAAAAAAAAGAACTGTGATAATAAATAATATTGGGATCGTTTTAGTCGGAAAATGAATTGGGAGATTAGAGTCCTAAACCAAGTATTTATGAACACGACTAAACTGTATAAATGGTCTCATACATTTGTCCGAATTTAAATTTTGGTCTCCTACATCAACATGTTTATGGATTGAGCCTTTACATTTCATTTGGAAACTTTTTTGGTCTCTTGTCACTGTTCCGTCACCATTTTCGTTTTGATGACCGTTGACCCTACTAAGTCAGGGGTATTTTCGGAATGACACATATAAGATCAAAATAACAAATATTTAAATGGTCCCCTACATTTGTCTGAATTTAAATTTTGGTCCCCTACATCAACATGTATATGGATTAAGCATTTACATTTCATTTTGAAACTTTTTTGGTCTCTTTTCACACTGTTCCGTCACCATTTCCGTCTTGATGACCGTTGACCCTACCAAGTCAGGGGTATTTTCGGAATGACACATATAAGATCAAAATAACAAATATTTTTATAATAAAATAGAATAAAATATTAAAAAATAATATTTTATAATAAATAAATAATTTAAAAATAAAAAAAAATTAAAATGATTTCAAATTTTAAATTTCAAATTTTTTTTTTCACTTCCCACCTTTGTGGGTCCCACATGCCAGTCAATTTCTCTCCCTTTTTTTGCTACAGTAAAAAAAATCAAAATTAAAAAACAAACTTACCTTCACCCGTTTTTTAATTTTGACGGGTGAAGGTAAGTTTGTTTTTTAATTTTGATTTTTTTTTACTGTAAAAAAAAAGGGGGGAAATTGACTAGCATGTGGGACCCACAAAGGTGGGAAGTGAAAAAAAAATTTGAAATTTGAAATTTGAAATCATTTTAATTTTTTATTTTTATTTTTAAATTATTTAATTTTTTATTATAAAATAATAATTTTTAATATTTTATTCTATTTTATTATAAAAACATTTTTTATTTTGATTTTATATGTGTCATTCCGGTAGAGTCACGGTCATCAAGACGGAAATGGTGACGGAACAGTGTAAAGAGACCAAAAAAGTTTCAAAATGAAATGTAAAGTCTCAATCTATATACATGTTGATGTAGGGGATCAAAATTTAAATTCGGACAAATGTAGGGGACCATTTAAACATTTGTTATTTTGATCTTATACGTGTCATTCCGAAAATACCCCTAAGTTGGTAGAGTCAACGGTCATTAAGATGGAAATGGTGACGGAACAGTGAAAAGAGACCATAAAAGTTTCAAAATGAAATGTAAAGGCTCAATCCATATACATGTTGATGTAGGGGATCAAAATTTAAATTCGGACAAATGTAAAGAACTATTTATACAGTTTAGTCTTATGAACACAAACTAAAAGACTATTTTAGGGTATCCCGAAAATCACTTGTCGTGTTGCCTGAAGAGAAAGATACAACCTTTTAGTTGCTTGTAAGTTCGTCCATAGGTAAGTTCTTCTCTTTTAATTTATCTTCTCTGCTTTGTATAACCATTTATAAGTCTTTTTCATCATCATAGCATCAAGTTGTGTGATCAAATGTTTTTTAGAAGTTTAGGAATTGTAGTCTACTGAAATTGATAGGTTTTGTTGTATTCCGCCGTTTGAATTGTTGTATTTGTAGTTTGGCCGTTTTTGTGTTTAGTCTGAAACTAATATGCGTATAGTAATGATTTTGATTTTTGAGCAGTAGATTTACATTTTACGAGGAAAAAAATTTGTGATTAATTCTGCACATTGATATCATGTTTATTTGTTTAATGAGTGTTATAATTCCTTTGGAACGGGGTATTGTACATTGCTTGAAGCTTGCTTGCTTTTGATTTAGGTGTTAGAAACTTAAGTTGCTTGGAATTTGATATCATCATATAAATGGCTGATTACTGGATTGAGTTTAGCAATTTGACTACTTATGTGATCAAGTATTCTTTCCGTCTCAAATTATAAAAAAATTGTATTTGGTGTACTGTTTCAAGAAACAAGACTTTTTTTTTTTTTAGTGTGTGTGTGGAACGCAGGTTTATAAATTTGACTCTTACTATGGATGGGATATTAGTTGGTTTTTGTAAGGAGAGTTTGTATCTAATTGTACTTCGAAATGATCACCATTCACCATGGGGATAATTTCCTTACATCTTTTCCTGAAATTTGTTTCTAACTAATATCATGATTCTTTTCAACTGAATATTTCTCTGAAAGTAGTACTTCATAAAACACTAATTCTATTGAGTTATTAGTGTAGATACTGAAGCAAGAAAGTCAAAACAAATTGATATTTGTGGCAGAAGATTGGAATGGTAAGCGTGATGGAGAGCTATAGTAAGCGTAAAATCGAAGCTCAATCTTCCAGTGGCCATGGAAAAGTTGTTCTGAGGAGAGAAACTTGTGTTATTTGTTTAGAGAAAACTTATTCTCACAAGATGGTTTCGCTTCATCATGATTGGCATCACTTCCGGTGTGTTTCTTGTGTAAAAAAGCATGCAGAGGTGAAGCTACTTGAAGGACTTTTGCCTGAATGTCCTCATGAAGGATGTAAATCAAGTATTAAGATCGCGAATTGCAAAAAGATTTTAAGCCCCAAGTTGGTGACGTTGATTGAAGAACGGCTGAAGGAATCTCAGATTCCTGTTCGGGATAGAATCTATTGCCCATACCCCAAGTGCTCTAATTTGATGTCAAAGGCAGAGGTCTTGAAGTATACACGAAGCGTTACCTGGAAATCGTATTTATATTCCGGGTTCAGGAGATGCTTGAAATGTGACAAAGCCTTCTGTGTGTATTGCAAAATCCCCTGGCACGATAGACTTACCTGTTCTGAGTACCAAAAGAAGCACCCTTATTCGTGTTTTGAGGAAAGCAAGCTGATCTCACTCGCAGAAAGGCATTCATGGCGACAATGCATCAAATGTAGCCATATGATTGAACTTTCTGCTGGTTGTTACCACATAAAATGCAGGTACAGAAATTGAATTACACTGAATTGGGAGATGAATGTGATGAATTAAACTGACCCTTTTTTCTTTGTCGCAGATGTGGATACCAATTCTGTTATGCTTGTGGAGTGGAATGGAAGTATGGTAAAGCTTATTGTAGATGTCCTGCCTGGAATGAGAACCTGATAATTTACAGTTAGTTTGGATGCAAACATAATCGCAGGACACAGAGCTGGTTGATTCCGTCTTTGGAGAGGGTGAGTTATTGTGCTTCTCATTTTTAGCACAAGGGCCTTTTTCTTGTGGTATTTTGAAGTTCTAGTTGAGTGCTTGTGAGATGACGGCCGATGGCTATTGTTTGATTAGTAATCATAACAGTTTTCAATTGCATAACATTTCCAATATCTTCCTGAATTCATTGTCCTTTCCTTTGGCATTCGTTCAGCAAATTCCATGATTATTTCATTCCAATCCTGAAATCAGCCTGAGGATTTGTGCTTTAACATGGACCTGCACCAATGTGTTGGCAATAATAGAAATTTGGTTTGTTCTAAACTTCTAATAATATGAAACTTTCAGCAGAAAAATATGTCTTCAACTGCAAACTGAACATGCTCTATGCAAGCCTCAAACACCATTATGCTTTTTTACAATTTTTTAGGAAATACTATTATCGTTTGTCATATTATCGTTGAATTTTTGTCAGACTTTTTCATCTTCTTAACGAAGCCGACGAAAAAATCAATCTATGCAAAATAAATAAATAAATAAATAAATAAATAATTCATTATTTCGTATCATTTGCAATTTTCATTAATTTTTGTAGATAGTGCTACAGTAAATTTTTTACATTCAAATTCCATAAACGACGTGTAGGTTAACATGATTCAAATTTGATATGTCTACTTCATTTTCTGTTTGGTTGACTACTTTTATAATATTAATAATTATCAGTTAGACGCAATTCAAAACTATATTGAAAAATACAATCATTGAGTTTGATGATTCATTTGTAAATTTTAAATTCTCTTTCATTTCGGAATCAAAATAAAACTCTAAAAAGTGTTCATATTTTGTAAGTGTCTTTTGTTTTTTTTTTTTGGACAAATACTGATTTTGGTCCCCAAAATTTGGGTAGCTCGACCCAGTTACCATAAACATTTCGTCGCTAATTTGGTTCTACCCTACTGGTCTTGATTTTTTTTAACAAAATTTTGAAAAAATTAACGAAAGTTGTCATACCTCTATTAATGTACATTGAGAGAAGCTCTTCAACGATTTTTCTTTCCCTCGTCTTTGAAACGGTAAATTTTCGTTATAATTTCATTTCTTTTTTCTTTATAGCACTTTTGTTCTAAAAAAATAACTCACATCGAGTTTTCATTTTGAGATAAAGATAGTACTATTATGTATTATCGGTTCATTTTTGGATAAAGAAGATTGTATTATGTATTACTAGATGTTAAACCCGCACGATGTGCGGGGTTTATACATATACATCTATTAAAATATATTCTTAAATTTTAAATGTGATTAATACAAATAAAGTAACTGGTTTGTAATAATAAATATATGATTAAAATTAAATTAGATCGTGATAAATAAAATTGTTATATATACTTTGAAATGACAACATTTTATAAATTGTATGCCAAAAATATAATTAAATAATGGAATATGTATAAGGATTATATACAAATAAAACTAAAAAAGACCATCAAAATAATAAATCAGATGTTACATGTCATATAAATCAAAGCAATTTATGTCTACACGGTTAAAAACGCATGTTAATTAAGATTGCACACAATTGGAGAAAGAGACACCTACATGTTAAATAAAACATGATCGGAATGAGGTCGTCGCCGCAAAGATGTTTTGTAAAATATATAAGATGCTTCGCTTCAGTGTTTCACCGGTTGTCATTGTACATGTTAGAGTTAGACCGAAGTGGATATTTATAGTGAATGTCTGAATGAGATATCATAACCAGTAACTAAAGTAAAATTCATAACTATGGAATAAAGATGATAACATCACGTTGATTAAAGGATAAGATTGGTGGGGAAATAACTTCCATTGCATTAATGTTGATTAGTCTTTTTCAATTAAATTTGATTAGTTTTTAATCACTAAAGAATTCCCACTTTTCCGCACGTTGAACTTAGGTTTTAAATCAATCAAGTAGTGATTTTAGGGATTATTTTGTAGAGAAATTTTTTTTTTATTCGAATTGGCTGGGGTAAAAAATTCCGGTGAATTAATGTTGAAAATAATAAATGTCTTATCCCTTTGAACTTATAATTTAAATCAATCAATTAATACTAATTGGGGATTATTTTTGGGAGGGATTATTTTTAGAAGGGAATAATTCTGGTGCATTAATGTTCATTAATCTCGTCAATTAAATTTAATTAATTTTTATTTTTCTATTTTAAACTATAGTTTTAAATGCCATTTGATAAAATTTTATTTACATAAAATTTAAAGGACTATTAGTATAATTGTTGTAAATATTTTTTGACTCAACCAATAAAAAATTTATCCTATGTAACATCTTTAGAATTCTTTTTTATTTTCTCTCTGATTTCTCTCTTAGTATAATACTATAAATCGGTTACGATGATTAATCTGTTCGCTGAGTGGTACTAAAAGAATACCATTTCGAATTCTGTTTCTCCGCAAAATGGTAATCAATTTCGTTGAGTATCCCGGGGAGTCAGTGTCATTTAAATCAGTAAAAAATTCCTTGTAGATTTTTATGAAATTGTACTTCAAAAGGTCTCACTATTCCGGAGTCGTCCTTTCATCTACTGACAGTAAATTCCTAGCGTTATCCACAAATTTTCTTCTCAAGTTTTACCTTCAAAAGAAATTGCCTTTTAAAATTCTGTGAAGTAGTATTTATACATCCAACAAGGGTAACTTCACCACTCAGCAATTTCTTTTGAAAGCCCCCTATTAATTGTGTTGTTCGATTTTGGCGCCAAACCCCATGGAAGCCGTGGAGGACCTTAAAACCCTACTCTCCGAGCAAAGCTGTGAGTTCGCGGCGGCTCAGGCCGTCGATTCCGACCTCTGCTTCGCTTACCAACTCCAAATTCAAGAAGCCATGGCCGCCTCCCTCTCTCAGAACGGCGGCGTTCCGGGTTCCTCAAACCTTGACTTCCCTGTTGATGAGAAAGCGACGGAAATGTTTTCCGATGATACCCTGTGTGTCGTTGCTGAAGAAATCGCTCTCTACGAACAGCAACTACAGGATCAATTGGTCGCCGAGGATGAGATGAAAAAATTCCGGGATGATCTCAACCGTCGGATTCACGATCGGGCCTTTGCCCGGGAGATTCTCAGTATTCCGGAAGTGGAATGGGAAAAGACAGGGGATGATGTAGAGAAACCTTATCTTGAGGGCTCTGCTCCTGGGATTGGCATGGACATTGATAATTTGGAATCTTTCAGGGTTCATATAAAGGGTTTAATGGGTAACGAGACGGTTGGGAATGGGGAAGGCAACTCCACCTTCGTCGGAGGGATTGGAGTGGCGGTTTGTGACGCGAATGATTTGTTGGTTTTTGAGGTGAGTAAAGGGGTTGTTGGTGGTGAAATGAGTGGTGAAGTTGTTCAAGTGAAGGCTTTGGTTGAAGGGCTTCACGTTGCAACAATATTGGGATTGAAAAAGATACTCCTTGTTTGTGATAGTGATCTCATACACCAATTTGTAAGTTGCTCCTCTTTGATGCTTACTCAGTTTGATTGTTTGCTTATGTGTAAAAGGTTGCGGAGACAATTTTGTGTAGTATAGTGGTTCAAGAATCCCCTGTTTTAGGTTTTAACTGTCTAGTTTGAAGCTTGGATTTCATTACTTGGAGATCTGTTGGGCAATTTTAGGAAAATTTATTTCTTTTTCCCTCTTAATAGTGATAGTGGTTCAAAAATTTATCCTTCAATTGCATGAATTACAGTAACTGACTTCAAAGCTTGGAATTATAGTATTGCTGTGTTAGTATCTACATGGATAAGGCCTTTTCTTTGAGAAAGTTGGTGCTTTTTTTTTCCAGGTTTTGAGGCCGTTTAGCTTCCTAAACTCAATTTTGATGTTTGATTGTTGACAACTCGAAAGGTTGCCAAATTTATTTTTTGCTTTTAGTGCATGGCATTTAGTACTAAAACAGTTAAGTGTTTAATGGGCTTCTATCATCTGATCATTGAACACTTATTGAAAGCTTAGTTCTCGTGCAGCATAACAATGTCCCTTTGTGGACTACCAGTTCTCAAAGTTTCCTTTGGTGCCTTCTGTCCTGATTGCTAGGATTGTTCTCGTTCCCTAGTTTTTCACCCTATCACACTGGTTTGGGTGTTTATGGACTTGATGTGTTTCTGATTCTTCAACAATTAACACTCCTTTGCTTAAAATTACTGCATACATGTGTTTTTCTCATTTCCCTACATTCTTGCTGCAAATTCATAGTGAAAATACACATGCATAAGAGGTTATCGTGAAATGCAGTTCGCAGGAAAATGGTATCCAACAGAGGGAAATCTTGCTACACTGGTTGGTCAAGTTACTCTTCTAATGAGGAATTTGCCTCATTGCCGCTTGTCTCTTGTGGCGCAAAATGATGTCAAGTTTGCCTTCAAACTAGCTCAAGATGCCGTCGTCTCTCAAGCTGAAAAGCTCATTGACAACTTAAGTGGAAAACAAGTTATTGAGACATGTTCCATTTGTCTTGAAGACATCAATGCGAGTCAGATGTTCTCTGTTGATGGTTGCATGCATAGATATTGTTATCCATGTATGAGGAGGCATGTTGAAGTTAAGTTGCTTTATGGATTCTTACCTCAATGCCCTCACGAGCATTGCAAATCTGAACTTAAAACTGATGATTGCAAAAAGTTCTTGACTCCGGAGTTGTCTGAGATGATGTGCCAGCGTTTTATGGAAGCATCCATTCCTGCAGCTGAAAAAGTGTACTGTCCATACCCTTCTTGTTCTGCGCTGATGTCCAGATCAGAGTTTGTAGGCGATGGACTGAAATTGTGCAAAAAGTGTAACCGCCCTTTTTGTAGTGAGTGCGGGGTGATTTGGCACGATAATATAACTTGCTCTGAGTACAAGGAAAAAAATCCATATCCATGTCATGAAGATGCAGAGCTCAAATCTCTAGCAACAAAAAGTCTCTGGAGGCAATGTAATATGTGCAGAGTTATGGTATCACTTGTTGCTGGTTGCAACCACATCTATTGCAGGTACTAAACTATTAATGCTTACATTTCGGTTTCATTGAATGTTTACTTAATGATGACTTCCTCCATCTTGTAGTATTTTTGGCTATCCTTTCAGGGGCTGTAAAAGTGTCAGTTTAGCTTCTTATTTTCCTTTAACATAACATGTAAACTCTGCGGGTGTACTTCCAACATATTGATCCTGATCCATGGGTTCCTCAATGTGGGAAAGTAAGGAAGAGTAGTCTCCTTTTGGCCGGAGTGGGCACAATAGTGACATTAATCTAGGTCAAAACAACTTGATGTAGTTCCTTGTTTACATATTCTACGCACTATGAAAGTGTCATAATTATAATAAAAAATAGGCATCCGAGTGCGGATGTTATTTTTTTTTGCCTGTACTGTAGTTGCCAGATTAATTCTATACTTTTTGAAGCATTGAGGACTGCCATCTATTTGCTGAAAGTGGTTGATTCATTATTTTTGAGGTTTTAAGTACTATTTTTGAGGACTGGGGTGATTTACATTCTTTAGTAAGCATCGATGAACGATTTGAGTGATTAATTTTTGTCATTGGCCTTGAACTCCTGTATTAAACTAGTGTCTGAATGTTTGCGCAGATGTGGGTACGAATTTTGCTACATTTGTGGAGCTGCATGGGTGAACAAGAGAGCAACATGTACCTGTCCATTGTGGGATGAGCAGAACATAGTCTATGAGCGGTAGATTCGTGAGAAAAAACTCCCGGAACAAGTTGTTGGTTTAGGGAATCAGTCTTCTTTATAGATAGACTTAGAACTGAACACCAGTTTTTTTGTTTTGCGAACCCAGGGGAAATCTAGCTGAAGTTTTAATCTTGAACTGTGTGTTTTAACATTTTAGTTGACAGTATTTCTATGGATCTCCCTTGGAAGTGACACCAAATTAGCTGTTTGAGATACACTTGTTCCATGCTTTCTTTCATTTCATGCTGATGGCATCGACGTACCAGTTTCATTATAGCCATCTCTGCTAATTGTTGTTAAGCTTCTTAATTCTTCTCCAGAAGAAAACATACATTTGATATTCTTTACGTGTCTAAAATAAAATGGTATATATATATATATATATATATATATATATATATATATATATATATATAAAATCATAATATAAACCATTATTTTGGGACAGAGAACTGGGTTCCTCCTCCTCGCATATCCTCGACCCTCCCAAAATCTGGAATTTTCAGTGGGCTGACTCCATCAGGGACGTAACATAATCAGGCTTCATTTGCAATTAACAATTCACAGAGAATGAATGAATAGCTGCAATCCCTTAATCTAAACATATGCTGATGTAATTGTATGAAACCACAATCAACAAGCAACTCTGTGGATTGAATGTGATATGAAAATCAAATGTCTTATCAAACTGGACTAATGAGTTACAAATCTATACTACATCAATAGAGAGGAAATTAAGAGACAGAATCTTCCATAAGTAAGCATCCATAATCCTCAGTAGAAGAGCATCTAGATTCTTGATTGATTCCACATTGTTATTGGCTTTCTCAGTCTTTAACTTCAAATTAAGGTAGAAAAGTGCCTTCTTGAACTCTACAATGCATGGGTAAGAAGATTTCAAAAAATGACGAACAGGGGAGATCTTAAACATCAGAACAGGAAAAAGATGGTGGTAATTGTAAAGAAACCCCCATCGGTTTAGCAGCAGATTAGAAGACAAAACAGATCCCGTTTGAACCCAGGTAAGCTTCATCGATTTTTATAACTGAATTTGGAAAGAGCGTTTTGTATCCTGATGCCTTTTTCTCAAAATTGGCAACTTTTTCATGACTGATTAGGTGGTGGAGCTCAGTGATTGAACCGGTGCATTTTCTTTAGTTGTAACAGTAGCCCTCTTGTTTCCAAATTTTCAGAGCCTTTATCAAGATTCGATAAAGAAATCGAGAAATTAATAACTGATTCTTGAGAGAGAGAGAGAGAGAGAGATGGAAGTTAATTGCCCAATGGATGCTTTATTGATTAAATTTGGTTGAGAGTCTGATTAGAACTTAGAAGATGGATAAATTGCAAATTGTGTTTTTTTTCCTTCTTTTCAAAAGAGGCGGGTTCATATTGCGGGTTTTGGTGTCTGTTTTAATGATGGTGTCACACATTCAAAGTCATTTTGGATTATTATCTGTGTGAAGGGGAACAATTGAAATCGCTACTCACAAGATTTGCCATTAGGAAACCTCCTGGAGTTAGTAAAAATGGCTGCCCACTAAACAAAAGATGCAAAGCAAAGGCTTCAGAGTGATGGCCGATGATGGATCACTAATATCTCTACTCTCAAAGGTACTCTTTCGGGTCCTTATTATGATCCATTTTGATTTGTCATATGTTTATCATAAGTTTCACTTATGATGTATTTTTAATTGAAATAAAAACCTTAAAAATATTTCTTAATCATTAAAAAAATATGACGAATGTAAAAATATATTTTTAAAATTTTTTTTTTTTTCAAAATGCCTTGTCATAAGGACCAGAGAGAGTATTATATATGCTACGTGACACTCACACTTTTATAAATTTCTAATATGCGTTATTCATCAGATAACTAATTGTCAACAATACATACAAACATTTGATTTCTCCACCAACAGGGCTTTGAGAAAGAAGAAGGCGCCCAAAGAAGAAAAGAAGAAAAAAAACGCGCCTTATGAGAGAGAGATTTAAAAACACGGGGCTCAGAAATGGGTCGGGTTGGGTTGCTGATCTTTTTTTGTCGTTTGTTGATTTCGCCATGAAACCGCCACTGCGATCTTTTTCTTTTTCTTTTTTTTTTTTTTTTTTTTTTTTCTGTTTTCCATACATTTTGTTATTCATGGATGATACATTATAGTACATATCCTGGGAGCTGGGATTACTCACCAACCCAATCCCAATATTACCATAATTGAAAAGAGAAGGGGCTGCTTTTTTTTTTCTTTTTTGCAATACTGCAACATACACACACACACACACACACGATGTATTTGCTGATGTTTTTTTGCCTGTAAAACTCTTTTTCATCTGTGTAGTACTAATTGGGTGTAAGTACGACCAACCAATACTACTAGCTCTCACCTCCTTGCGAAATTAGAGTTGGCCTCCCAAAAGAAACAAAACCCATCACAAAAATTGTGAGTTGCCTTAGCCAGCTATTTGCAGGTGCACCATGTACCACTGTACGTACGAAGGGGGCGTGGCGTCAGAAAAAAAATCAGAATCCCTGCCAATGGGAGCACACCAAAAAAGGACTCCTTTTTCGCATTTGCTTTGTTTTTTGTATACATATAACAGTATATAACACACACACACACACATTCTTCATATTCTCTGTGGGGGGAGAAAAAATTTACAGACATTTTTGCTTCCGGGCAACAGCAAATCAACAATGTCTTCCCTGTTTTCCCCTCTGCGTTCTCCTGGTTTTGTTTCCGCCGCTCGTTTTCCGGTCGTCAAGGCGCAGGCTGAGCAGGCCGGGAAAACACTTAAGGGCATCCAGTATCAAGTTGATAAGGCCCAAAAGAGACTAGAGAAAGCCCAAAAGAACTTGAGAGAGGAAAAAGCCAAGGCCTGCGTTAACTTGAAGGAGGGGTATGACATTACATATGATGTGAAGGCGGCCCAGTACAAGTTTGCTTTGGCCCAAGGTGACCTTCGCCGGTGGACTTGAAAGAGGGATGAGGGCCCAGAAGCCTATGCAGCAATCGACGCCGAGTGGCATGCCCTCGAGGAGGAGAAATCGGAACGAGCACTTCGCCAACAGATGGCAAAAGAATTGCCCGAAAAACAGCCCGGTGACCCCAACAAGGAGCAGAAGAAAAAGAAGAAAGGAAAGAAGAAAAAGAACACCGAGGCTGGTATGATTTCGACTCTCTGTATGCTGTGGGATTTTCTGTTCGAAAGGTGCAACTTTTTCTTCCTCCTCTGTTCTTTGACACCAATATTTTTTTTTTTTTTAACCCCTTTCAAAGAAAATTGCAAAAGAAAACAATTGAAATATCCACATGGCTGATAAAAACGGACCTTTGAAACAGAGATTATGAGACGATGTTCAATGTGGGTTTCATTTTGTAATGAAAATTGAACTTTCATATACTGTTTTAGCCTTTTAGGAAGCAGCAGAGTAGAGACTTGTAATGGGTCTTTGTTATCTTTTTGGGTTTGAAACATAGTAGACTGGTTTCGTCTTTCATGTCGATTCTCCCTCTGTTTAACTGTATAGTTCAAACCCTCCCTTTTAGCCTTGTTTTCCAATTTTATTCGCCATGTCCTGTAGTTATAGTCTTCTCTATAATACCGTCTTCCAATTTCAAGGGTATTAGTAGCCCCTTTTTTCAATTTAAGATTTTGGGATTTTCCTCTTTGGAAGTGATTGGGGTTGAGGATTCGGACTGTGTGATTGGGGATTGTTTGAATTTTCAGCTTGCTGTTTTGCTATCTATTAATTGTTTTGTTTTGGGTGCAGTGATGATTTGAATGTTATATGAATGTCTCAAGATACTTATATCTACTGTTAAGCTGTGATTTGTGTGTATCTGCGGTATTCTGCAATGCATCTTGGCTTTGTGCACATTGCTGTTACAACTAATGCAAATTTTGGGGTCCAAAGCAAATAGATTTGTGTATTTCATGTATACCTTAGAAGACCATAGTTTTGTTAGAGCTGAGGTTTAAGGTCCATTCTGGGGATATTTAGTTCTTCTGTTTATTTCGAATTCTTAGCTCCATTGTTTGATTGATGAACATGGTTTCTTCAGCATTTGTTTGTGACGCTCTGTGAAACTTGAGAACATCAATGCAGCCTTAGGTTCAGCATTTCCCACCATCTTTCTCTGCCCTGTAGGTACTTAATGCATTGTGAACATCAATGAATTGGTTTGTTGTTCTTAATGAATTGGAACATGCCTGTGCCCTGTGGCTCTGTGTATTTCATAATCAGTGACTAATTGACCTATTTCGATCATTTGAATCCTTTGCGTCAAATGTTTTTCACTTCTCTGATAATTCTAGGGTATTTGGTTCTTTTGTTTGCTTTAAATTCTTAGCTCTGTTGTTTGATTACTGAACATGACTTCTTCAGCTTTTGTTTGCGAAGCTCTGTGGAGCATTTGGCGTCATCTAGTAATATTTAGGATGTGTTGTCAGATTTTGATACTGGAGAAATTGATAGGAATAGCTCTTTCTCTTGCAGAATAGGGAGGGACATCAACAGCTGATGAAGAAGTTTGAGGAGATAATGTGAAAGAGAAGAAAGTGTTTGGTAAGTAACTTGGTTATTTGAATCTCATAGCCTAATGTTGTTGGGGATTGTATATGTTAATGTATTTTGTTTTGAGTGGAACTGATGATTTGAATGTCAATTTGGTATTTGGGCATTCACAAAATTCTAAGTGATCTGATGTTCAGACTTCAGAGTGGCAAGTGTTGTACCTTTCCTCATCATCAAATTGTTCTATTCTTCGTTTTTTGGTGTATCAGATTGTTCTATTCTTTGTTTTTTGGTTAATCGTGTATTCTGGTTCTGTTCACATATAGTTACGCATGTCCTATTAGGTCTAGTTGTTGTTGGCCTTGTGAGCCCTCAGAGCTGGAATTAAGTGCCTTAGGGGCTGTGTTTGACATGTACAGCTAGGTGATATGTCGACTCTCTGTCTGCTGTGGGATTTTAACTACTATAGAGCAGCATTTGAGGTTTTTGGAGTGTCTTGTCGAGGTTCTCTTGTATACTTAAATGTATTGCTAAACTGTAATTTGTGTGCTTCTGTTGTGTTCTGCAATGTATCTTATTCTTGCACGAATTGCTGTTACAACTATTACAATTTTTGGTGTCTAAAGCAAAATAGATTTTTGTGTGTTTGATATCGGGTAAGATGGACCATCAGTCTTAGGCATGTATACCTTAAAAGGACCATAGTTTTGTTAGAACTGAGGTTTAAGGTCCATTCTAGGAATATTCGGTTCTTTTGTTTGCTTTGAATTCTTAGGTCCGGTAATTGATGAACGTGATTTCTTTAGCATTTGGCTGTGAAGCTTTGTGAAACTTGAAACATGATATACAGCTTTAAGATTCAGCATTTCTCACCTTCTTTCTTTGTCCTGCAGGTGCTTAATGCATGGTGATCATAATGGTCGTGAAATTTTGGTTTGCTGGGATTAACGTCAGAAGATATTTATCATAGTAGTATATCATATCATTCTGGAACGTTTTATGCTTAACCCTAAAGGCCGTTGGAAAATGACTTTGGCTCTGTATATTTCTTAATCTAGTGACTGATGGATGATCATTTAAATCAAATTTTCTGCGCTTCTCTAATGCCTATCCTGCTCTTGGATAGAGAGGAAAGGTGTTGTTGAGCTTCCCATTTCTTTTTCTTTTATGAATTTATAGTACTACCATTAATAAGTCTGGATCCAATAAAGAGCAAGACGCATCGTGTTTTTGGTGATACAATAAAAGATTCAAAGCCTTACAACGTAAAAGACAGAACAAGACGGAATACTTCAACTGCGTTATTCAATTTGTCGCGGCATCATCATTTTTATGAAGGTCAAATTTGAAAACACATCAAAGATTGTCTATTGCAACTCAGGCAAAACAACTGTCCCGAATTCATCTCAAAGAGATGCAGAAAGGTTACAGAATATAACAAAACCAAATAAGGCTATCTATTTACACAAAGTTTTCTTATAATCAGAGAAGGAGGTATTTTCTTGGCGTCCATTTCTCCTTGCCGGAACAGCATCTCGAGGATCTTTGGTGTCACTTTCACCTTGATACCAACAAAAGTGACCGGATTTTACCCATAATTATCTCCGGCAGCAGTCTGTGCTCCTCCTCACCATCTGGCTGTATAGGAAAATTCCGCGACCCCCATTGACTAATCTTAGTACCCATGTAACTTCCAACAGCGCAAGGCACCAAACCAATGGTTACCAATTCCGGGATCCTGATTGACTGTTGAATTAGCAAATGGCTCTTGAGCATCCACCCATCTTAGCCTGGCGTTTAACCGGAGAATCTTGGACGGGTTGGGCTTGGATTGGATTGGGACGACCACGTTCCAGGTGTTGTTCACGACGCCGCCTCTGCTGGACATGTTGCTCTGTACGGCCAAAATGAAGATGCTCCGGACCTGAGAAGACGAATAAACGCCGTCACCCAGGGCTAGTCAGGGCTGACTAGCCCGGCATATGTTAAAATTCAGTAGCCAGATGAAAGAAAACATCATTGTGAGGCTATTTTTAGTTATTAGGTTCAGAAGCTGAGAGAAGGGGGAAGACAATCTTTGCTGCTGCTTTTAAAGGAAAGCAGCTTCTTTTACAAAAATTAAACAATGGGTCACTTTGAGCTGTAAGCACCTCAGTAAAATCCAAGTCGGTCATACTATCTTAACCCTTACATGGGTCAAATTAAGCACCTCCACGACTTCCAACGGCAATTATACATGTTCAGCTCAATCACTTTATATTCACAACACCATAAACTACCGAAAAAGGAATACAAGAAAGAATATGGATTTTAGAAGGAAGACAAAGTGTAAGCTTCAAAGATAAAAGTTGACTCCTAAAAGGCTTGTTATTCTCCTCCTCCAAATGACAGGGGTTTATAAGTAGTTAAGACGAACAAAGAAATACAAACTGTGTGAAAGTAATTTACTCCATCACAGCAGTACCCCCAGCAGCCTTGATCTTATCTATGATGGCGGTGGCTTCTTCCTTGGTGACACCTTGCTTAACTATAGCAGGCGCTTTCTCCACCAGATCTTTTGCTTCCTTCAATCCTAAATTTGTTATGGCACGAACCTCTTTGAGCACCTTAATTTTGGCATTTTCATCGAACTTCTCTAGTTTGACATCAAATGCCGTTTTCTCTGCTTTCTTCTCTTCGGTCTTGGAACCAGCAGCTGGCCCACCCTGAGCACCTGCATCCATACCCTCCACAGAAATATGTTGCAGCTTCGGAAGATTTAGTTTGTAGATGAGTGTAGGACCAATCATTTCACGCTCTTCAGGAGGCAGGGCTGCAATTTGCTCTGCAAGCTGAATGATCTTCTCCGAAGGTGGAGGTCTTGGGCCATAGGGATCATATGAAGCTGGATACTTGTATCTTACAGGCTTATCGTTCGGATCCCGTGGAACAAAATCAGTCTGAATAGAACAAGACTGAAGAAGACCCCAAACCCCGCGAAGGGTTGGATGTCCACGCAAGGATCTGAGAACAGAAAGATTCATGATTTGCAGAGAATGATGAACCATTGAAAACTCTTAGGCTTGAAAGCCAGGGCTCTTGATTTTTCTAGAAGTCAGTCCGATAAAGTTACAGCAGCTTTTCCCCTTTTAGAAGTTAGAGGTACTGTTCAATATCAGGTTCTTACCTGGATAAAAACAAGAAGAGGATGAACATGTAGACATCACATCCACAGCGATTCAGGTATCTATGAAAGAGAATATCTGATACAAGATGTCGCAATGCAGGGCATTTTCGAGGATAACTTATGTAGTCGACTCGTGCCACTTTTGACATAATACTCACGAATGTAACTGAAGAAAAACAACAATCAACAAGCAACTCTATGAAATGAATGTGATATGAACCAAATGTCTTATCAAACTGCACTAATTACATCACCTCCACACATCAATAGGAATAATCCTCAGTAGAAGAGCATCTAGATCCTATAGTATCCGGATTCCACACTATCTTCACATTCTCAGCCTTAACTCCAAACTAAGTAAGAAAAGTGCCTTCTTGAACACTTTAATGTATAGGCAAGAATAAAAAATGGAGATCTTCAACATCAGAAAAGTAAAAACGGTAGCAATTCCAGAGAAACCCTGGCGAACATACCCATTTCCGACAACTTAAGAACATAGAATCAAATTACAGCACAAGAGAATGAGGTTATTTGATACTCCGATAACTAAAAAACATCAAGAGACAAGAAAGAAAAAAAAAATACAACTCCTAAAATTAACAAAAATATCCTGTATCCAAATCCGACTGTGTATCTGAAGCAAAGAGAAGAGTAATGCAAGGGGTTTGCAGTAAATGGAAACAAACAAATGGGAAAAACGAATTGAATCAGCAAATTAGCAAAAACCAATGGCCAAAAATCCAGGAAAAGATAAACCCACCTGAATAGAAGAAGAATTTCAATCCAAACCAAGCTCAACCTTGAATCCGCAAACCAACAGAGCAGAAGATTAAATGAAGCGGTTCCCAATTTTATGTCTACACCACCGTCGTTTTAATCAATGTGAGCATAAAATAGTAATTTCGTTTCCCTTCCCGACTGAGGTTTTAGAAATTAGAAGTTGAAATTTGATAATTTAATTTGGGTCTAAAGTCTGAAATATGAATATTGAATATAAGTACTAAACTGACTAAGTTTGTATTGTTTGATAAAAATCAAAATTTGAAAACTGAATAAAATGTCTGAAATAAAGAGTTAAATTTAAAGCATCTCGATTTATAATTTTATCTTTAAAAAAATTGATGTAATATATATATATATATGAAACTATGATAATAAAAATAAGTAATAGTTTTTCTCCAAAAAAATAATAGTATTATTATAAAATTATGTTGTAAAATATTTAAATTTTATTGTGTAATTATTATTTCAGTTAATAATAATATCATATTTTATGAAAATTATCTTTATCCTCTAATAAAGGTGAAATATAATGATTTGAATATGATCTAGACAGTCCAGATCTAGAAGATCTGTTATTGTTCAATAAGAATGGATTATTCCTCATTTGTATATAAACATGTCCTTCAGGAGTTTGTTCAATAGAACTTACTTCTGTATTTGTTTGTGATCGAATATTACCAGATTTTTCTATAACCCATTGTTCTGCAATAGGTATTTCATCCCATTTAATTGTTCTTCTAGTAGTAATTTTTGATTTATTGAAATTAGTTTCAATTAAAACTGTTTCATTTATTTTTTTATCAATTAATTTACAATTGGGATTTAAAGTCATTAATGTTTTATAATAAATTCTATAGCATATACAAATCAATTCTGATCCAATCATATAATTATATCCATGAGTTTTAACATTCAAAGTTAATGCATCAAGTATATTAACGTCACTCAAAGATAATGAAAGATTTGGATAAACATTGAAATAAACTGGTCCATGAGCTAAGCTATATTGTATTATCCCCATTAACGATTGTTTCCAATTTAAATTTCGAGCATCTCGTAAACAAGCTATAAAGCTTTCTGGTAGTCCTTCTAAGGTTAATGGTTTAAAAACAATTTGCACCAAACCAATATGAATGAATTTATACAATTGACAATAGTCTTTAACATACTATGATAATAAAAATAAGTAATAATTTTTCTCCAAAAAAATAATAGTATTAGTATAAAATTATGTTGTAAAATATTTAAATTTTATTGTGTAATTATTATTTCAGTTAATAATAATATCATATTTTCATAAAAATATCATATTTTTATGATATATATTTATAATGAATTTTAATCGTATTTTATTTTTTTACGTTAAAATAAATATTTATTAAATAAATAATTTAAATAAATTTCAATTCATAACTAAATATTAAAATTAATAAAAATATTTCAAAATAAAACATAAAAAGTATAAATATAAAAGTAAATAAATAAAAAAAAATTGTCTCGGTAATTCAGTTCATAGGTCTATCACTTATTTTTATATTCATATTGGTACTAAATTTTCAGATTCACTTAATTTAGCAAGACATCATAATTTGAGTTATTAAATACACTTAAAATTTAAGTTTTTAATTAATTAAATTCTTAATCAATTAAATTATTATGAGATTGTGTTATAAACCCTACGAATCAATTAAGTACTTAATCAATGAAGTTTAAGTGTTGAATTGGTTTATCGCCCTATTCTTTGATTTTGATCTGGGTTTCGAGTATCGTATCTCAAATTTGGTTTATCAAACAGGCCCTAATCTTTGATTTTGATCTGAGTTTTGAGTTTCGTATCTCAAATTTAACTATGTACTTGGTGCCCAGAAATTGCTTTAATCGGATTCATTCCAAGAAGGTTTCTCTGTGCAACATTTTCTCTGTAAAACCCTGCAAAACCATGGATTTTACTTCTTCGAAGTTGCTCCGTATACACCCTTCCATGTCGATTCTTCGGTGAATTCGTTTGGATTTCAGCATTCTGGTCTCGAATGGATTTCTGGGTTTCTTTCAAATCCATTTCAGATGTTGGTTTCCAGTTATTCTACCTCTCCGATTCGACGGCTGAGGGGACCGCCAACAAGATCTTTGAGGAGGAGAATGAGCAGAAGAGCAAAAGCTGCGGCTAAGCCTGTGTGGGATGAAGCTCAATTTCAGAGGGCTATTTCCAAACTCCTGCCCAGGTTCGTTCACTCCTGAGGAGCTCTGCAATGTCATTACTTTAGAGGATGACCCTTTGGTATGTCTTGAGTTGTTTAATTGGGCCACTAAACAGCACCGGTTTAGGCACAATGTTTCCTCCTTTCATATTACTATAAAGAAGCTTGGTGCTGCAAAAATGTATGAAGAAATGGATAATGTTGTTGATCAAGTGCTTGCTATTCGTTCCCTGGGCACTGAAGCTCTTTACAATGCCATGATTTATTATTTTACAGAAGCTCGAAAATTGACTAGGGCTGTGAATATATATAAGCACATGATGGGGAAATTGGATTGTAGGCCGTCTATTACGACTTATAATATCCTTTTTACGGCATTGTTGAGTAGGGGAAAAGAATTCGTACATCAATTACATGTATATGGACACAATTAGGTGTTTGTTTAGGAAAATGGTGGATGATGGGGTAGAACCGGATGTTTACACCTTGAATTGTTTGATTAAGGGGTATGTGTTATTGTTGCATGTCAACGACGCCCTTAGGTTATTTCATCAGCTGGGCGTTGTTTATAGTTGCCTGCCTGATTCATTTTCGTATAATTACTTGATCCATGGGCTTTGTGCTCAAGGAAGAACCAATAATGCCATGGAGCTATGTGTGGAAATGAAGGAGAAGGGATTCATTCCAAGTGTTAAATCTTACAACTCCACGGTGAACTCTTTGGCTCTAGGTGGGGAGTTAGATCAAGCCGTGAATTACTTATGGGAGATGATTGAAAACCAACGATCAGTGGATTTTATAACCTACCGGACTCTGTTTGATGAGATATGTCGCCAAAACAGGGGGGAAGATGCCAAGGATTTACTGGAGAAGTTGCAAGAGAAGCGCCTACTAGGTGAGGGTACTTATAGGGACCTTCTGCACGGGATTGAAGGAAATTTTAGGAGCTCATGGTTCGGAGCTCGATTCAGGTAATTGAAGTTTTAAATACAATTTAGTATTACTATTTATGCTATGCCATTCAAATTAAGAGGGGTTGAGGTAGACCTAAGAAAACTTGGAAAGAGACTATCAAAAATTATTTGAAATGCTTGAATTGAGTTATGATTTATGTAATAATCGAGCACGATGGCGACTTATGATCCATATGGCCCCACCTATTGGGAAAAAGGCTTGTTGTTGTTGTTGTTGTTGTTGTTGTAGATATGCTCTGCTATGAACCGACTCCCATAAGGGCTAAGCGTCATTGTTGCTGTTGTATATTTGAACCTCAAATTAGCATTTGAAGTTCCATGTTCCTTGAGCATCTAGGGTAAGTGCATGTAAAGCTTATAGTTGTTTGTTCCCATCATTTTAGATCTTCTGGATTCTGGATTTTCCGCCTTGATTTCATCAATGTCTATTTCATGAACTTTTTACATGGGTTCAAAGATCTGACTCGAAAATCTGTCTTGAGGAATCTTCCTAAGTGATGTTGTTTCTATATGTCAAAATGACCATGCTTACTCACGATATGAATGTAGAAACACCAGCGTAGTGCGTTTAAGGTCGATTTATGATGTTAGTTACGTGTCCTCCCAGTGAAATTTACTTTAATTGCTCATTTTGCAGCTGAAACAGGTGGAGGGAAACTTCTTTTCCCTTTATTTACTGAAGCCACCTAAAATGCCTGTGACCTGTGGAAGGAATTCAAGTGAGATCCTTGACTGCAAAAGGAAAATATTTCTTCTGGAGATTATGTGGTAAATTTCTTGTCTTAGACAATTTGCTTTGAATATTTTCCTGACCTCGCGGCATAAATGAGTTGTATCATATGATATGTTTTGGGGCGAGAGGTCAAGACAACTAGGATTCACACATTTACCAAACGATCAAAATTTAGAAGGATTTTCAAAAGGAGTTTGATATTTTATCCAAAGAAAATATTTATATCAACAGCAGGAATTTTGGACCATACATTAGTCTTCTGGTGAATCAGCCTTTCTTTCTTGAAAATATAAATGGTTATTGATGAACTTTGTAGTTCTTTATCCAAGTTAATTCCTTTTTTTACCGCAAAAGTTAAAGAGCCTGCATTGGCATTTGTTGGTAGTTCTGGAGTCTCAGCGTCATCTAATTTATACCTGGAAAACCATTTAAATTGGACGACTATTGGATGCACTAGTTGATATGAAGCCATTGACAGATTGACTCACTGTTTACTTTAGTTCCATTGGTTTGTCGAAAAAAGTGGCTAATGCACCATTTGAAACCCTTGTTTGTCTGGCTTCATGTTGTGCGTCATATATGTGCCTGATTCGTGGAAGTATCATAAGTAGAGCAATCTGTCATCTTTTTTGTCTTCTTTTCGTGGTTGGACATCAGGATGTCTCCAATTCTCAATGCTGCATATCTGAGGAAGAACAAATGTTGATACAGGATATTCAAATTCTGGTTATTGAGAGAAAGGAGCAAAATGGAGGAACATACAGATTCCAGTAGACCAAGGGCAGCAAAAGAAGCTGGAATGCAGAAGCCAGTCGTCAAAATATGGCAATGTTTACAGGAGTTGAGAGCGAGTTGCGCTTGTCCAAAAGATCTCATATTTAAAGCCATGAAACAAGTTGCTTTGCATAAGAATTTGTGAGAATATGACAAAAGAAACAGTTTCAAAAATGAAGATTTCTTTCCCAGGCGCATTAGCTTCAACTTTCAAGCATCAGATCTTGCTTCAGTAGCCAAAGGTGGGGAGGGAAGAGAAGCTACTGCACTCCAAATTCACTCTTCTCTATTCCTTTTTGGTAGATAGTTTGGTAGATTATCGCATTATCATAGTCTTAATCGAGATCTTTGGGACCAAACGTTAGTTTGTCATCTGATCTTACATCATACGATTTGAAGGCACAAGGAATGTTAATGCCTTTGTAGTTTCCATGCTCCATAGTTTTACTAGACCTTTTGAAATAACCCTTTCAGCGCCTTGCAACATTTCCCACTTGAAAAACATTTAAAAACCACTTGTTTTTATGGATATCCTACTGCAATTGCTTTGTAAGGAAGGTTGAACTGGCAGGAAAGTAGGCAAAAAGTTGCAACTCAACTTGGTCGAATACGACCAATCTAATTGAATTCTGTAGTTAAGAGATTCTGGGAATTTCTTTATTGCTTCTAATGCATTTCAATTAGTATATAATCAATAAATTCTGGTAACAGATCATTCGGCCTTATCAATGAGATTGCTCCAACTGTCCAGCATGGCTAGTTTTACTGAGCCATGAAATTTTGGGGGAGTGTATCTCATTCCTCTAATGTTAGTAATGGAAGGGGCTTCAATTGTTGATGGTTTACGAACTGAGAGATTTCTCACAATTACACTACTGTTATCAGGTACTCTACCAAAAACATGCAAAATTCCCATTCTTTGTTCTTTCCCAAATTTTGTGCACCATGTGCTGACTGCTGTTGACAGAAACGCGACATAACATGATTAACTAAAGAAGAAGTCAACAAACACAATAAGGTCTCTAAGCAATCTCCCGTTTCTGAATTTTACAGCACATTATCAGAATGAGAAACACCCTAAGCTATTTAACTCAACTAGAATGGCATTTGCACCACTACTAGTTTATAGTTTCTGCGGCCAGCCTCCGCTTTCATTGTTATGTTAAATAAGCCATCACCACATTTCTGTTTTCTCCGGATTAAATGTTCCCTCCGCTTTCAGGATTTTCTTCGTGAGTTTTTCAAGCTGAGCTTCTATCACAGTGGTCTTTAGAAAATTTACCTCAGATGGGTTCATTCTATGTTTCTTTTTGGTTGACAGTTGGCCATCTTCTTTTTTGTAATCACCATGTCTAATTGTAGGGAACTTGAGCATACGGTGGTGCACCAGCTCATCACTATCCAATATTCTTAATTCCTGCAGGATCAGATAAATGTACCATTTGCTCAATGAACTTTAACCGTCGATTGTTAAAGAGACTACACTTCCAAAATCCACAGATGTCGATCACATGTGCATTGCACAATAAAAAACAAGTCTCTTATTCTATCTATCTTCTAAAGCAATTTATTAAGACAACAAATATAAGTACAGGTCCATTGATGTAAAAGGAAAGCACTATACATGTGTTGCTTATAAGCAGAGGAGATACTGCAGCTTACGTAGACAAAATTTGATTGAAAGATCTAAAAGTATTATACCTCCATAACCTCAAGAACTGCACTTTTAAGATCTTCATGACTCCAGGGGTCTTCATCACCAGGACCAGCAATTGGTTCCTGGAGGCCATGACAGCAACGGATTCATCAACCAGAACTATTCATGACAAAAGCTACAAAGATGATTGCGTGTATAACCATTTTTTTTTTTCTAGTTCACCAAATTCAGTGTTCTTAGGAATGAGAACGGAACATGGAAATAAATAAATAAACAGCTAAAAACATGACATCCTTCATTTGCTATAAACGGCTATGAAATCACTTGAAGGAACAAAAATGTGGTATTTTTTTCGTTCCCTTAATGTCCATCCAATTCACTCTTCTCAATAATGAATAAACTAAACAGATTCTACACCAACATAAACTAGAAGTGCTTACACATATGACACCACCTGCAATCCTTAGCCTGTAATGTTCTTGAGCAGTAATGCTCCTCTTTTTAGCTCTCTGTTACATTTTGGGAGAAGTAATATCGTAAGAAGGCTTTCTCAAACACCAGAAACCCCTTAGCAAGGTTTTCAAAAAATACCTTTCGGGCTGCTGGGGATAATTGCTGCAGTATTTCGGCGCCTGCATCCGGACTAATTGAATAGAAACAAACAGAGCGATTTTCAGATCATATGTCAAAACTTGTGCGAAAGTAAATTTGGTTTGGTCCTATTAAATAGGCTTTTTACCGTTGCTCTAGACAAAGTTGCCTTTGAATGTCAAAAGAACCTATAATAAATGAGACTGACCGGGGAAAGCAGATCAATGGAGAAACAAAGTATCACCTTGCAACATAAAATGCAGACCTCTGCATCATTAGCAATTTGTTCGCACAAGCAATAGCAAGAGCACCACCTGGACCACCTTCGCCAGTCACCACTGTCACAATTGGAACTTTCAAACTAAACATTGTCCTCAAATTATGTGCTATTGCTTCTTCCTGCGAGGTTTATTCAAATCACAATAAGATAACTATGGACATCAGATATAAATAACAGAGATTTTTAGTTCAAAGAGAGAGACAAGCAAAAATTGGTTCACCTGACTAAGTTCCTCCGATTTAAGATCAGGGAAAGCACTTGTTGTGTCAACAAAAATGACAATGGGGAAACCATAATGTTCAGCATATTTCATCATTAGCAAAGCCTTTTTGTAGCTGCAAATATAGTTAGCGACAATCTGTATATAGTTAGCAAAGCCTTAGTCTTTGCACCAAGCAAAAATAAAGGGGTATACAACATTGATTTGAATCCTACGTAGCATAAGCAACACAAAGCAGCACGTATCATTTTCAAGGAGAAAAAAACCAAGAACTCTTCTCCTACGTAAGAAACAGACTGATTTTTTCCTCAAGAGAGCTTGAAGGAAGAAGCGAAATGGTGACGAATCCTTCTTGTGATGAATCAATATTTGAGGTACAACATAATCAACCCAAAAGTTCGATACATGTTACATTTGCTCCCTCTTTTTTTAGTAGAAAATATGTAGAACATGGGTCTTCAGATCAATCTTTGAACTCACAGAATGTAAATGCGAAAGCTTACCTACGTGGAGTGGGCACCGCAGATTTCAGCTTTCTATTCCTCTGATGACCAATGAACATGTAAATTTCACCGTGAATGCTCCCTAAACCAGTCACAATCGCTGGATCATAGCTTGTTCGATCTCCATGGAGTTCATGCCACTTTATCAAGTCGAAAATGCCACAAGGTCTTAGTAAATTACAAAGCAATATAGTGCCATTAACAAAAATAAATGAATGAAAGATGTGGTAACATACTGTTTCAGTGATGTTTAGAATGCGATCAACAACATCCGGCCTATGTGGATGCCTAGCAAAGGCCATGCATTGATTTTGCGTCAATTTGCGGTGATAACGTTCAAAAGCCTGAAAGTACTCAAACGAGAAAAGAAAACGATACTACATCTTTAGCCCTGGAATTGGTATGTTTGTCAGATGAAGAGGTTGGATTCTGTACCAAAGAAGAACAAAAAAAAAAAAGAAATGACAACAAAAAATGACTAATAAACATACCTTGTCATTCTTTGATTCCAAACGGTCGACCAGATCAAGAAAATCTAATCCAGATTCTTCAACAGCTTTACGTAGCTGTTCGAGATCATGAGTTGAATCAAATGAGAGGCATCAAAATAAATCAGTCTGTTAAGCTAAATCCATATGAAATCCACATTCAAACATCCACGTACGTATGGCAGCATTTCATGACTAATAATTGAGGCAACAGTGAAATAAATACTCATTCTCTTATACAAGTAAAAAAGAGCCAAATTAATACTAATTTTACCCGTTCGATGTTTTCATCCAAGTCAATGAATGGCTTCTGAAAGGAAAAAGTTAGCGGCTTCACCTCATGTTTCCGGCAATGAAAATAGGATAGATATTTGGTTAATGGGGTATCACAGTTTGGATCAATATCTTCAGGATCAGGCCATAATGGGTCATCATCATTCTCCTTCTCATCCTTAACCATTGCAGCCACAGGAAACTTTGGCTTGATCCTCCTACAACAAAACCCTTCCACATTTCTAAACAAAACCCTACCAAAAAAGCCCTTATTATTACTCAACCCTCCAAAAATACTATTGCTACCAAACTTGTCTCCTCCCTTTCCTCTTGCACATGACGCTGCTGGGGCGATTAACATAGATGATGTGATCATCTCTCCACTAGTAGCGATATAATTACTCATAATATTATCTGTCCAAAACGATTGTCCATTTTAGATTTTAATTCTTAGTATAATTTGAACTTAAAAATAAACGCGCAAACTACATAATCAGTTCGCCAACATCAAGTATCATAATCAATTTCCAGTCTAAAATTCGATCAAAAAACTTTTGGGACGGATGGAATAAATAATCATTAGAGTCACCTGTGGATAAATATAGAAGGATAAATCAAGGACTCACCTGTGGATCAACTTGGTCTCGTGCTGCATAAACCGGGGTATTACTATATTATTACTATGTTATCAAACAAATTAAACCCTAACCAGACTAATAAAAGTATAATACCAACCCTCACTTTTTGGTTAAAGAAATGTAGAAAACTGAAAGTAAATTAAACACAAGAAAATTCACTCCAATCAATTACTTATGGATCCATCAAATTTTATCATTTTATTAATTAGTACATTCACATTTCCCTAAATTCTTAGTACTCCCTCGTCTCCCAAGAAAAAAAAAAGAAAGAGTCCGCATCTGAGTTCTTAGTTTTATAAATTTTCATCAAATTCTTATCCTAACTTTTTGGAGTCAGTATTCGTATACAAGTCTATCGCTCGCAGCAGGCTACATTGTTTGTATAAGCTACTTTAAAACTCTTTTAGAAATCAACTTAAACTTATATCTTTGTAAGAGATCGTTTCCATGCACTCTTTGTCTTCCTCGTAAAAATCCATATTCTCTCTCGAAATCTGTTTGGTAATTCATTTATGGTGTTTTGAAAATATTGAAACTGACTCACTTTTTTTTTTTTTTTTTTTGTGGCTGAGCTGAACAAGTACAATTGCCACCGGAATTTTATTGAGGTGCTTAGTATGACCCATATGTAAGGTATATTGTCAGTCCTGCTGCTAACTGTGACTCAAAGCTGATGACCACCTTTGATAGAGCAAATTTATTCAAATTGCAGCTCTAATTAATAATCGTCCCCCAATACGATACAGCAAAAAAAATTAATCATGCTCCTTTTGTATTCAGAATGAACAATAAAACAAACTATAAAAAGGGAATGAAGGACATGTGATCAATACCAACGTACATAGCTAGGGATCTAGTATCCGTGCAAATGAAATCTACAGGGACTTTATGATATAGAGTAAAGTCGGGGGTGCAAGGGATGTACAGTGCAATAAATAAGGTACTCCCTCCATCTTATAATTATTGTCCAGGTTGGATTTTCATTTTTAGTTTAAATTATGGGACGGAGGGAGTAATTATTTTGGCAGGCTGGCGAAGGTGCTACTTACATAGGTGGGGTTTATTCTGAGGAGATAGAATTCTTTATTCATTAGGATATGATCAAACCACCCAAAATCTTGCTTCTCCCAGGATTTAGGTACAAATTAAAATTTAGAGATATGTAATATAGCAACCAATAGAAACACCGAAGTTGAAGGTTAACCTCACTAACATGATAATCTACTTCCCACCCTCACCGTACCTAAGCTTTTTGTCGTCATAATCCTAAATGAACTCCATATGTTTCTTTCCCCTTTTGTCTAATTCACCAGGGAAAACGCTAACAAAAAATGTTTTCCCCATACTCAGGTTTATTTACATGGATTCCGCTGAAAGACCTCAAAAAAAAAGATCATTCTACAGGAGGCAATTTGCTTCACAAAAAATTTGAACTCAGAAGAACTGCAAGGTGCCAGTTAATGTAATAGTGAAATGAGCAATCAGATTATCAAAATTGCGGAATTCTTACACTACTAGCTCCCTTGTGAACAAAGCAACCTTTCTCCTAAAGTGAGTTAATTAACACTTAAAACTACTTCCAAAGCCACAAAATTTCCAGAGATTTTGAATATGTACAAAATATCCATACTAATATGGTTAATGGTATATTGTTCAGAAATTGTAATCATAAGTTAATCTACCACCGCAAATTAACAACCACTCACACGACTTGCAAAGCAACGAACATGTAAACTGATATTCTGAGGGAACTTTAAACATCAGTTCCATAGAGTTTAACTTCCAAAAATGTAGGTAATTATAGTATGAGTGACTGCAAAGAAAAAAATTTCATATCACAGAGTCTCTAGTTTTATCAAGACTCTATCTGCTTGCCGCTTGACCTATGGGACACTAAAAATGAGAATCCCATACGAAGAAATGTAGAAACTTAAATCTAACCAATCGTTTGTCAAAAAAAATAAAAATAAAAATCTAACCATTCTGAAAAGAAAATGACTAATTCACTAGTAACAAATGTTAAGTAAATAAACCTTTGATGTGCACTGGTCTAGATCTCCTCTTGACAATACATTCCCTCTTCAAATATTCAAGATTATACAACTGACATTTTTTTGAAAGGAGAATACATTTTATTAATAGATGATTACAAGAAGGTATAGTTTTGCAAATATGGACATTAACTGTGGCTCTTGAGGAAATAACAATCCAATCATTCACTTGGTCCGGAAATTGCTCCTGGATGAAATGACTACCTTCGGGCACGAATATGGTCTTCAAGTTGGGGACGTAAACTTTTAATTGCTCCTTACGTATGTAATCATCCATTCCTGGAAATTTTAAAAAATAATCTTTTTCACCCATTATAAGCAATTCAGGAGCGTCAAGCTTCACTTCTGAAATGTTGAATACTTCATTCCTCGACCTGCAACAAAAGACCATATCATCTATTGAGTCGGGATTATAGAAGTAAGGAGGAAAGTGCGGTCCATTTGATTAAGCATACTTGGCAATCTTAAATCCATTTGAGCCATTTGATAACAACATAGCTTCCATGAGAAGAAAGTGATATGGAAAATCGGACACCAACAATCTCTAAGCATGCTATCACTTGACAGAAAAAAGAAGGTTGGCCCTTTTACCTATATGGCACTTGCAGCGCAGTTTGAAATCTAGATTTTTCATAGAGAGCACCATAGTTTGAAAGATCTTCTTCAGTAACCCAAGGGGGCAGAGGAGCAGACGGGTTGACCATATCCATTATTTCCTGACCTTCCTCCGCTACTGGTAAATCAGGTCCAGAGAAGCCTTTGAGAAGTCTCTTTCCCTCCTTTTGCTGCGCAAAACAACAATTAGTAATAGGAAATCAAAGAAAATAAATTCCCCATTGTTGAAATTTTGACTGGAAACTTGAAAATCAAATTTTGGGATGGGAAATCACACAATTCCAGAGTCAACGTTTATGCTGATTCGGCACAACCCAAATTCATCAAATACGGAATAAAAAAATTGAAATTACATTATTCACTTGAAATGAAGACGAAAAAAAATCTCTTACCAAAATGAATATGATGACTTTAAATTGAACATATAATCATCTAACAAAGAGTACATACTCGAGAGCAATGTCAAATTTCCCGTATATGCTGCCTCAAGAAATGAATCCTGCATAAATTGTAGAAATACATCAAGAAAGGTGAAAAATGATGAAATCTCGACAACGAATCAAACAAAGGAAAAAATATAATCAACATGAATAAATCAGAATCTAATTTGACAAAGAAAGGGGATTATACGGGAAGCATTTTCACATGAACTCACTCACTGGCTTACCTCTTTTTTAACCTCCTTATTGTGATTTGGAATGATTTTCGGAGAAATCAACTCAACATGCTTTTCGATTTTTTTCCTGACCCGTTTTACAATTTTGGTCGGATCTGCCTTGTCTCCTGCTTTTACAATAACCATACTCTTCTCTGATGGCCCGTAACATACTCTTTTACAATTTTGATCGGATCCGCCTTGATATGGAATCCCAGTAGTACAAATAAAATATTAAATAAGCACTAAACTGGGCTGCAAAATAAATGCTACAACAGGCAGTAAAAATCATACGATATGACTGCAGAATTTCTTGGTTTCAGGATTGATGACCATGACAGAAGTGCCGGTGAAGACTAATTCAGGTTTCCAAGGCAGAAGAGCAAACCTCATAACCATAGTCTACCTTGTGGTTATCTCGTAAGGCCCTGTCCAAGAAAACTCAATCATCCAAACACCCACACAGAATAATACAGAACTTTGAGAACAACAAACTTCCTGATTTACATTATATTATAAACACAAAAATTCTGAATGGCACATCATAAACTGAAAAAAAAAATCCCAAGTACAACATTCCATTAGTCAATTGAGTCATAGACTGTAACTAACATAAGTCAATTAAAAATCATAACTTTTTGACCCAATGCAACTGAAAATCAGGCCGGATTATTAAAAATCTACTTTGAAGGTTGTTGATTTTGGCGGATATGAAGGTTGTTGACTTTGAAGGTTCAGATCTGAAGGTAGTGAGAAATAGAGCGGCGTATTTTTCTTCCACGGCTCCCTCTGCTATCGGAGATTATTCATCAAATTCCGTGGAGGGTCAGAATTTTCAGAACCGTCCGAGGAGAAAAACCACCGGGAAGCATAAGGGGCAATTCTCGGTGGATTTTTTATTTTTTATTTTTGGCTACTCCCTCTGCAATTGTAACTTCTCTCCGAATATTTCTATAAACTGTAGGATTTATATGAATAATGAAAAAAATAGAGCGGAAATCAGATCTTCTCCATTTAAAATTCAAATGGATATCGTAACTAATGAAAATTGATTTGGAGATACATTACTTGATTTCAGATAGAAAGAATCATGTATATCCCTTTAAATGAGGAGTTTGAGTAGGCAAAAAAAAAAAACTAAAAGATTAGTTTCCACTTTTACTGCTTTTTTAAAATCTGAATTATTAAAGCGATAATAGGAAGTAATAAGTAATAAACAGTAATTTTAGGAGTTTAACGTGAACATTTATATTTTGCATAATTTGGGGTATTTTTTTCGGATGAATTCGCCATGTGGCATCATTTTTTTTTCAAAACATGGATTTTTTTGGTTTAGGCGGGAAAAAAATTTATGTGAAACTGACACGTGTTCCAAGTGTCATTTGCTTTCATGAAGTGTAAAGGAATACCCGTTTGACAAATTACATACTCCCACTACTGTTAAACTACATTGTTTGAAAAAAATAGTCTATATCGAGTGTTTTTCAAATTTGTATTGTTTTTAGTATGAATTTCGAACTCAATGGTGGGAATTATTAATTAGATGTACTGGGGTGCAATATTCTTAATTGGCCTTAGTCCCTCGAGTTCCTTCAATACCATCTCATCCATCCATCCGTCCATCTACCCAATACCCCGTTCTTAACTTATTTCCAGAGAGAAAAATAAAAAAATGGCTTTATCTTATGGCCTGATGAAGAAGAAGGCTTGGAAGAAAAGTTGTTCCAACGATAGCAGTTTTGCCAGCGGCTTTACTACTACTGCTGCTTTGTCTTGGAGCAAACATACTTGTATTACCTTCTTCTGTGGAAGCACAAGAAGGATTCTGGAATTCACTACCATCGCGTTCCGTACCATGCCTGCAGCACAGCATAAAAAGAAATTACTAACTGTGATATAAATGATCGCTCGTGTCTGGAACTTAACCTACAAAACGTAAGGGGAGATGCCGTAGATTGTATTTTTGGCGCATGCGTAGATGATGGAATCCCGGAAGTTATAGCTTCGCAACAGCATCTATTCAACAGGACGACGACGGCCACCCCGCCACCTTCGGCTTGAAAGACGCACGGTAGCGTGCAAATGCTTTTTTTTTTTTTTTTTTTTGAAGTGCAAATGCTTTGTAATGTGTTGCTTTCTTTTTCTTGGTTGTATGTTTTGTTTAAAAATTCCTTTCACAACTTTATTAGCTAAGATGCTGCGGTGAAGCAGATTGTACTTCTCTCTCGATTTGAAGCTATCATCGAATGAATTTACCCTTCCGTTTTTCATGTTTTATTATTATTAGTTTTTAGTTTTTGGGAAAATTTGGTTCAGTGGTAGTAACGTTAGTCAAATTAATAAAAGAGGAATGATAATAAAATAATTTTTGTTAAGCCCTTTGATTGAATAATTTATTACTAATAAGTTACCGCCCTTAATAAAAATTATTTCATGATCATACTTCTTTTATTAATTTGACTAACTCTACAGGCTATTAGCCGAATTCCCCCTTGATTTTTTTTTGTAACAATAATTAGTTGGTAAAGGGCGTTATATTCTTCTTTTTTTTTTTTTGTTACAATACAAGAGAAACCATGCCTAAACTCTACCATTCAACCAAATATACTGTACTGTGAATTAAATCACATCTATTTATCTCAAAGCTCTAAGCTATACCTTTCAACCAAATATATTCTACAGTGGCAGGGGATCGAATAAGAAAAGGGGGCCGGCATAAATTAAGAAGGGCCTATATTAATACCCTTAAAATTGAAAGACTATATATAACTACATATATTTAAAAAAAGGAAAAAAGGGAGACTATATATAACTACAGGACATGGCGAAAACTAAGGAGGGTTGAACTAAAAGTCGCGAGTTTTGTTTTGTTTTGTTTTTCTTCCTCAAAGCCGAATGTTTGTTTCTTTTTCCAAATTAACTTTTTTCTCCAAAGAGGTATGAGGCTCTGTTGGTGGAGAAATCAAATGTTTGATGGTATTATTTGTGACAATCATAAAATCTGAATAATGCATATATTAATACTACTTTTGAGGCTCGAGATATTACTCTCATCCATCGGTCATCAGTCTGAAGCTTTGCATTGCATCTTTTGGTATGCAGCCATTTTTACTCATATCTTTGACTCCTGGAAGTTTCTAATGGCAAATTTCCTGGAGTATAGAGTACTGCCAAAAAAATAATGTCCAGTCACCCTATTTGCAAGTTTGGAAGATTTTTTAGATTAATAAAAAAAAAATTGTTAAAATGTTATTGCCAATCAAAAACAAAATACATCCACACCGTCTTAATTTGTAGCTTAAAAGAAAGTTTTTCTAAAAGGGCAGTGAATTGGAGACCATTATTGTTTCCTAAAAATTAAGTCTTTAAGAAGATTATGATGACGCTACTATGTTTCTATAAATCGTAAATTGGATAGGATTAGGATATAAGTCAGTATAATTATAATCGATCTGACCAATCGAAATCCACCAACCCCTCGAATTCGAAACTAGCCCAGGTTCGTTCTCCGTCAGACCTCTTCCGGGATAAAACAATATACATAGGCTGCTTTGGTTTCGGTCATAAATTTGTTTTCGAGCGTTAGGCTATTGTTTGTTGTGTCCGATTTTGATATTCTTTTGTAAGTTGTTATTCTGGATTTTGGGTTTGTTTGTGGTTTTGTTGATTCTTGAATAATGTTATGTGGGTTGCAATTTATGGTTCTGAAATTCAACTGGGTTGTTCTCCTTTTTTTTCCTGTTGTAAAAGATAGGTTTTTGAATTTGTTTTTTTATTTTTTTATTTGGGTTTCTCTCCTCCCTGTATTTCTATGATCTCCAGAGTTAACATTATTAGTGTTGTGAGCTTTGTATTGGGCTCAAGTGTTACACATATATATTTTGTTAGTACTCTCTACGTCTCAGAAAAATATTTTACAATAAATTTTTAAATTATACGAAAATTAGCACAAATCTTAAAACTCGGACACTCTTAAAAAAAAACTTGGACTATTATTTTTTTTTTTTTTGTGGGACTAGAGGACTAGCAAATATTCAAATGAGAACTTTAAAGGCGAGAGGGGAAATGTGTAAGTTAATGATTGGTTAGATCAACATTGAATCTTTGATCTGGATTCTGGGAGAATAACTAATTATCCAAAACCCGAATAACCCAAACTCAAAATTATTATCCAATAGCTCAACTTGCATTACTGATTTGTTTTCTGATTTGATTTGCAGTTGGCTTTCTTTATTTGCAAGGTTCAAGATGTCGCATTTTGCTACGCCAGAAAATGGTGATGAAGGTTTGTGCACTGGATACCAACCTGCTCCACCAGGAATGGAAGATCTTTGTGAAAAGTCACCCAAACCACCATCATTGTCCCCTGATGGGAAACATTTCTTCTTACTTAAGGAAAAAACTCGACCGTCTGTGTCTGATCTAGATAGGTACCACGATTTCAGCGGCTTTGATCCCAACATTGGAAGACATTTCCGCAAGTAAGTTGCATGTGATTGTTTTACTTGTCTTTACGAGCTCCCGTTGATACTAAGGTTTGCCTTTTCTGTTGAAATTTATTTTGTTCTTCTTTAGTCCAGATCATGAGAGTTAAATTTATTATTTTTCAGGTCATTTTACACCCACATCGTGATCCGCTGCTTTTACCGCTTAGGTTCAGAAGAGACCAAGGTAACAGGCCTTCTGGAAGGTGCTAAGATCTATTATGCTCAATGGTAAAGGTCTACCCAACTGCAAACTTTATATGTTAAAATTCGATTTTGTCACGTATATCTTTCTGTACTGGATACTTTCTCTCATGAAATATGCTTAGTGCGCACTTGATTTTGCTGAGTGGAATGTTCTTTTTTTCTTAGGAAACTGATAAATGTTTTGCAATGGTATGTATTTTTCGCCTGACTCTAATGTGGTTGTGGATAATAGGTCTCCTAATTCTCGGCGTTTGGTTATCTTTGTTCGGGATGATCGGGTACTTAAGAATTCTTTTGCTTTGGTGTTTTAAGTCTGGCAAATATGATGTTGGCTTTCCCATCCCTTATAATGACATGCCTTATTGGAACTGTGTCTTTTACAGAGTGATGGCATTAGTTATCCGCCCATGACAATAATTGAAGGAGTAAAGTTTTAATGTATTCTCATCTTAAGAAGATGAACTCTCCTAGCCATTAATACTTGTGTAACGCAAGAGATAAATGAAGTGAGTTAGTCACTCCTTTATAATAGCTGCAAGAGAGAGTATTTAGACGTGAGTGAGTTATACGAGAAATACATCATTCATTATATTTTTGTCCTTTATTGATGTATTGAGTTAAGGCACTTGAATAGGTGGAATTAAGTTGGAGCTCTCATAGGTTCAACTCACTGTGAGTCAAGGAATATTGTAAAAGAGTTCAATCCTTTTATTCCACTGCGATATGGTAAAGGGTTCTAAAATGGTGTAACAGAAAGAAGGCATCGTACTTTGCTTGACATGGTAAGGTCAATGATGGCACAAGCAAGTTTGTCTTTCTCTTATTGGGGAGATGCACTACTTACTGCTGTCTATGTACTTAATTGTGTGCCTTCTAAATCAGTTACCTCCACCCCATACGGACTTTGGACCGGAAGGAAACCAAATTTGGATAATCTAAGGCCATGGGGGTGTGCTGCTTATATACACAACAATTCTCATAGACATGGGAAGTTGGTACCTAGAGGCAAAAAGTATATCTTTATAAGGTACTCTGATCACTCAAAAGGTTACGTGTTTATGGGTGAGCAACTGGATGGTAGTATAACTGAAATTGAGTCCCGAGATGTGGAATTTCTAGAAGAAGAATTTTCTAACAAAAGAGAGGTGAATGAGAATCTAGAACTGTTTGAACAACTAGACGCACAAATAGGCTCCTCAAGTGATCCAGTTGAAAGAGAGGACTTAGTTCCTCATCAGCTTAGAGATAGTGGGAGTGACATTCCTTCTAGTTCAGTACAACAAAATGAGAGTTCAGATGATCTTCACCCTTGAAGAAGTTAACGTGGAAACATTCCTCGTCGTTGTTCTGAGATTGAAGGGGAATCTTTGTCTATGATGAAGATGAGCCACGAAATTATCACGAGGCAATCTCATCAAAGACTAGTAAAAAATGGATTAATGCTATGAATGATGAAATGGAATCTATGAAAACCAACAAAGTCTGGGACTTAGTTAATCTTCCTCCTAGGCGAAAAGCAATAGGGAACAAATGGGTTCTCAAAATCAAACGCCATGCAGATGGTTCTATTGAGAGGTATAAGGCTCGACTTGTGGCCAAAGGCTATACTCAACTAAAGGGTATAGATTATGAGGAAACCTTTTCACCAGTAGTAAGGTTTGCCTCAATTCAGCTTATTCTAGCGATCGTTGCATGCCTTGATTTGGAACTTTACCAAATGGAAGTTAAGAATGCATTTCTCAATGGAGAACTAGATGAAGAAATTTATATGCAACAACCAGTTGGTTTTGTCGTAGATGGACAAGAGCGCAAAGTTTGCAAGCTCAATAGATCTATCTACAGTTTAAAGCAATCATCCAGACAGTGGTACTTAAAATTTCATCGAGCTATCATAAAAGATGGGTTCACGATGATTGATGAAGACCATCGTGTCTACACAAAACGTTCACAGAAGAGTTTTGTAATCCTATCATTGTATGTAGACGATATTTTGTTAGTTGGAAATGATATGGAGTTGATTCAAACTACTAAAAAGTGGTTGTCCTCAAATTTTGAGATGAAGGACATGGGAGAAGCAAATTATGTACTTGGAATAAAAATCAGTCAAAATCGCTCCAAAAGATTTCTTGGTTTGTCTCAAGAGACTTACCTATGAAAAGTACTTGAACATTTTCAAATGCATAATTGCAAACCTATTGAAACTCCTGTCGCTAAAGGAGAATCCTTGAGTCTTGAAAATATCCCTAAAACTCCTGAAGAAAAGAAGAAAATGAGTCGTGTTCCATATGCAAGTGCTGTGGGAAAATTGATGATGCCATGATGTGCACTCGTCCTGACATCTGTTTCGCGGTTGGTCTAGTGAGCCATTTTCAAGCGAATCCTGGCTTAGATTGCTGGAAAGCTGTCAAAAGGATTGTTCGCTATATAAAAGGGAACAAAGGGCATAATAACGAGTCGTGTTCCATATGCAAGTACTGTGGCCCTGCTTCCTCATTGTGTGAGTCCTAAAGATTTTTTGTATCTTTATTATGCCCTTTGTGACTTTCGACTATGTCAAGAGGTTTAAAATTGATGTAAGCTACTTTGGCATGTGGCCGACGGTCATGAGTGATTCGGCCTTATGGAGTATTGCTAGGAAAGCGATTAATTTGTAAATTAATTGACATTAGGGCAAAGGAAGAATATTTGGATTATGGCCTTGTATTATGCTTATTCGTCGATGGGTTATGGCGCTTTAGATAAGTGACATAATTATAAGCATATTGCTCAAAAAGTTAATGTCAAAGTATGGTCTTTCGAGGGATTAGAGATACTTGACATGGTATAATCAAATAGTTCTAGGGCATACTGAGTCTTTAATTAAGTTCTCTATATATTTTTTTAAGGGTAGATGTCTCTATGCTGGTCATGATTGGTTTCTAGTATAGTGGTCCCACATTAGATAGACTCAGCGGTCGCACCATTCATTTGCCGTATGATTTAAACTCAATGTACCAAAAGAAAATAAAGAACGTCATTATTGACATGTGCGAGTGGGAGATGTTGGCATTAGTTGTCCGCCCATGACAATCACTGAAGGAGTAAAGTTTTAATGTATCCTCATCTTAAGAAGATGAACTCTCCTAGCCATTAACACTTGTGTAACGCAAGAGATAAATGAAGTGAGTTAGTCACTCCTTTATAATGGCTGCAAGAGAGAGTATTTGGACGTGAGTGAGTTATACGAGAAATACATCCTTCATTATATTTTTGTCCTTTATTGATGTATTGAGTTAAGTCACTTGAATAGGTGGAATTAAGTTGGAGCTCTCGTAGGTTCAACTCACTAAGAGTCAAAGAATATTGAAAAGAGTTCAATCCTGTTATTCCGATGCGATACGGTAAACCGTTCTAAATACCTTCACAGAGGTACAAAAATAACGATGAATTAAGCCTTTGGGTCGCTGAAGTGGAGAGTGGAAAAGCTTGGGAGTCGTATAATCCTCAAACTGTTGAACTGAATTTAGTTTGTGATAAGGATGATGAGAAGCATGGAAAAAAGAATTCAAGCTCATGGCCTAGCAAAGATCGAGGCTCTTCATTTTCGAGAAGGTTCGAATCTAATTCAAATTCTAGGTCAGCTATGAGAGAAAACATAGGAGGTCAAAGATGAATGTGAGCTCATCACATCACAGTTCCTAAAGGAATAATTGTGAATTGAAGAAGAAGCACCCTTACCATTCAAATGGTCGGACAACTTCCCCGGCAAAGAAGAGAAAACTTAGGGTATGTTTGGTTCGTTTTTTTAGTGTGTCTTTTTAGGTGTTTTTTGTATTGGGAATATAAAAGGTGTGTTAGAAATGTAAAAAGGTATGCTGGGATGGGACAGTTATTCATAAAATAAACTGAAAAAACCATAAAAAAAGCAAACAAAAAGAGTTTTAGGTTTTGTTTGTTAGGTTTTTTTATGGTATTTTTAAAATATTTAAATAATAATTGTCACATCTCAATATTTTTTTTTATATTTTCAATACGCATTTTTATATTTCCAATACAAAAACACCTAAAAACACACACGAAAAAAATGAAACAAACATACCCTTAGTCTTCAGTGAAAAAAAAAATAAAATCTATTTCTTGTCTTGTATTATTGACAATGGTACAATGACTAGATGTAAAAAAAATAAAATCTATTGCTTGTCCTGTATTATTGACAATGGTACGATTACTAGATGTTGTGAATTCACTAGTAAATTTTCCCTTTTTTTCTCCCCAGCGTCAATGTGTTTCGAACTAGTAATTCCGTGATTATTTAATCTGACATTCTGTATCTTAGTTCCTCGGTATATTGGAGAAAAAAGGTCCAGAGTTTGAACATGAATTTACTATACTATTTCCTTCATCCGCGAAATATAAAACATTCCGTGATTATTTAAACTTTCATCTTTACCGCCTCATCTAATCTTTGTCCGTGTTGCATGTCTGCATAAATTGTGAATAAACAATAGAGAGCCCTCTAAAAAAGGTAATTGACCAACATTTTAAAGTGGTTTTGAACTCAATTCTAATTATTGTCTTTTACGAAAGTTTTGTGTATCAAAGGCAGTCAGGTTATAGGGCATCATACACAATATTCACACTTACGTAGTTTCCATGCTCCACAGTTCTTACTTGTCGTTTGAATTAACACTTGCAGGGAGTTGCAACTTTTTTTCCCACTTAGAACACATTTAAAACCACTTTGTTTTTATGGAACCGCATTAGTGCTTCTTGGTAAGGACCAAGGAGGTTGAATTGGCAGAAATCCAACTGGCCAAGGAAGTTTTTACATTATTTCATGTTTCATTTGAGTTTTTCTTTTATGTATATATATGCAGTCAAATTACTGTGCATTAAGTTAACTAATTGCTGCTGTGGTCAAGTTCATTTGACTTTTTCGATGTGCCATAAGAATTGAGTTGAAATACATTTGCGATTCATAAGTTCACCTGTTTTCTTGTGTGAACTTATTTTTCAGAAACTCAAACAATCTTACTTTATTCATTTGCAACCCTCTCCAGAGACGGCGATATTGCTCTCATTCTCTCTGCCATACCCTTATCCTACATAAAACAAACTATAAGAAAGGGAATGGAGGATATGTGAATACCAACCTACATTGCTAGAGTTCTAGCATCCATGCAAATGAAATCTACTGGGGAGTTAATATAAGAGTAGTGATATATACATGAAAAAATTACAAGAAAAAATTTACAATAAATGATGTCATTCATTAAAACTATCTCTTAACCTTAAATACTTAAACCTCAAATGGAAAGTTTTAAGAACGGATGGATATGATCAATTCCTTATATTTTTCCATGTCATTTTTCTTTGCACTAATCGTAATTAGCGTATAGTTGTATCAAAGCTATAGGGGCTTATTTTTAATTTCCATAGAAAATCAAGGGGGTCTCAGTAATTAACCTAAAAGAAAAAATAAGAATTGAATTGTTTTCTATAGTTATAAAAACTGCTCACTTATAGTCGTTAAGATAATTTTGCCCCTCTTCCTCCTATTCTTCTCCTTTCTTCCTCATCTTCTTCCTATTCTTCTTCTTTCTTCTTCTTTAACCTCAAACCAAAAAAGTAAAACCCCCATCTTTCAAATTTAGATCTACAAAAATTAGGAAGTTAAAAAAATGACGGATCGCAAGAAACAACCAACAAAAAATTTCATTGCTAATTATTGCTAAATTAGATTTCATTCACGTATAAATTAATAATAATCAATACCCAACAAAAATAATTAATAGTACATTAATTTTAAATTCTAATTAATGCAACTTATTTATATTTAATTACATATAAAAATATAATAAACATCAATTATAAAAATTACTTAATACTTCTATTCATTTATTAAAAATAAAATAAATGTAAAAATAATAATAAAAATAACACAAAAATATAATTAACACTAATAAAAATAACACAAAAATATAATTAACACTAAATTAAATTTTATTTACATAAATAATAATTATAAATACCACTCATTTAAATTTAATTAAACTTAAAAAATATAAATAACAAAGATTAATACTACTCATTTAAAAAAATAATTATTGAAAAAATAATAAATAACCAAAATGAATGTAATACAAAAAAAAATTGAAAAAAATAAAATAAAATAAAAAATTCTGGTCGGCTACCCAAGGAGAAGTAACCGAACTAAAACCGGCTACTAAAGAAGAGGTAACCGGTTCTGGTTCGGTTACCTCTCCTTGGGTAGTCGGTTTCGCACCGGTTGGTCCTCTATGGGTAGTCGGTTTTGGGCCGGCTACCTTGGACCACAATTTTTTTTTATTTTTTTTCAATTTTTTTTTGTGTTTTATTCATTTTAGTTATTTATTATTTTTTCAGTACCTTTTTTTGTTTAAAAAAAATAAGTAGTATTAAGCTTTGTTTTTTATATTTTTTAAATGTAATTAAATTTAAAGGAGTAGTATTAATAATTGTTGTTTAGAAATTTGACATTTTGATTTTTTTGATTTTTTCTTTCAGAGTTGAAGGAGAGAAACTAATTGGATTTGATAGTTTGAGGAGAAAGGTTGTTTGTTAGGGACAAAACTGTCCTAACGACTGTAAGTGAGCATTTTTATATAATTGTAAATAGCAATGTGCAAGAAGAAACCCTCTTCGGCTCCTCCCGCCCCACCTCATTACGACAGAGCCGCCACTCCCGTGCCGCCGGACCGCCGTGAGAGTCAGCCGACGAACAGATTCCTTTCGAACCCTTGGTAAGCTTCATCTATTTCCTAAAGTTATTTTGGATGGAGGTCTTTTCATGATTTATTAGGGTGGAACTCAGTGTGAAACGTAGTATTCAGTGATTGAACGAGTGCATATCTTTTTGTTTCCAAATTTTCGGAGCCTTTGACAGGATGCAATTTAGAAATCGAATAAATTAGAATTTGGTTTCTGAAAGAGATGGAAGTTGCTTTTATGCTCGCGTATTTTTGCTTCACTGTTTAAAGTCTTGTTTATTGGCCTTATAATAGTTTTATTCTCTGATCAAGTGTGATTTTTGTCTGGTTGAGGGTCTTGATGGAACATAGAATATGGAGAGATACACATTGCAGTTGGTCTGACTGGAAATGTTTTTCTTTCCCCCCTGTCTGTCCTCTTTTAATCATAGAGGAGATTGTTTTCAAAGTGCCGTGAGGAGGGAGGTCGGAGAAGGAGATGGGTTCATATTGGGTTTGATGAAGGTGTGGTGAAGGTGGTTTTTTTAATGGTTGTGGGAAGGATAATAGGGATGGTAGGAAGAGTTCCTATGATTCCATCTATTGTTTCAAGGTTTTTAAGTTTTGTTTTTCTGTTACGGTTTTACTCAAGTCATTTGCATTATCCGTGCAGGGGGAACTAGTAAACCACAATTTATAGGTACTTCAGCATAGTACTAGTCTCTGAAGCTTTGCCCAAACAGTCCTTCAGCAGTCGAGCTCAGTAAAAAATGGCGCGTACTGATAACAACAGCGGTAGGAAGAAACCCAACATACTCATCACTGGTACACCCGGAACAGGGAAGACAACAATGGCATCGGCACTATCTGAGGCCACTCAACTTCGTCACATCAACATAGGGGACCTCGTGAAGGAGAAGAACTTGCACGATGGGTGGGATGAAAAATTCGAGTGTTACATCCTCAACGAAGACCTTGTTAAGTCGCTAACTCTTTAAACCTCACTCTGATACTATGCTTTTATGTTTATTAATTTACCCTTGCCTTCTTGACGCTTTCTCTTCTGAAATATTGTAGCTGTTGGCGAAAACTTATTTTCTTTTATTTCCAAACTGAATTAATTCTTTTCAGCGCACCTTAAAAGAGCATAAAATCTGCTTCATATGTGAAAGGTCCTTTTCTTTCTTTCATTTTCCCCACTTTGCTGGTAGTTGGAGTCTCTATTTTGCTTAGGTGAATCCGGTATTCTAAGCTCAGAAGTCATAAGAGGCAATTACATTGTCATGGTTACAAGCCATTTTGTTTCAACTTAGCATATGGCATTGTCATGATTGATTTTTGTCTGACTTGAAAAGGCAATGTCTGGTTTCTTTTGCAGGTATGTGATGAACTAGAAGATCTAATGGAAGAAGGTGGGAACATTGTTGATTACCATGGTTGCGATTTTTTCCCAGAAAGATGGTTTGATAGAGTTGTGGTGCTTCAAACTGAGAACTCTGTGTTGTATGATCGATTGACCCGGAGGTGAACTCGTGCTCCTTTGATTCTCTTCATTATCTTTTGTTTTTGCTCATTCGTCTGAGAAGTGTACTTTGTTTCACTGTTGTAGGGGATACTCAGGTACAAAGCTTACAAACAATATTGAATGCGAGATTTTTCAAGTGTTGTTGGAGGAAGCAAAAGAGAGTTATCCCGAAGAAATAGTTTTTACAATGAGAAGTGATACGATTGAAGATGTAAACAACAATGTTTCCAGCTTATCTGATTGGATTAGGAGTTGGAACACTGCAGCATGAGCTTATCATTATAATGAAGTGCTTTTGTGGTGATCCGTGCTGTAATGAAAATGTAGTCTGCATCTCACGGTTGTGTGGAGGTTTGAGAATGTAGTCTTTTAAGTAATGAAAATTGATAACTTGTACTTGATACTCATGGTATCATTTCAGTAGTTGTGTGTCATACCGATGTTTCTTGTTTCAAATCTTTTAAACAAGATATGATTCATCTGTTGGCCTGACGGGGTATTCTGGAAAGGGTTGGTTGTTAAAGAATGACTCTTTCGAACTTTACAATTTTAACCCATTCATTGTATTGTGTTTATACTGAGGCACTGATAAACTAATTAAGCTTTTGCCCTCTAAATGACCCCGAAACGATTTCGCTGCAGTCTCTTAAGTAATGAAAATTGATAATTGATAATAGTACTCCCTCCGTCCCATAATTATTGTCCAATTTTACTAAAATGAAAGATTTTATTTTTAGTCAAACTTAACTATATTTTATCTTGAACAACCGGATATACCCTACATAAGTAATTGTTTAACCACAAAGATTTTAATGGATAATGCTTTTACTAAGGACAAATGTGTAACTTGATCCATAAAAAGTCAAATTGGACAATAATTTTGGGACAAAATTTTTTGGGCAAAGTGGACAATAATTATGGGACGGAGGGAGTACTTGATACTCTATGGTATCATCTTAGTAGTTCTGTGTCATAGTACTGATGTTTCTTGTTTCAACTCTTTTAAACAAGACATGATTCATCTGTTGGCCTGATGGGGTACTCTGGCAAGGGAGGGTTGTTAAAGAATGCTCTTTTGAACTTTCCAGTTTACGCTTTTGCTCTCTAAATTATCCCAAAACGATTTAGCTCCATCCATCTGATGATTTATTAAGCCTCACTCCTTCTGAACGACTTCACATGCCACTTGAATCGTTGACCCTTTTTCATCAAACTCTTTAACTCGCGCCAGTTCCTCTTCCACTTGCGGCTTGCCAGTCCAATTTGGGAAACTCCAGCACAAAAACTGGCATCAGCAGCTGTTCCACCTGTTTGCAATGCCAAATGAATTCTATCCGACAGCGACAGCTTTATCTGTTCCCACAAACATCCCGCTGTTGCTGCCATTGAGCTACATTTGTCTGTATTTGGTTTCAGCATCAATTGGCAATTGATTTTCTCTGAATTTGCAAGATTCAGATATTGTTCATTCTGTGTTCAGGAATCAGAATGCTTTCCAGAGGCTATGCCGTTACGGGTATGCCGTTATGGACAACCAGAGCAGGCTGACTTGAAATACCAAGTGGACCAAGAAAAAATAATAATAATGATAATCACTCTTGACTGGGTTAAAATATGTAAACTAAATCTCTACTCCAGAAACGGTTTCGGTTTTCTGCAAAAGACAAGAAGAATGACTCTTTGATAATTTTCCAGTGAACTGATATTTCATATACTATTTTAAGTTCTAATAACCATTCACGACCTGACACTACTATACACAATAAAGCAAACTACTAACACAGGACAGAAAAATTTGCATTCGTGCTAGGTTTTTGTAGATGGGGGATCTTGTAGCATAAGTTCATGGCATCCCTTAGCATTTCACTATCAAACTGGGAAAGAACACTTCTCAAGCTCTCTGCAATTTCAGTTCTGTAGCAACCAGTACAAATACCGAAGTTGAAGGTAACTTCACTAACATTTCAATCTACTTCCCACCCTCACCGTGCCTAAGCTTTTCGTCGTCATAATCCTAAGTCAAGTCTATATGTTTCTTACCCCTTTTGTATATTTCACCAGGGAAAGGTTACCAAAAAGATGTTTTCCCCCAGACTCAGGTTTATTTACATGGAATCCGCCGGAAGACCTCAAAAAGGGCATTCTACACGAGGCAATTATTTAACAGAAGTTTCAACTCAGAAGAACTGCAAGATGCCAGTTATTGTGATAGGAGGATCAATCTCCACACGGGTAGCCTTTCCATCCAAAAATAACTGTTGCAGCATGTTTGCATCTTTCGCTGTACCTCCCGCACCGGTCCATAATGTGACATGAGGCCACTGGTTTTTCGAACTTATCTTCTCACCATTGACAGAACCAGGCTCAGCCTCAAATGCTGCCATCTTCTCGGTAAACAGAAGTGCAGTCAAAACTACCGGGACTTTCTCATTAACGAGTGAACCATAACTTGCAACAGTGGCAACGCCATGACTTCTCTTGTGGGCAAGTGTAATATGGGCTTTCGTGAGGCTATCCTTTATGCTTTTCACCTCAAAGAAAGCATGAACATTTGGATCCTTCTCAGCCAACTGAACAAGAGAAGAAACAACAAGTTGTTACTAGTTAATTTTTATCAAGCACAAGCTCACTTAAGATATATCGAAATTGTCAAATTCAAAGACCCTAGTCATGTCACATTACCACATAGACAGAAGCAAAGATGACAGTCATTTTCATAAACCACTGAACTTACTCCTCAAGGACAAAAAGTGAAAAGAGATGAATCAGAACCTAGATACAGTTCATAGAGGACTACAGAACCACCCAATAAAGATATGCCAAGGTGATCAGTGGTAACTTATTGTAAGTGGAAGGGGAGATTAGGAGACATCTGTTATATTGAAGATCAAACAATCACACTGAAGAACTAATACTGAATTCCAGATTCAATGTGACAGAAAATGGGAACACATTACTTACTTTATGGATGGCTTCATGAATTTCTGGAAGAGGCAAACTCACAGCAGCATAAACAATGGCTCCAAGCTTTCTCTTCTCAATGATTGGTGCTACATACTCGCCTCTAGCAACAGCTTTTAACTGTTCCATTACCTGCTGCACAGCATATTCAAATGGAACCTGAAAACAATAATTATAAATAACAGATAAGTGATGACCTCTTTTACTTAAGAAGAAGCAACCAAAAGACTCAAGCATTGGTGAACATCTATTCTTATTTTTCGGTAATCAAACAACTAGTTTCTTGCATTAGGAAAAACAAATGAACACATCGACCTGGATTGAATTCAGATACTCTGCATTTTTGGATAACACCTCCCGCAATCGCTTCTCCCATTGAGCCCACTCCTTTGCATATGTGCCTTTGGTTGACTCCAACCTAAAAATATGAAGTGTTATAAGAATACTCCAGAAGAGATGCCTATTTAGTGGAGTTAAAAATAAATTAAAAAACAAAAGCAAAAAAACTACTTCCCCTTTCAAACCCCCACTCACCATCCACAGGAGAAAGTGTTGAAAGAAAATCAGAAAAGATTTTTTAAGAAGACTCGATTAGAAATACTTTAACAACAAAGTAATTACCAACCTTCCATGCCTGTTCGTGTGAAGCTTGTATAAATTTATCCCCTCCTCCATAACAGATTTCACAGAATCAGGTAGAGGAGACCTACAAGGGCAGGTAAACATGAAAGATGGGTCAAGCACAAAGGAAGATGTAAGATAAGAAATGAGCAGTCTCCTTCAGCAGTCCTCAATGACATTAGCAACAGTAAGCATTAGAAAAAGAAACGTAGAATACAAAATCCATAAGTGTTATATAGAAAGAAACTCTTTAGATTGAAAGCTTAGCCAGCCAAAATTGTTCCTTTCTTGTATTCGTCATGATGCAAAAGAAGCCTCTACAATAAAACTGCAGCCCAGTTGAAAGAATCACAGAGTAAAAAGATTACAAGCATTTCCACCTATAACACCCCCTACAGGGTCCAGATTGGCCTATTAAGGTGTCATCATATTGGCAATTAACAGAGCAAAAACTTTAGCACAACATAAACAGAAACAACAAAAGCTTGGATAAAAGAGAATTAAAAGAATTTCAACTAACCAAAAATTGGCTAACACAAAACCCAATCAAATTCTTTGGACAGATTTTCGGAGGAAAGAAAGTCACCTGTCAGACTTCAATAAAGGCATCTTCACTAGTGCGCCAAAACGTTCAACTAACTCAGCCTCAAATTCACTACGATCCTGATGATAGTAGATGATAAAATAAGAATCCTACTCAAATAAGTTATATTTCAGCCTGCATATTTCAGCCCGCATATAACTTATATTTCAAATAAGTTATATTTCGGTTGGATATAAATTTATACCTTGCCCGCATAAAGGTGATAAAACATTAGCAACACATATCCAGCATTTGCAGAGGACTGGTCAAGATTCCCCTAAAAAGCAAAAAAATGTCAAGAATAACTTATTCAACTTCCATTATTAAGGTTCAAATTCTATATATCAACAAAAGACAAAAAGGAACAGTGAAAAAATACCGGATGATTAACTCGCTGAAGAACTCGGAAAATGAAAACAGCCAGGGCATCAAGAGAAAATGGATTTGTCTCAGTTCCTGCATGTATTCATCATCAGTAAAATCAATATACAAGCATCACCAAGTTGTATGCATATGATCAAGATAAACTTAAGTATCAACAAACATTGTTATCAAAGATCTTATCACATGCATTCAAGAAATGGAATGCTGATCTCTTTAATCAATCAATTAGATAGATATTGCAACAAGAACAAGGGTTTACAGTTAATAATGACTACAGGATTTCGAGGAAGCAAGTTACCACATTCAAAGCACGATAGGCATAAATGAAAGCTTGATCTAATTAGTGATTCCATAAAAGCACACTTGAGGATGCAAGCAAGGGTTCAATGACGACGATCAAGCAGCATGCAGTAAACTCTAGCCTTTAAAATTGATGATAGTCGAATGCATTTCCTAAGAGAAAAGAGTTCCTTTTCTTTTTTCTGTTTTTTTTTTTTTGGGGGGGGGGGGGGGGGGTGAAGGGGTTCCAGCAGGACTGTAAATGAGCATCGCCTAAAGGGAAACCCATACATAGACTACAAATGGTAGATTGTCCAAGAGAAAGGGGTAACAGAATCAGAAGAGCAGACAAGACACAACCTTCTGAGTCAGGTACAACTGGAATTGCGGATGCCTTAGTGCTTCTGCACATATCTTCAATCTGCAGAATGTCCAACTATAATCAGCAATCATAATCTTGCAGTTTGATTACTTTTCAGTTTGATTTAACTAGAAAATTGACATCAAAATAACTAAACCGGACTGATAAACATAGTGTAGAAATAGTGTTGACAGTGAGCACAGAAGCCATTCATAGCCCAGTAAGTTTGGACAAAGGTCTAGAAACTTTATTAGCTTCACATTCAAAGCCAGAGTCCAAATACTCTTTGAAAGAGATCCATGGTGTTAAATGTGACATGATGCTAACAGATTCAATACCTGTCTCCAAACTTCCTCATTTGGTGCATTCTTGTCAGCAAGCATAATGGAATAAGGTTTTCTCCGGCGTTCTTCAGCAATCTTTTGCCAATACCTACCTATACACAATTGAGAAATCTACTTTAACACATCAGAAGCTAAAAAGTATGCCACTATCAGCTAGGCATAAACGATGCAAAAAAGTCATTTTAATTCCTAATATGCAATTTTCAGATTTTAATTTCAATAGCATCAAACATTTGATTTATCCAACACCGAGTCTCGTACCTTTAACAAGATCACCCATCAAACTGTGAATAGGCCGATCGTCCCCAAGACCTCCTTGAGTTTTTAATATTTCCTTACAGAGAGCAGATTTTGCGCAGCCAGGTATTCCTAGATAATAAAATTAATGGAGTAAGCAAGAACTTCTCAAGCACAGAACAGTAATTGTAAAGTTGTTGGGTACTTAAACTCCTCAAATATGGGAAGAAAGAGAGAAGAAAAGAACCTGGGAAGAAAACTATAAGACCCTGATCCCTAGTTACAGAGTCTTTAACAATTTGAGCCGGGGTTTCTGGTCCTACATCCCTATCTAGTTCCAGGTCTCCCTCTTCATCTCTTCCCTCCGCAGCAATGGCCAAGAAATCTTCTGCTCTTACCAAGTTCCCAGCAGATCCAATCAAAGCCTGATTTTGCGGACTACGCTTTGCATATTTCTCTAGAAAAGGTTCGGCTTCACTGAGGTAGAGAGAAGAAGACAGTTGTCTGCGGCCATATTTCCTGCGTATTTCTACTGCCCTGAAATAGAGGTTACCTTGTCAGATGTTAACCTAGGCATCATTTGAAAACCATTCAAGAGTTAAATTTCCAAACCAAATCCAATATTACCACTCATCTAGCATCTTGCTCAGTTCCCTTTGCTTTGTAGGGGAAGTGTTCCATATCTTCATTTGTCTAAAAAATCAGACAGCATAAAAATGATTACGGACAATATATGCGTATTTGCATGTTCAAAATGAAGATAGACAAGAATCTCATGCATTTGTACCCAACAAAACCTAGGAAAAAACAAGTCACGGATGTTTTGAATCAGAAAACAATCCTAATGACAACTATCTGAGTCCCAATATAATAGCTCGATTTCCTACTATTCTGGTGAGAGGGAAATGTTGATCTGCACTATTAACAAAGCAAGGTTTAGCCTTTAAGGATAAGTACTTCTAAGAACATTACCCACATATAAACGGACCCCACAAGGGAAAAAGTCAATAGCAAGGCTGAACTTGATAAGTGGCCTCATCTATCAGTTTCACAACTCCTTCTTCTTGGTACCATCTTAAATAGACGTCCAAAGTTTGGGTCGATCTAAAGAACTAAGATCTGGAGAACAAGCTTAGCCGTTAAGTAACCATCTCGGAATTGAACTCAAAAAAGAAGGCATCAGTAGCTGAAGTCCAAGCAAATTTTGTTTAATTTTGAAAGTTGATATGTAAGGCACAACTATGGTAAATTAATGATGCTATATGCGTTGTGAGTGTTGTAATCAAATGTTGTAGGCTAAGCCTCCACTACTGAAAAAGGGAAAAACGAAAAAGGAGTCCCAGGATGTGGAATATGTCTGTTTTATGATTCAAAAATGCATCATTGAGAAACCTAATTGGATTTACCTTAAATAGTACGCCTTGTATGCAGCTGGACCGTCTTTGAAAAGAATTGACAAGCCATTCCTCATCAAAAATGTTCGTATCTGCATCATGAAAAGACAAGAAAAAATAAAGCTGAAAACAACCACATTGCACAAGTGCCATAGGAACAATTGTCCTATCAGAACTCAGAAGGGAAGCATAAAAAAATGTATTCTAGAAGCGATTAAAGTACCCAAAGAAAACTACTCCACTTCAACCAACTACAGTAACAGCATGCAACAAAGAAACCAAGTGGGAAGTAATTGGAATGCAACCCAGGAAAATAATTCACAACAAAGGGAGGTCTACAAGAAATATGCAATCTAATAACTAGTTTACCTTATAAGTAAGAAACTTCAACTTTATCATCAGATTTGCATCTTCATCAGCTAATCCATCTTTCGGCAACGTGTCAACATCATTGTCAGAACTTTCCATATCCAAACCACTTTTAGCAAAGTGCGAAGCTTCTCCATTTCCTGCCTTAAATAAGTTCAGGTCCACAAAAAAACCTGCAAAGACCAGCATTCATCAGCAGTCTGTACAAAAAAATGGTAAAATCTAATCCATCAACAGGAGAATGAATTATTGCAAAGGATGCATAAAGTAAAAGTGTAGAATTGATAGAGGTATAAATCAACAGTGAACCATTACAAGTGTAACATGGTGTGAATGCGGTTGATCATGGAATGGAGTAGTTAGGCAATGGAGAAAAAGGAGCCTTTCTCCACATGAACCAGTACCAATGCATACGTAATGGGGTACATGCATTTGACCAGAAAAGACATTTCCAGACAAAACAGCCTACGGCTTCCAAATTGACCAGGAAATATCAACATGGAAGAAACCCAGGCTAGGTTTGTATTATGGGCGAGATATAGACAAGAAAGGTAAGAATTAGTGTCATCTCACCTCGATAGAGAGGCCACAATCCTGGTTTGTGCCTGAGACATGCAAATTCGGACCCCATTTTAGTAAATTAAATCCATAAGATTAATGGCAGCAGACATAGCAGCCAAGAATACAACTGTTTAAAAAAATCAATTCATGAGACAAAGAGAGGAAAGACCTCATTTCTTGCTGATATCGTCGGAAGGCCGAATCTCGGTGTACATGGACAACCAGTTTGAAAGGAAGATTATTATTGGCAACAGAATTGATCTTCTGATAGTTGTAATAACATTTCAAATTTGCATACCGCTTTTCCCGTATCAACCGAATCATTTCCTATTTCGAGTCAACATTCAAACCATGCATTAAAATGGTAATTAGAAAACTGAATATCGCATGTGATTGACCACTATCATCCAATACGAATATTCAAACTGAGAAAACCACACAAAGAACACTTCCATAAAGTATTCCTCAGGCCATATCTGATCATTGAGCCCAATGGAGGTGTTACACATTACAAAGTTATATTGGCTTTTACATGGAATAATTTATACAAAACAACTGCCATATAGAACCCAAGGAAGTTTTCCAAAAGCTTTGTTATTGAAATTAAACCAATATATTTTTAGAGCATAAACCATTCATATATGGAAAGTATGCAAGTAAAAACGAGCAATTTTAGAGCATAAAATATAATGAAATAAAAGATCACACCTGCAATTTTGTGGTCGAAATATCCGCTGGATGTGCTTGTAAAAATTTGGTGATGACGGCACGATCAGCATTTCTTGAATGTGATTCAGACCCTTCAGTCCCAAACCAGTCCAGATAGTTCAGGCAGAAAGAGGTGCCGACATTCTGTAGCAGTGCCTTTATTTGCTACAAGTCACATAACAGGAAAATGAATTTATCGCAAGTATACCATGAAATTTAGATGGCATCAAATAGCACTGGTTAGAGAAGTGCATTATTTAATGAGGATACTTCAGAATTACCTGCTTCTCATCAGATCTGTTAGCAGCAAAAATCTCTCGAAGGCTTGGACCAAAATCCATGCCGGCTGGCATGCAGTAAAAATTTAGCACGGGATAACACAAAGTAGATATTACTATTTAGGTATTTTGGAACAGAATGACAACAATAAGAGCCTTATAAGCATCACAGCTTCATGAAATTTTCATTTCAATTACAGTAGTACCTGTACTCCCACCCCCCCCCCCCAACCCCCGAAACCAAACGAAAAACAATGATAAAAATAAGCACCGTGAACTTCTCCATCACAGCATGCTAGAATTCTAGAAATAATATCTTCACCGATATTATGATTATCTCTATATAACTGTACAACTGGCTATCTAAGATATTTGAGAAGGAAGCTTCCCAGATTGCCCTAACCTAAAAAGTATAATACCATTAACAAATAAATTAGTGATTCTACAGTTTCTATTCGTCTCACTGGGGCAAAGTCTCCTACACATGCACAAACCATCTTAGGCGTGATTATGATATTTAAGTCAAACAAACTGATGTTAAAAACATTATTAGACAAGAAAACCTTTACCAAATCACAACAGATGTTCCAAAAGGAAGAGAATTTTCACTAAAGTTATAAGAGACACCAAAGAATCTATATTCATAACTTGCATAGCTGCTAGATAAGCTTGCCTGGAAGCAGAAAATCACAATTTTACCTATTGATATGCAAACATTATGGAATATTTCAGAATAACAGCTTGATTTCTTAAGGGAAAAAAGAGAGAATTTGTTCCAGAACTACTTGAAGTATCTAATGATCTTTGAGCTCAATCCAGTCAATGGGAAAGAAAAATATTCAATACTTAAAAGAAGAAAAGTCTACCTTCCTCCTCCAGTGAGGGTATAGGAAAATCACCAAGAACTTGTTCAAGTTGTTTCGAACTTTCCCGGCTTACAATTCGAGCCACAAGACCCTCTAAAATTTCACCTTGTACCTTAACATGATCTTTTGATGCTGCATACAGTGAGAGAGGTGTAAATATAAGGAAGAGAACAAAACCCACTAAACAAAGAGATCTATGAGAGATGGAAAAAGAACAGAAGATGTAACAACTTCATATTAGACAAGGCCACAAAAGTTCCAGCGCGGTGACTTTGATGCAAGTTGAACAGCGAAATGCTATTTACACATCGTGAGCCACTGCACATTTATGTGAGACTGCAAAGGGAAATCGCAGGCTACAGGTACAGAGTTGTCCCCTCTAATGCTTCTAGTGGCTTTTATTGCTAATGATAGCACAATATCAGCATACCACCAACAAAAGCTGCCAAGATCTTTACAAATGATTTGATAATGCAATTCAAAGGATCTTTTTGGCACACCCTGGCTTGGAGCAATGCACAGGAGATGCAGCAACCAGAGTGGGATAGGAAGTTCACTATGATAAGTGGATGAAAAGGGCATGATGAAACTAGCACTTCACTATGAGTGAAGTTTGAAGATCAAAAGTAGCGAATGCTGAACCAAGAGGAGTTAAAAGACAAAAATCAGGGAGGTCAACTCCAACCTCACCTGAGATGTAGTAGAGCTTATGAGAAAATTGAAAAATTACACACCAAAAAGATTGTAATATAGCTTACAATATAAAGCCTAAGAAACATATCATTGGTCAAACATATATGGTAGTAAATTAATTTTACCTGGAACAGATACATCCGCAACTTCATCAAGTGCCTGACAAACTGGAGTTGCAGTTCCTTCTTCACATAGTGCATCATACGCAGCAAAAAAGGATGTCACCGATTTCCTGAATACAGGATCAAAATATGAATGACAATCACCAAATTGCTCCGAAGCACCAAAACATCCAATACAGGAAATGACCAATTAGGAGAAAAAAAAGATACAACTAGGGCAGATAATTGATGAACATAGCTATCTCTGACAAAACTCTGAAAAATTATCTCGCCATTCACAACCTTTGCACAAATTTCTAAACTTCAAAATATAAACATTGAGGAAGTTTACTATCAGAATAAAAACAATTCACATCAATTCACATAAAAAAGATAGTAAAAAGATAGTAACTAAAAAGATACTATCAGGAAGCTTTCATATCAACTTTACGTAAATTTCAACAAAATAAAAACATACCGAGTAGAGAACAACCACACATGATTTGTAGGTAGGCGCCACTTCCTGCAAAAAGCTATTATTTCAGGAGTTGAGTAAAATTTTGGCTTTCCCTTTCCCAGTTCGGTGACTGCAGTAACCACCACTGCACGAAAAGCATAACAATTAGATTAGGATGAAGCACAATCAACAGACTTCATCAGAAACTATAAAAGGATCATCGTCTGTACAAAGGAGAATATATTTACTATTAAAAGTAGATGTCTTAAAGATTTCCATTCTATGATCCACTTTAATAAATCTAATGTGGGGCAGAGAATCAAACTTCAATAATTAGGAATATGGCAAAATGTCACTGAACAAGTGCATTATCTGGTACCCTACATCAATGCAGTGGAATTGGACCAATTGGTGAAAATACCACATGCATCTAAAACTTCAGGAAGTGATCCACAGGTACTAGTTTCCATCAATGCAGTGCTATTACATTATTTCTCATCCCCTTACCATAATCTTCTTTAGGTCGTTGCCCATGATCGCCTAATACAGCAGTCACCAGTTCCATCGATATACACATACGATTCCTCTGGACAAGAAGAATGTGAATTCAATAAAAATTGATAATTCAAAATACCTGAATTGATACCCAAACTGGTAGTAAATTATTTGGACAAGAAGAAGGCAAAAATGATACCCAAACTTGAACGTCATCTTGAACACAAAAATATTTCAGAATTATGAGCAGAAAAGTCAGACATTCAATCCATACACTGATATTTTAAACTCAAAAACATAAATTACTTTTCATTAGCCTTGGCCCTTGATCTAATTCAACCAGATCTTCGCAGTCACATCTTGGAATATGAAAAGGCAATTGTTCCACAAACCACCCAGTCACAATAGTTCCGAGTCCAGACCTCCAAAAGGGCTATTCCCTCATCATAAATCATGGTAGGTTCATGATTGGATACTTAAACATTCAAGCCGAGCAGTCATTGCATAACAGCATCAGACAAGCTAATGTTTGAAATTGGAAGTACCTCCAGATATTCATTGAACTCTGCTTGCTTCTTGGTAGCTTCAGCACCCCATGCTTCGCGAAATGTCCTTCCAAGAACAAAAACGCCAACGGCAGTATAACTGCAGCAAGATTGTGTAAACTTACTGATGATTTTGTTCAGAAATAGTCAAAACTGTAACAAATGGAATCAAATATTGCGAACCAATCCAGGAATGGAACATTTATGAGAAGAGAGACATGTTCATTGTACTTGTAAGTTGAGAAAAATTCAAAAATATTATTATTATATCAGGTCTTCCCACGGATTAACGCAAAAAGTCGCAGTCAAAGGGTTTACCATTTATCAACCAGAAAAATGCATCTACGAGGAGCTAAGACTAGATGTCTTTTGAAGGTTGATCTGAGGAAAGCTTATGATACTATAAATTGGGATTTTATCTATGAATTATTGGTGGGCTTCGGATTTCCAGGTAGGTTCATTGGTTGGATTATGAACTGCGTAAGAACGTGTACTTTCTCTCTGAATCTAAATGGGAATCTTGCTGGTAACTTTCAAGGAAGAAGGGGGATAAGACAGGGGGATCCAATGTCACCTTCGATTTTTGTGATAGTAATGGAATCCAAACAGATTATTCAAGGAGGAAATAGGGAAGGGTACTATTCAGTTTCATCCTCAATGTGACGAGATGCATTGAGTTAAACTCTGCTTTGCTGATGATCTATTAATAGTGCATAAAGCGGAACTAGAACCACTGAGTATAAAAGACGGATTATAAACTAAACTAAAACGCTTACATGTTTCCAAAACTGTTTTTAGCGTATGCTCCTCCCTCATGTCCAGCATACATGAAAAGAGATCCAGAATGTTTAAGTGATACCTGTGGAAGCATTAGGAGATATTAAACAGAAGATGGGGGAAGACACACACAGATACAGAAACACACACACACACACACACACACAAGAACTAGCATTCAAATGAAGCAAAGTTAAAAGCTTTTAATGTAATTGTAAATCAGAAGATATGTTCCTACCTCCAATGTAGCCAATCCTTTTGATACCATCTCTATCATCCTTGATCTGACCTGCAACTCCAAAAAGCTAAACATGATGACCATGTTCACCAAACTTTGAAATATGGCATTGCAGAATATGTTCATACTACCGAGTCCATCAACAATCACATGATAACAATTGAAGAATCTACAGATTTGGATAGATGATAATGAATGTTGCAACAGGCCTACTCAAAGATTGGGAACGGTGTTCAAGTAGAAACTGCATCACCCACTTTATCCCCTTTTTAAACTTTCTAAGAGGTCATGCCAAAGTAAAGAAGCATTTACATCTATTTGTTTTCGAAAAATTTTTGTCTAACAGGAAAACGACAAACGATACAGAAGGGATTGGTCGGCCAAAATATATGACCATATATATAGTTAAAGCCAACAGAGTTAACAGAATAAAAAACAGAATAACTCTTGAACAAAAACTCCCCACTCGTGAATAAAAAAGCATCTCATAATACGTTACGATTAGACTTCTCCTCGTTAACCTACATTGTTTTTCCCTACTTCAGTTAATAAGGAAGCATGCAGACAAATTGGGTCCTTATTTGACACAGAACTTTATCAACTGAAAACTAGACTATCGAAACAGAGCGGTAAAATCACCTCATGATCAGACTTCTCATTTTCAAATTTAGGATAGAAAGTGGCCCTAATTTGGGCGTGAGAGTAGGTTGACTTGTCCACAGTAAAATTGTCCAACAGATTGCCCCCAAAAAACTTGCTCAGGACTGCATTATTTACTCCATTTGATGCTGTATGAGCTTTATTCTCCAGTGTTTCACCCGCCACTTGGTTTGCCGATCCTTGGTCAACCTCTACCGCTGGCAACCCACTTGCCGTTCCATATGACCTAGGCTTCCAAGAGACAGTTTGTCTAGGTACAGGATTCTGGTGCGCGACAACTCCAACTTGCGGAACTCGTGCAGAAACACTTGGCCCACCACTAGTTTCGGCAATGCTCAATGAATTCAGCCTGTCAGCGATAGCTTCCTCTGTAACCCTAGAAGTTCCCTCCGTCGCAGACAATGAACTAGATTGTCCTTCTGCATCTGGTTTTGCCACCCACCTCTGGACTTTAGCCGTAGCCTTTCTCTGAATATCCAAAATTGAAAAGTGATCATTCCCAGTATTGCATTCCATGGTGAAGGCTAAAACTTGTACAACTTCAAAATGCATAAGAAATTTATTTCAGAAATAAGTACATCACCTTTCCCCTACAAGAAATAGTGTCCGCACAAATAGCAATGATATTTGAAAATCAGAGTAATGTCATTTAATAAATTCACATTGTTATATAGAGTATTCTCTTCTCTACCACCAAGCAGACAACATATTCGTTGTGTCCCATGGAGATGCGGTAACAAACAAAATTCAGTAATATAAAGACGGAAGGAAATTAAATTATTCTCCCACAATCAGAGCCTTAGTTCTAACCCTTTTTCATATTTCACGTGTATCCGCATTCACTGCCAAGGCTTCTCAACTTCAAAATCTCTGATAACGTAATCATATAGAGCATTTACGCATACACACATGAAGAGCAAGAAATTCACGCCAGCAAAAGAACAATTAAATTAAATTTCATAGAGGAAAGGAGAACAGCGATACTGTAACACCATATTAAAAAAAAAAAAGAAAAAAAAATTATTCGGCGTTTTCAAGACGATCAAAGCTTAAAAATGCTCCTCGTCATTTCCAAAGAGATCAGCATGCGCAAATTAACATCAATTGACGCGACAATTAGGGGGAAAAATCACACACACACACACACAACACCTGAGTGCGGGGCATGGTGGCGGAGTGAAAGAGCGGAGTGAAGAAAGAAACAGGACGCAATCGGAACGAAATGAAGCTTCCGGAAGAAGTAGAAGAAGAAGAAGAAAATGGCGACGGATACAGAAGAGAAGCACAAGAACGAGAGCAAGAACTACAGAATGTGAGAGTGAAACCCGAGAAAACGGAAAACCTCTGGGATACCGACATCCAAAATTTCCGGCTATCAATTTCTTTTTCTTGCTATAAATAGCAGAGGGATTTTGTTTCAGGAGGTGCAAATTGAAAGGAGGGGTCAGAACGTAATTAGCCAAAGAGCAAATACAGGACTTCGGCAAACCGCCTTGCAAAACCTTGAACTATTCAGTTCAGTTGAATTGGAATGCATACCCCCCCGCAAGTAGGATTTTGGAGGAAGAATGGGTTTTACAGGGGTAGAAATGGTATTTAATCTAATATATAATACCCCGCGAAAGGAATTTTGTAAGCCAAAAAAAAAAAAAAAAAGTGAGTTTCTTTTTCTTTCTTTCTTTTGGGTTAAATATTCATATTCTTAGTTCTTATTCTCTCTATCGGCATCAAGAAGTAGAAAATTTTACAACTCAATTCATTTAATAATATCTTTCAAAAAAAAAAATACTTCAGGTAGGAGATTTCAAGAGTGGAGAGGGGACGAATTCTAGTTTATTTTATTTTACGAGATAGTACAAAAGTATCGCATTTCTGTTCCGACATCTAGGATGAAGAAGGACACATAAGCATCGTATCCTATAAATTAACAAGATATCATCGATGGTATAGAATTACTCTTAAGGAGCAACCAGAAGTTGTAGAAGTTAAGAATTCGAAGCAGATGTTTAATCTATGAAGCAGTCATTGCTGGATACATTTTTGTATAAATGAGTCTATTTCCCCAATTGTCATCCTCCTCTTTAGCTATTGGCAGCTGGTTTTGTTAAAAGCCATAAGCAGCTGCTTCAAAATAATGTTCTGTAATTCATACTGTTATCTGTATTACCTGATATTTGCAGCAAATACTTTTTGTAGTTATGTACGTGAATGGTTACCACCTCTGAATCTTCCACAGTATTTTTTCAGGGTCCAAAAGCGAAGCCGTGTGGCTTTGGCAAACTGCAGGTTCTGGCTGTGTTACTAATCCTGAACCAGATTTGTCAGCTCATTCTCGAGAGCACTCTCTGTTGGTTCAATGATCTCTGCCGGAACAGGAACTTCATCAACTATTTCTGTGTTTTCTGCTTCAATATCTTCAGCAATTCCTTTGGCGGTAATATGATCCACTGTTGGAGCCAGAGGACCTTGAGGGGCACCATAAACAGTACTAAAAATCTGCCTGTGACATTCACCACAGAAACAGAAATAAGTGAAGTGTCCCTCGTATAGGAGCTTGTGCACCATGGCATCTGGCAGAACTCGCTGCACAAAATCACTCATCGATGGGGGGACAACTCTATCATCCATTCCCTGTTCAATATTTAAGAATTCAATATTCAGCAAACGAAACAAGACAAAATCTTAACTTTTCTTCAATGGAACAACTTATAGCTCACACAATAGACACAAAAACACATTGTCATACTTCAACACTCAGTGAGAAAAAGTTTAAGATTAGGTTTCAAACCAAAGGGAAAGACAAAAACAGCAAATTTTTCTGCAAATAAGTATTTGACCAGATCCAATAGAAACTTCAGAAGCCTTAACGACAGGAATATGAAGACAAATATATGTAGCTCGGAAGATATATCAAGAAGAATGCAGAAGCTTTAAATATGATCAAAATCTTGCCGGACATTACACCAGAATCATGACAAAGAATGATTTTATTTACGCCACTTGTTATGGATCCACGAGTACTAAATAAAACAATTATGACATGAAGCTGAAGCATATCCTTGTGGTGTAGCATAACTAATGCACAAACCTGCCACACGTGAATTGGACCAACAAACCCATTCAAGAGTTCTTCGTCTTGACGGAACATGGATTTCAGCCAGACCAGAAACCCTTTGCCTTTGTTTTTCTTTCTTACTTTGAGGTCAGCAAGTTTGAAACCCCAATTGGAAACCTGTAAGACAGCTTCCTGAACAAATGGACCAGCATTTCCTTGTCTAACTGATTCTTCCACATCTCTCTGCCAGAACTCTTCAAACAGTGGATGCTCTACCAGAGCCTTATCCTGTGAATTTTTCCATGATTTCGTTAAGAAAAAGTATCTAGGACCTAGGTACAAATAAATCTTTAACAAGTGGAGAAACTATTAAATTTCTGATCAAGTAGTTCACAGATTTCTTTCACAAAATCTCAATCACCCTTCACAGAAGGAACATGAAAAAGCTATGCCCTAGCATCTGAAATTGCCACCACAACTACAAGTCAAGATTACTCACCCTATTTCCTAGTGACAGAGAAAGCCACTTGTCAATCTGACCATGTTTCCCGGACAGGAAGCTTCTATGATAGAAGTACGGGAGTAAGCTTGGAAACTTTTTAGCAAGCGTGTACATAAGCCTCTTCTTTGTTGTCCACTTTGCCCACGTTCTACGTTGCTCTTCCTTGGTCATACAAGGTTCATAAGGATTAACCATTGGAGCAATGAAGATGGCGCCTGCAAATCAATGAAGAAAATCTGAGCTAAATGGAAAAGGTGGTATTCATTTCATGTCTGATCTTAAACTGCTACAATATTTTTCTTTCAATATGGCTTTCCCTATGCTAAAGTACTCGATCAAAAATGCATGGATGCAGAAAGCTGATAATGGAGACAGAACCTCAGCACCATGAGCACCTCCCAACATTTTATTTATTTATTTATTTATTTATTTTTTTGAGGAAAACCTCCCGAACATTAAACTCTCAGAATCATAGGGGAATAAAATAAATATTGGTTAAACTAAAGTAGCAGTTATGTACGGAATACTTCCATTTCAAGAGGGAGTTAAGAATCCATCAGGAGCCGCAATGCCTCAATTTAATGCTAATTTTATTAAGATACACTTGCATTATGCTAATAGCTCTGTCCTGTGAGTATAAATATCAGAATATCAAGTTTCAAATCCATCAGATTATAAAGCAAAAGACATTTTTGCCTCACTCATTCAGACTTGATGGAATTAAAATATGGCCCCGTACTATGCAACTTATGGTAATGCATAATTTAAAAAATTTGCTTGGAAATTGAAAGGATACGGATGGAAGAGATACCTGCTATTCTGTCAGGAATGTACCGGAGGGCAGCCCAAGCATGCATGCTTGCACCAGAAAATCCCAATACCCAGAACTTTCCAGTGATATTTACTGAGTATGATAAGTGTAACATATCCATAGCCGATGACTCAAGGTTCCTATCATGGTGAGGATCGCTCTCCCCGAAGCCTGGAAGGTCGTACGTCACCAGGCGAATACCAAATTCTTGAAGAATTGAATCTCTAATTCCAGGTATTCCTGTTATATATAACATTTTGGAGAGAATGGTGATTATCAAAAACTGTTGAGGTAAATTACTATTAGATGGTGCTCTTAATTACATATGTTGGTTCTAGTGAAAGCAGCGTACCTGCCAATCTAGAAGAAAGAAAAGAATGTGGCGCAATGATGGAAAATCTAGCTCGATCAGCAGGCATTCCTTGCTCCTTGTAAGCCAAATGTCTAACATCTGGAAGCAATATACGAGTTGCACTTGGAGGATGCATACACATTTTCTTTACCAATGTAGCAGTACTTTCACTATCAGTATTTACAATCAATACTGCAAAAACCAAAAAAGGCTATTAGTATGGTCCACTGAGAACTTAAACCAGTGAGTTTAGACAATTTATTTCAGAAAAATTATCTTCATCACTTAGAGACCTTAGTCAATGAGAAGGCAACCTTCAATCTTCTGATGAATCTACCAGTAAGTACTGTACTATATGTATTTCATTCATCTATGGATACTATAGAGTCAAAGCAAAGAACAAGTTAAGTTGACCTTAACTGGAAAATCCTAAGATATATCACGCAAGGTTCAACCATAAACAACAGAATAATTGCAAAACTAACAAAGATGATTAGTATTTTTTGAAGAGGAATGTAAAAATCCTATATGCATGGACCTCAAAGACAATCGACTAAGCAAAATCAGGACAATCATGGCAGAACAGAAACACTTGGAATCACAATTATGAGTTAACCGATCACAGTAGAATAATCTCAGAAGCACAAAACATCAAACCAACAAACAAAGGAACAAAAACTACAGCCAGTACCGGTAAATGCTAGAAGCAAAACGAGAAGAATGGCAGTCCAGGAATGAACAGGATCACGATCCTCAGGCAAGTACTCATTCAAGAACCTCAATTTCCTACAGACTAGCCCACACGGTCCCTTCAGCTTCTGGACAATGACAGAATCCTCCCTGAAAATGCTCTGCTTCACCACATCCCTCACTCCCTTCCCGAACTCCACGCTCATCTCCGCGAATCCCTTGGCGAATTCCACGGCGTGATACTTCCAGTCGTCCTCCACCGCCGCCGCCGCAGAATTCCGTGATCGCGGATGTCCGGCAGCATCTCCTCCTCCCGGCGCGAACCAGTCCCACGTTGGCTTTGACTCGTTGACTTCCGACATTGAAAATTCAGCGACTCAGAAAAATTCGGAATCAAAAAACCGAAGGTTCCGGTTCGAATGGCGTAAATCTCAAGCTTGAGAATTCATCTACATCTCACTGTGTGACTGTGTGCACGCGAATGAATGGAATTGCAAGCATTTCTCTCTCTCTCACTCTACTTCTATGTATAGTAGAGTTACAGAATTCTGTATGTATATTCCAAATGTGTTTTTTTCTAAATAAACAAAAAAAATGGTTTCTGGTTACCTTTTTGGTAATTTGCCAGCAATGACAGAACACAGATGACGTTTGTGTAAGTGAGGGCCGGAAAGTGATAGTTTGTGCCTTTTTGGGGTGAATCTGACAATTAATGCAAGAAAAAGGGGCTATTGATGTAAAATTGGATAGAGATCGAGGGTGGAGATGATGCCACGTAAGGAGATAGTGGGTTCGGTGATTGGAGAGGTAGTGGACTGAGATAAAAATAGTGACAGCGGCGGTGGTTGGTAGTGGTGGTGGTAGGGACGTGGGTCGTTAACGTAGACGTCGGGGATGCAACGTATTATTAATGTATTCAATCTTTTGTAAAAAAGTTATTATTGTTTTCTTTTTTATCTCAGTAAACCTATTGAGGTGTTTTGGGCAAAATAGTTACAGACTGTACATTTGGACTTTTTTTTCTTTTTTTTCCTGCATATTTTTCTTTCTTGACGAATACTTTTGACAAGTAGAATCACAAAATAGAATGTTTTTGACTACTTTTAGTATCTGGTGTAATACTCGACCAGCGTGTTTTTATAATAAAATAATCTTTATACGTTAATAAAATTACAAGTGTTTGACGCGTTTCTAACATTCAGAAAATGTTATTATTTGTGTGACACCAAATGTAATCTAGAAAAATCCATTTGGAGTTACACAAATCGGGATGTTTGGTATTGCCAATGTACAATTGTCAATAATTCAGCATATGCTAGTACTAGTAGTTCATAATTTGGCATTAAATGAGCAGTAATGCTAATAAAAAGCTTCTAAATTGACAAGTAAGCTGTTAATATACGCACATGTGCCCTTTTTGCTTGTCAATAAGCTCATCCAATGGCGATATCATAAATGGTGATTACATTCATGACTTTTTTAAGTATATTATTTTATCAAAAAATATACAAACCGTCACCGGCATACACGTCAGCACATGCACGAGACAGCTTTTTTTTTTGGGGGGAGGGGGAGAGAGGAAAGGAATGAACTGTAGATAGGCCAGCACGGGGCTTCCGGGGTGAATCATTAAAAGGATTTCATTGCCTTTTTTTGGGGGGCGGATTTGCGTGGGCAAATAATAACAAACGTATAATTTGCAAGATGTATCTTATGGTCATGTGTAATACGCTCTCTTTTTACACAAGTTGATTTATTTTTTTCTTAATTTTTAGTTATACGCACATTAAATTCTTTAATTCTCATCCAATTTTTTCTCACACATTTAATTTTAAACCGTTTTCTTTTTTGCTTATCTTGGTATTTTTTATATTATTTTATTTTATAAGAAATTTTTTTTTATAGCTATAGATTTTATTTGTGTAAAATTGAATATGATTCATCATCGAGACGTATAAATCCGAAGAATCAATTGGAGCAAAAAATTTGAACTGATTATCAATGAAATTTGGAGAATTAAGCGTCAAATATGGAAGATTTTAATAGACAATAATGTTTGGTCGGATGAATAATAGTATTCTTATCGATGAATAATGATAATATTGTGGATGAATAATAGTGTTCTTATAGTGATAAAGTTATGAATAAATAAATTTAAAATTTTGAAATGAATGTAAATATCAACAAAGATGAATAACGAAGCAAATGTTGATGAATAATGATCTCATTCAAGATGAATAACAATAATAAACTGAAGAATATATATATATATATATATATATATTTGCATGATGAATACACATATCTATTGAACGAATAACGCATGTTCAAACAATGAATGATATATATTTACAAGATGAATAACACTAGTTTACATTATTAATAACACTAGTCATTGTTTTTAACATATTCGGTCTTGAATGATTCCCGATGCTCAACACATTTATGTTGATTATTTGATTTCAGCAACTCTGTCAAATATTTGATTCCTGGCCGATTGAGTTCATCTTGATGAGCATTTCTTTGCCGTTGATCAAACAAAAATAACATTACAATAAGTGAGATTTCACATTCAATCAAAACTCTGTTAATCATCAATAACAATGGTATTGAAGATGAATAATCATTTTGAAAATGATGAATAAACATTAAAATTACCTAAATCAAATCCAGTTGATAACAATCGTGTACGGTAAATATTACATGATGAATAACAATATAACTGTTGATGGTTGACATATATTTGTATGATGAATAGACATATCTACGGAATGAATAACACATATTCAAACGATGAATGACATATATTGACAGGATGAATAACACTATTTTACAGGATTAATATACATATTTACAATTGTGTACAATCACATATTATATGATGAACAATATCACTTGTAGTTTGTATCGCAATTAGAATGAATAACTAAGCAAAAATAATGAATACCTAGAAATAGATGATGAATAAACATTTCACAGAAGAAGAAAACATGACTAAAATAACCCAAACTTGATGATGAATTAATGATATCAAGATGATGAATAACCGCCAGAAATATATAATGATGTCAAAATCTGATTTCCAAAATCAACCACAAATCGATGAACAATACTAGAATATCGATGAACTAACATGTTTTAAGGATGAATAGTGATATTAAACTGATGATCCCTAGATCTATTAATCTTTTCCAAAATTGACCACATATCGATGAACAAAACTAAGAAATTGATGAACTAACATTATTAATCGATGATGAATGATGAATAAATATTTCACAGAAGAAGAAAACATGACTAAAACAACCACACATTGATGATGAATAATGATACCGAGATGATGAATAATGCCAAATCTGTGAATATTTTCTGAAATCAACCACAAATTGATGAACAAGACTAGTACATCGACGAACTAACATGTTTTAAAGATGAATAACGATATTAAATTGATGATAGCACCTAGATCTATTAATCTTTTCCAAAATTAACTACATATCGATCAATAAAACTAATCGACGGGAATAATCTCAAATCTTTGCCACCGGACAAAACACAAAATAGATCTATTAAACTAATAAACATCACATAGATCTATTAATCTTTTCCAAAATTCACCAGACAAAATACAAAACAGATGAATAATCTCAATTCTTACCGTAATTCTCATATTCAGCAGCGTATATTGCAACCAAACTCACAGGATTTGATACACAATCGGATTCCGTCTTCAAAAATACCGCCGCCGAGAGGTTTTGATGCCAAATCGCTACTGAGAATATTTTATTTTTTAGATTTTTTAGTTTGATACGTCTTTGGATTAGAATAGGAATTTGGATGGATATTATTAATAATGGTTGAAAATTATGAGAGATATTAGGAAATTGAAAATTTGAAAAATCTTTATTCTTTTACCCTCTTTTTGGACGCGTGAATTTCAAACTAAGTACACCTTGAGCTCTATATTTTTCTGGGTTAGCGTGAGGTTTAAATAAAGGCTGCATGATGATTATGACGACCAAGCCATCTGTTTATTACTGTTACGAAAGATTAAAAAGAATATACTAGTAATAATTATTTGTTCTTAATTTCACATAACTAAATCGAAAAGTTTAACTATGCATCCTCCTCTATATATATATTGTCCATTTACAAGGAAAAAAAAACATTAGCTTAGTCACAGACAGGTCAGCGACTTATCAGATTAGGCGTACTATTCACCTAACCACTTTATAATTGACTTCTGAAAAACTCTACTATTATAGGAAGGAAAAAAAAATTGGGGAAACAATTAGAAGTCCTATGGGTTAATAATTGCACGTGAAATTTATTTAGTTTTCGACCCATTCTTCTTCTTCTGGCTAAAAATTATACAACAAAAAAATAAAAGCAGTGGAGGAGTGGTCCATTCTCATGTCTCAAAACGCCACTAAAATGGTACCATCTGCATTTGGAAGCTTCACGCATAATTACAATTTACAGGCCTGAGTTAAACAAAGGTGAGCTTTCTTATTTTTATTTTATTTTTTGGGGAAAAAAACAAAGGAGAGCTTAGTGTATCATATATATGGGAATTTGCACTCTGGATCATATTTCATATTGCACAGCATAATTCATCTAGACATTGTTGTGTAACAAATGCATGATAAAAAAAATACTACCTCCATCCCAAAATAAAAATCTACATATAATTTTCAAATTTGTATTAAAAACAATATAAAATTTAAACCTCAATGTAGTCTATTTTTATAGAACGGAGGGAGTACTTTTTTCGTCTAATAAGAAGTGATATAGTTCATCCTTTTATTTTAATTTTTCTGTACACAAATAAAAATAACAACGTATGAATATTAAGAATGATGTGTAAGAATATAACAAAAATCCTGGTTGCCAAAAGAAAAGAAAAACAATAATAATCTTGTATGAACGATGTGTAAGAATATAACAACCCTGATAGTCCAAAAAAATTAAAGATAAAAAAATCTCCTATATGAGCATATATCCAAAAAAAAGTTTACATTGCAATTTTTCATTCAATCCACTAATAATTTGCATACAATACAATTTATATACTGATGTGAATTATTTTATTCAAACGAAAAGTGCTAAATTAGAAATTTGTTGTAAGCATAAACTATATTTTCCGATGTTCCAAAAATCAGCCTACTTAATTGAACTATTTAAGTCCAATAAAGATAATTTAACAAAATAAATCATTTTCCTGAAATGGAATAAGTAATTAGTTGTTCACATTAGAAAGTTTGTTTTGGCTTTCTGTATGAAAGCTTCTGGACGTAAATAAGAAATAAAAAATTAGCATCATACTGAATTTTCCCAAGCATCAAGGCATTTGCTTTTCTTTTTTTCCAAAAAAAAAAAAAAGGAACAATAAGACTATTTAAAAAAAAATTATTTTAAGTAACAAGGATGTTAAAGAAACACAAAACAACATCAACAAAATAAGAATCATTGTAGGGTTGAAGCAAGCAACCATGGAATCAGTTGTACTGAACCAATCATATTCATCATCATCATCGCTACTGAGGTATCTGAACAAACGCAATTAAATGACATACAGTTCGTTCTTTCTTATTCCAAGTCTCCAACACTGAGCATGAACTCAAATTGGTTGCCTCATAGCAAGGATTTACTCGTGACAGCTGTTACAAGAAATCAGATCTAATAACCCCAATAATCATTTCGAATTTCGTCATCAAACTTCTTCCTCAGCTCTGGGTGCTTCTCGAAATACTCATCTGCTGTCATGGTACTGAGCTTCTTCTGTAAAACCACATCGATACAATATATGATACACCAAAAAATGACAGAAGTGTTGCTCATGCAGCACAAGAGTAAGATATCACATTGATGAAGAGAAAAAAAGAAGAGGAAGATTGGAGGAGTTTCATTGAAACACGAAAAAAGGTGCATGTTACCTTCAACTCTTGAACATCAGCAATTTCCTTTTCTAGTCTTTCTGACTCCTTCAGAGATTGCTGTTCAGCTTCTTTCAACTCCACCAACTGAAAGAGAAAAAATAAGACAAACTCTATTGGTTCTTTAACTTTGGGGTGAAAATAGACGAAAAAACAGGGTGCTATTGCGACCTAAGGTTATATGTCTCTCGAAACAAATCATAAAATTCAAATCATTTCTAATTCGGTAACTATAAACCATATTCGAGTTTCAATGGTAACAGAGCAAATAATTCTACAAATCAAAGATATGCACCAAACAAAACAAGGCCACACCCTCTAGTGTAGCATTACTGTCTGGGCAAGAGTAAACAGTTAAAAGACATAAACAAACACTGCAAGTATACCAAAATGAACACTGAGAAGCATTGATATGACAAATCTAAAACGCCGGAGATCACTGAATAGCATTGTAAACCTTGATGTCATAAAGAAAAGAAGAGGAAATTCTCACCAGTTCATCAAATTTTGGCTTATACTTTGGAGTAACTGTGTCTACATACTTAGGAATCTCAACGCCTGCAAAACATTCACAAAATAAAATTAGATCAAACTTCATACACTCAATCAAATAGAAGGAACACAAAAAGAGGCAATCAACGCCAATATCAATACCCCAACATCATAACCAGCTCCCATCACCGAAACAATACAGCACAAATAACAAATGCGTATAAGACCACCAAGTGCATCTTATTGACACAGCACGACAAAATGGTTCACCGTGTCACCTAATGCTTGACTCTAGAGAGGTATATAATCTGAAAAAAAATATTAAGCCTATACTTCACATAGTTCTTTCTCTTGTTATCAATTCATCCAGATTACTATGCTGGTAAAAATAAGGGAGATTGGTGGATACAGGATTTTGGAGGGCTGCTTTATAATGTGGATGCTCAGAAGCTAATAAGAAAATCTATAAGAAAGGAAGGACCTCCTGAAGTAAAAGGAAAGACATGCTTAAGAGAAAGCAATTGTATCATCAGCAAACCAGCAGTAGCATAAAAGGGCAATAAAGACCAACCCCACTGATATGCACAAAAACAGCCTTCCTAAACCCCAAGGGGGGGAAACAATCAGATAGTAACATATTCATAGTCTAAGGTTCCACACAGCATTAGCGAGGCAAAGAGTAGGACCATACTCTCATATGCTTCTTTGTACATATCAACCAATTTTGTTCCAATTCCCTTTCTGTAATATTCCCAGTCAATGGGTTCGGGTTCCTGCATGATAAAGAGGTTATCAGACAGATATCCAAGACTACAGAAAACATATACGATGAATTTCCATAAATTAAATGAAAACCAACCAATGCTCAGAGACGGAGAAAGCTGCAGGCCCACAAGTCACAAATACTTGGTAACATATCATGAATCAATGAGGCAAATTCAGGCAAAGAGCTTGAGCAATCCAGCATAGATACTAAGCAAAACAAGAGTCACACACCAAATATAACAGATGACCAGCTACTTCAAATGCAATCCGTAAAAAGATTTACCACAACAGTGAAATTCTATGCAATTATCTCCTCAATCCAACAAAGAAGAAATGCAAACTTTAACCCATAGCAGAATGACTGTTACACATATGCCAGAAAATACCGCTAAAAACATTGTTTCTATGAAGAAAGAGGTTAGCGGTCAGTATTTTGTTATCTAAAATATCAAGAATGCCAAGTGGCATCTCTACTTCCAACTCCATATCCTCTAATGGTTCCACTTTCGATTCTCTCCTCATAACTACCCCACCCTCCCTCCCTATTCCTCTTCCCATTGAAATTTGTTCTACCCATTAACAGACATCAAAGAGCATGTAATCAATGCAACGCAGAGGAGCTAGTGCAAGTGGAATGATTGATATGCAATACTAATTCAGTGAGCGTCAGTAGATTCAATGAGAAATATGGTAAAATAGCAGTAATCCTTCGTGATTTACACAAGCTTTGCACCACGTCTATGGAGCTCTGTGTACAAAACTGCTAAGCCCTTAAGTATATACCTTAAAAGCCAAACACAGGACCCCTCAGACAAGTATGTTATCTAAAGCCGGAAGCAGAAATTGACTTTTCCTTCAAGCATCATTGATGGCAGTCAAAATGCATAGATATTGTACACAGTCCAAAAAAAACCCCAAACTCTCAAAGAAGGTTTGTAATATATCGACCTAAAAGCATGAAAAGCTTCAGAGGTATGAATAAGATTTATCATCATCCTATTCTCATCACAATTGGAGCCACTGCTTAATCAATTTTTTCCCATCACAACATTCCACCACCAGTCCAACCCAATTCACAAAAACGAAAATTGCATAACTACTTGATTAGCAATGAATCATAACTCAGTCAAAGAAAATTCATAACCCAAAAAAAATAAGAATACACAATTACAACTACAGAAACTGAGAAAACAAAAACGAAAAATCATATCTAATCTATGAAAATGGACAAAGTCACATCCGACTGAATCAAGCGCCCGTGACATCAATCACACTAATCATCAAACCCCATCCAGAAAAACATAGATTCATTACCATTCCAAAAACCCCAGGTAGCTAACCAAAAACAGATCCATTCGTTTCCATCAAAATAATCGAAAACGTAGATTCGAAAAACGGAGGGGGAAAGAAAGGGATACTAACAGACCTGGCTGAACTTAGTTTCAAGCTGGGAGTTGACTTCGGTAAATGCGCGGCGGAGATTGGCGAACTCCTTGCGAGCCTCGTCGGAGACGATGAGTTTAGCCATGCCGTCCCAATCGATGGATTTTCCGGCTTTGAAAGTTGCGTCAGCCACCTTCTTCACAACTCCGCTCATCTTCACTCACACAATCACGCACTGAAAACGTTCTGTTTCTTCTTCGTCGGAGTTCCTCCCCTCGATTTTCGACCGATTGAACAGGAAATGAAAACTATTGGAGAAGAAGAATGTCGTATAGTATAAGCCCTTCGGCTGAAAATAGAAACGATGCGGAATCAGGGCTTTTTCGTTTTTTCACTTTTTCACCTTACTTTACTGTGAAAAATTCTTCTTTTTAACCATTACTATATATTCAGTTACTTTTTTACTCTGCCAATTGTCCAACAATTTATTGTGCACAACAATGCAGAAAAATATGGTTACTGCTGTGAAAACTTAATGTCTATATATAATTATCCAAAACAAAGATAACTAATAACTTATCTACTGATAATATTTATAACTTCTCTACTTGAGACTTTAATATTATAACATTCTAATAGTTTATACATACATATTATGAGATTAATTGTAAAATTTAAGAAGAAAAATAAAATGAAGCAATTTTAGGATGAAGACTAAGAAAGTAGAGGAAGAGAGAAAGATTCATTCGTTACAAATTTTCTCTTATGAAATTCACATATAGGAAAAATTTTGAGATAAATGGTCCCTATTTTCCTGAATCTATTGTTTATAGGTTTTTAACCTTTTTGGTCATTCAACTCTCTACAACACTCCCACTTGAATGACCAAATAAATTACGCCTACAATACTGCCTCGTTAAAAACTTTGCTAAAATAAAAACCCAGTAGGAAAAAAATTTTAGCGAAGGGAAAAAGAGTGCAGTGCATAATTATCTCCCCCTGATGACAACATCAGTAATTCTTCACATGCTGTGTAAATGACGCATTCCGATGTTATGAATATGTTTTCTGAAAAGTGCTGTAAGAAGTGACTTTGTAAAAAGATTAGCTGAATTCTCACTGGAAGTAACATATTGAATATCAATATCATTATTCTTCATGAGCTCTTTGATATATGCAAAGAATTTTGGAGGTATATGATTGGTCCGATCTTTCTTGATATATCCTTCCTCCAATTGGTGAATACAAGCTGCGTTATCTTCATATAGAATGGTTGGATTTTTCTTGACTGGAAGACCACAAGATGTCTTGATGTGTTGTGTCATTATCCTGAGCCATACACTTTCTCTACTTGCTTCATGTAATGCAATAATTTCTGCATGATTTGAAGAAGTAGATACTGTTGTTTGTTTCTGGGAACGCCAAGAAATTGCAGTTCCTCCATATGTGAACACATAACAAGTCTGCAATTTTTCATGATGATGATCAGATAAGTAACATGCATCTGCATAGCCAATTAATTCTTGTTTTGAATTGTTAGAGTAAAACAAACCCAAATCAATACTTCCTCGAAGATAACGAAATATATGTTTGATTCCATTCCAATGTCTTTTGGTAGGAGATGAACTGTGTCTTGCTAATAAATTGACTGCAAAAGAAATATTAGGTCTAGTATAGTTAGCAAGATACATAAGAGCTCCAATTGCACTCAAATATGGTACTTCAGGACCAAGGATTTCTTCATCATCTTTAGCCGGGCGAAATAGATCCTTTTCATCATTTAGTATTCTGACAACCATTTGAGTACTTAAAGGATTTGCTTTATCCATGTTAAAGCGTTTTAAGATCTTTTTTGTATAATTTGATTGATGCACAAATATTCCGTTATACATATGTTCAATTTGTAAACCAAGACAATATTTAGTTTTTTCAAGATTTTCATTTCAAATTCCTTCTTTAAGTACGCAACAACTTCACCAATTTCTCTATGTGTTCCAATGATGTTCAAATCGTCAACATTGACATTTATGATAACAAATCCAGATGTTGTTTTCTTAATAAAAACACATGGACAAATAACATTATTGGTATACCTCTTATTTGTCAAATAATCACTTAAACGATTATACCACATGCGCCCAGACTGTTTTAACCTATATAATGATCTTTGTAGTTTAATTGAATATATTTCTTTGGGTTTTGTACTTGAAGCTTTAGGCTTCTTAAATCCTTCAGAGATTTTCATATAAATATCACTGTCAAGTGATCCATACAAATAAACATTCACAACATCCATAAGACGCATTTTTAATTTTTCAAAAACTGCTAAACCAATTAAGAATCTGAATGTAATTGCATCTATAACAGTAGAATACGTTTTATTGTAATCTATATTAGGTCTTTGTGAAAAACCTTGAACTACGAGTCTAACCTTATATTTAATGATTTCATTATTCTCATTTTGTTTTCGTACAAAAACCCATTTGTATTCGAGAGGCTTTACATTTTCAGGAGTAATGATGATAGGTCCGAAAATATTTCGCTTGTTAAGTGAATTCAATTCAGCTTGTATAGCATCTTTCCGTTTCAACCAGTCATGTCTATTTTGATATTCTTTAACTGATTTTGGTTCAGGATCATCTCTTTCATCCATAATTTCACATGCTAAAGCATAAGAAAAAATCTCATCATTATACTCAATTTCATCTCTATTCAACATCATCTTTGTACTGTTATAATTGATTGAGATTTTTTCATTCATCTCCTTTTTCTCTTCTTCAAGAATTTCTTTGCTCTGTGTTTCTTCAGGAACAATTTCTTTTATAATGGCTTTATTTTCTATTCCCTTTTTAATTCGGGGATTTTTATCATTTGAACCAATTGGTCTTCCATGTTTCAAACGAAGTTTAGACTCTTGAGAGACTTTATCCTCAGATTTTATTTCTGGGATTTCAATACGAGCAGGAGCATTAACTACTGGTATATGTGACTTAGTCACACTTTTTCTATCAGTAAATGCATCTTGTAATTGATTTGCAATTGCTTGCAAATGTACAATCTTTTGCACTTCTGCTTCGCATTGTTTTGTGCGAAGATCAAGATACAACAATGATGGTTCGTTCCATGCAATGTTCTTAACTACTTCTCTTCTTTCTCCCCCGAATATTGGGAAAATAATTTCATTAAATTGACAGTCAGCAAAACGTGCTGTGAAAACATCGCCAGTTAAAGGCTCAAGATATTTAATAATAGAGGGTGATTCAAACCCAACATATATTTCCAATCTTCTTTTAGGACCTATTTTTGTATGCTATGGTGGCGCAATGGGTACATATGCAGCACAACCAAATACTCTAAGATGTGAAATGCTTGGTTCACGTCCAAATGCCAATTGCAATGGGGAGTATTTGTGATCCGCACTAGGTCTTATACGAATCAGTGAAGCAACATGTAATATTGCATGTCCCCAAACTGAAACATGTAACTTTGTTCTATTGATTAATGGTCTAGCAATTAACTTTAGTATTTTAATCAACGATTCTGCTAAACCGTTTTATGTATGTACATGAGCAATAGGATGCTCAACAACGATTCTAGTAGACGTACAATAATTATTAAATGCTTGATACGTAAATTCACCAGCATTGTCAAGTCTAACCCTTTTAATTGTATAATCAGGAAATTGGGCTCGTAATTTAATAATCTGTGCAAGAAATTTTGCAAAAGCAATATTACGAGTTGAAAATAGACGTACATGAGACCATCTACTAGATGCATCTATTAGAACCATGAAATATCTAAATGGTCCACTTGGTGGATGTATCGGTCCACATATATCCCCTTGAATTCTTTCAAGAAACATTGGTGATTCATTTTGAATCTTGAGTGGTGAAGGTCTCATAATCAATTTTCCGAGAGAACAAGCTGTACAAGGAAATTCATTACTTTGAGAAATCTTTTGTCCCTTTAATGGATGTCCACGTGTACTTTCAACAATATTTCGCATCATTATTGATCCGGGATGGCCTAATCTTTCATGCCATAAATTTATTATTGAATGTTGCTTTCATTGCCATATGTGATTCAAATACATTTATATATGTATAATGTAAACCGTTTGAGAGTGACAATCTTTCAAGTTTTCGAATCTTTCCTTATTCGTAAATGATGATTTTCAAATACTTTACACCATCTATAGTCATAGATTGTATATCATACCCATTTCGGCATATATTATCAAAACTCAATAAATTTCTCCTGGAATTTGGAGAAAACAAAGCTTCTTTAATTTCAAACTTTGTTCCTCTTGGTAATGTAATTTTGGCTTTACCAATTCCTTCAATCAGATTTATAGGGCCTGATATTGTATAAACCACTGCATTTGTTGGTTTTATTTTAGAGAAATATTCTCTACTTCTTAAGATAGTGTGTGTAGTACCACTATCTGGTATATAGAAATTCCCAACGCTGCATTTATGTTGAGTTTTACTGAAATCCATGTCAAACTTCAAAAGAAAGATAAATAATCAAAATAATGTATGAAAGATAACAAGTTTATTGAATAAAACAAAAGACATTACAATAATACTAAAATATAACACAATTACATCAAAACAAAACCATATACAACACAATCATTTATTTGGTGTTTCAGTTCTTAACATAATCATTATTAAAATAGAAACATTCAAATACATTTGATAGTTTCAAAATTCAACAAATTCACTTGCAAAATTTGAAGCATTCAGCTGAGTTTGATCATTATCCTCCATTTGATCAATATGCTCATTGAAATTTACTTCTTTTCCTTTACCCTTTGATGCGGCATAAAGATCACAAAGGTGTTTTGGAGTTCTACAGACCTTTGCATAATGACCTTTAGTACCACACTTGTAACATGCATCTTCAGCATTCTTTTGAGATTTTTCTAGAGCATCATTCTTGGTCATTTTATTTTTCTTTTGAGGGTGAGCTATTTGTTCATATGGGGCATTACCATAATTATAGCCAGAAAATTGTTTCCCTCCATGGCCATTATAGCCACCACGGTTGCCATAGCCTCCACGACTGCCACGACTACCACGGCCACCACGGTTGTGATCACCACGACCATGACCATGACCACGACCTCGGCCTCGGCCATGTCCACGACTATTAAAATTTCTAGAGCATCCTGGAATTATGGCATTTGCTTCAGGATATGCCATAGAGCTAGTAGGTCGTGATTGATGATTTTTTTTATTAAAAGTCTGTTGGCATTTTCTTCTTGCAAAAGTGTTGTTGACAAATCGGAATAATGCTCATACTTCATCAATCCATGAGCATTTGAAAGAATAATACCAGATGGATGAAATATTGATAGAGTTTTATCTATCATTTCTTTTTCAGTCATAGGATGTCCACAAAATTTTAATTGTGAAACAATCCTGAACAATGCTGATTTATATTCATCCATACTTTTAAAATCTTGAAATCGTAATTATTTCCATTCATCAATAACATTTCGTAATATAATAGCTCTTTTATTATCAAATCTGGAAGTAATGCTTTTTCAGACAACACTTGGATCTTCTTGATCAATTTATTCATTTTGCAAACAATCATCAAAATATTTGCGAAGTAATATCAACACAGTTGTCTTATCCTTTTTTGTGGTAGTATTTTCTGGTCTTATTGTATCTGTGAGACCCATTGATCGTAGATGTGTCATAACATTTGTTTTCGAACACATATAATTTTGTCCAGTGTGTTTGGGAGCTTCAAACTCGAGTTTTGATAAATTTAACATCTTTGATAACTAGGATAAAGAAAAAAAAATCGCAGTTACAATTAATAATGAATAAATCTTACAATAAATAACGCTAACAATTTATTCAGTAAATATAGCAATGAAGTACAATGGTAAAATACATATTATAAGAACAAATAAATGAAAAATAAAATCATTGAATTCTTCTAGGAAAAATATCGTAACAATATATATGCTAACTGTTGTCATGCAAAAGAGAGAAAATAAAGACATTTTTTTCTTAGAAAATGAGAAGAGGAAGAAGGAGAATATTATGAAGGTGTGTAAATGAGATTTAGAAATGATGTATTTATAGAGAAAATTTAATATTTCTGCCGTTATATAGCCGTTAATATATCCGTTAAAAACAGTCATTATATACATATTTTATACATAAAAGTATAATTATACATATATAATTGTTAAAATTCAAATAAATCAAAATAAAGCAACTAAAGTAATAATTGAATGAGGACATATATATTTATCGTACGCAATTAAATTGAGAGTAAACAATTTGCTAGAGAAAAATAATTGTAGTAGGAATTTATCAACCATCCTACTATAGATTAGATAGAGTATATAGGGACATAGAAAAACATCCCATGGTAAAAAAATAAGTAAAAAAAATTTAAAAAAAATAAATATATTAGGGATATATCAAATCATCCCACAAGAATATAAATTATATAAGTTTACTCATAGGGATATATTAGAGCATCCCACTTATAAAAATAAAACTCAAGACTTGAGCAAGGACAAGTCTTTTAAATCAATAGCAAGAAATTAAATGACTTAAATATAAATTAGGAGGTGTTATGGAGCCATCCATATGAAATGTAAATACTGGGTAAGAAATTTTATACCTCTGTGGATTGCAGAGACGTCGTGCTGATAACGTGTTGTGAAAAATTAATGTCTAGATATAATGATCTAAAGCAAAGGTAACTAATAACTTATTTAGTGATAATATCTATAACTTCTCTATTAGAGACTTTAATATTATAACATTCTAATAGTCTATATATATATATTATGAGATTAATTGTAAAATTTAAGAAGAAAAATAAAATAGAGCAGACTATGAAAGTAGAAGGAAGAGAGAAAGATTCATTCGGTGTAAATTTTCTCTTCTGAAACTCACATATATATAGGGAAAATTTTGAGACAAATGGTCTCTATTTTCTTGAATCTATTGTTTATAGGTTTTTGACCTTTTTGGTCATTCACCTCTCTACAACAGTTACAAATGATTCACTTTGATTTTTTTTAGAAATTGTAGTAGATCATAGTGGAATGAAATATTCCTTCTATTCCAAAATAATTTTACAGTTTCTATTTTTATTTTCAAGACGAAGAGAGTAATAATTAATAAAAAAATAAAAAATATCACACTATTCTTTTAATAACAAGTACCAAATAATCCAAAAGAAATTTTTTTGTTTTCTTTCCATTTGTGTTTAATTTTTAAATCACATTGACTAAATAATCACAAAAAACCCTTCGCCTTTCATGATCGAATTTTATCTCAAGGTGTATGGTTTAGTTCGTTTAAGTGCAAATTTGACGTCAAAGGTATTGACTTTTTAATCTAATAATTTTATGTACTAGGGCCAAAAATAATTCACATCACTCACCATTTTTTTCACTATACATATCATTTTCCTATCATTTTTTATTCCAACTTTTATGTAAGTTTCAAATCATATTGACCAAACTTTGTTGTTTCAAAATTGTTTTTACTTCCTGACGAAGAACTAAAGAGCTTATAACATCAGCAACAACGGCTACAAAGAAACTGGTATGATGCTATCAGTTTGAAACAGAGCAATGAAGCTATAGGACACATTATCAAGGGCTTGTTTGGCCAACATTTTGTTTTTAGTTTTTGTTTTGATTTTTAATTTGGATTTGAGATGTGATTTAAAATGTGATTTGAGATAAAATTTAAAAAATTATTTGGGTGATATTTTAAATAAACTAATAATATTTTTAAACCACCACTGGCGCCGCCGCCAGACCGCCCACCGAATTCCGGTCAACACGCCGGAATTTGGCCGAAACTTACCGGTCTTGGCCGGAATCCGGTCGCCGGTCGGCGGCGGCGATGGGCTGTCCGGTAGTGGGGAGTGGTGGTGGAGGTGGATGAAAATTGTGTAAAAATAATATTTAGAATATTTTTTAAAAGGTAAATCAAAAAGTTGTTTAAATAATATTGAGATTTGTGTTTGAAAGGTCTTTTAAAAGTTAAAATGAAACAAAAAAGTAAAATAAATCTTGGACAAACAAGCCCTAAGATTGCTTCTTAGCGGATCAAGTTAAGATGCACGGAAATTCACCCATTAGTTAAGTAAAATGTTAAAACACAAAGTTAAAGATAATAAATTCAGCTAGATGCCCTTCAACTTGCAAGAAACTGGTGTGCAGTTCTTAGTCACTACATAAATTAGACTGATTCTCTAAACCAACTGTTTATTTTTTGCAGTCAAGTCTTACTACCGCTCATAGACAATGTTTTTCTCATCCCACAATGGACAGGCGCATGTGGCTTTCTTGTTCATCCATGGCGCTCCACAAATGTAGCAAAACTCATGCCCACATCTGCACAAGTATTTCAGACAGTTATCAGTTAAGCATTTATTCAGACACTTGACAAAAGAGGGAAAACACTTTCAAACAAAGTTGCATCCCATTGTCTTATATTACTCCCTCTGGTCCTAGTTATTAAACGTAAAGTTGAACAAAGTTTTGTTTAAATTTATGCCTTACAGAGAACCGGTGGGAGTAATAAGCAGGGAGAAGACTTAATGAACAAAAGCCGACCACCCTCTGTAACTAATTAAAAAAAAAAGACAACTTAAGAAATTAGAGGTAAACCACACTGACGACAGACCAGATGAAACTTTTGTCATTCTTGAACACTGAAATAAAATTTGCCTCAGTGGCTATAAACAAACAAAACAACAATATACATTATATAATGGTGGCCAATGTTACATTAAAATAAAGTCACCTTTGGGTTGCGCACAGAATCAATAATATAAAAAGAAAGTTAAAACAATCTTGTTTCACCCGCCATCAAGGTTGCAGATGCTTTAAACCCACTAATGACAAACTTATGCCTCACTTCACTACATTGAGGAGCCAAAAATCATGATTGACCAATGCACAAAGGGAGTGAATTTCGGTTCAAACATTTAGGGACAACACTATACAAAGAAAGTGATGTTCATGTTCTAAGATATCAGCCTAGCGACAGAGTTTCAAACTAAACCAAAATATAAAATTAAAGTTTTACAACCTTTGAGAGTATGGCAAACAAGCACTAAAAGATGGGGATAAACCACAAAAAACAGGCATATATTTAGCTAACCCTTAGACTGAATTTACTTCCTTATCCTCGCATAAGAGTAAAGAGTTCTAGGCAAAGCAGAAGAATACTCGAGTCAAGACATAATACCTGCAATAAATGTGGTTGCAGCCCTTGACGAGTGATACCATAAAGTTGCAAACCTTACATTGCCGCCAGCGACTTTTTGTTGCTAAAGATTTGAGGTAGGCATCTTCAGGACATGGATATGGATTTTTTTGTTTGTACATAGAGCAAGTCATATTGTCATGCCATATGACCTTGCATTCAATACAAAAGGGGCGAGTACACTTTTTGCACAGTTTAATCGCTGGCATCTGTGAAGCACGCCTTAACTCAGATCTGGACATTAGGGCAGAGCATCTGGGGTATGGACAGTATATTCTATCAGCTGCAGGAATGGATGTCTCTATAATGCGCTGGCTCATCATCTTAAACAGCTCGGGTGTCAAGAACTTCTTGCAATCATCAACTTTTTTGCATTGTTCATGAGGGCATTTGGGTATCATTCCACGAAGTAACTTAACTCCAACATGCATTCTCATACATGAAAAGCAATATCTGTGGAAGCAGCCATCAATTGAGAACATTTGGCTCAGGTCAATGTCTTCCAAACAAATAGCACGTCTCAATAGGCTTTTTTCCACCAACATGCTTTCCAGGTTGGGAAACAATTGCATCTTGAGCTAGTTTGGCTGCAAACTTGAGACGTTTTGTAGCCACAAGACACAATTTACAACGAGGCAAATTCCTCAGAAGGATAGTAAGTTGACTAAATAGTCTTCCAAGATTACCTTCTCTTGGATGCCATTTGCCTGTGAACTGCATTATTATTGAATAATTTTGTATGCATATGTAAGGGGAATTTGAATAAAGAGAGCAACGAACAGCGGAAACAGGTCTAGATCGTAATTTTAAAGCAACAAAGAGTTGAGAAAAAGCCTCTGAATGTGTGTCATATGCATAAAAACCAGAATCACAGATTCACAGGGATACAACTCATGTCATCTTCTATAGACATGACAAGGGTAGTCATACAATAATCCTAAACCGTACACATATTGTATATTGCCAAGATCAAGCCTTTAAGCGAGAAACAACAAGCACAATGTACAAAAAAACCAACATCATTACTAGAGCAGCCCAATCCTTTTTCTTCCACCCACCAATGTCAATTAGATAAAATAAACTTGTCCAAAATTAGGAACAGGCAAAAAAAATTCAAGCTTCAAACACCACAATTTTACAGCAAACCTTAAACTAGGAATGATCAAACCACTTTAGACCACATAATAATATCACATGAGTAATCTGAAACAGTTTCATTCTGAGATAAGTCCAGAAAGTAGTACGATTATAGAAGCAACTTACGCATTGGTGTATCAATTGACTGTCACAAATGATGAGAATCCTTTTCAAACCCAACATTGTTGCAACATGAAGCCCTTCAATCAGGGCCTTCACTTTAACTACTTCAATGCTCATTTCACCACCAACAACTCTCTTCCTCACCTCAAAGATCAACAAATCATTCATATCACAAACCGCCACTCCGATCCCTCCAACATAAGCATCGTGCTTTCCATTCCCATTCATATTCCCCATCGAACCCTTCACATGAACCCTAAAAGTGTCAGCTTTATCCAGAGCCAGAGCATTCCCAGAAGCAGAGAAAGGCTTATGTATACGATCCCCGAACTTTCGCCACACATTTTCCGGCATATTAAGTATCTCCCGGGCAAAGGCGCGTGATCGTGGATGCTCCGATTGAGATCTTCACGGATTTTCTTCATTTCCGCCTCAGCAACCAACTGATCTTGGAGTTGCTGTTCGTAGGACGAGATTTCATTAGCAATGAGTCGATCATAATCTTCCTCGAAAGGGTTTGAGGAACTCGGACCGCCTCCATTTTCGGCGAGGGAGGCAGCCATAGCTTCTTGCAATTGGAGTTCGTAAGCGAAGGAGAGGTCGGAATTGACCACCGGAGCCGCCGGCAATTTATGGCTTTGCCCGGAGAGTAGGGTTTCAGGTCTCCGTCTACTTCCATGTAAAGACCAATATATCATCGAAAGCAGACCACATAATAGAACTCTTCAACGGTTCTCCGACATGGAAGCCAAACTACTTATTCGTGGAAGCACCAGAAGAGTTCCGTATGTCGTGGGATTATCGTAAAACCCACGAACTAGGTGTTATAGCTGATATTTGGACAAGTGCTGACAGACGGAAAATCGAGAGATATAGAGCTGATATCAATGCTCTGGAATCGTTCGAGAACATCCTCAACTATACTGAAGTCTAACAATACATTCCCCCTATCCACGTCGAGGAGAAAAAAAGGTACTAACTTGTTATGTGCATTGTCTTTGTTTTAGGTCATGTCATCGAGCAAAGATACCGTTGGATTATTTGGTGACGCCCAGATTTTTGAAATTAAAAATTCAGATGATGAAGGGTCATCCAACAAGATCACCAAGAAGAGGAAGTTGAGAAGGCTTGTGAAGGCGTCCGATGCGGGTGCCAAGGCCAAGAAGAAGAAGCCTCCCACTCTCGAGAAAATGGAAAAGCCGATCGAGGAGGAAGCCCCGGTCGAGAGGGAGAAGGGAATTGATGACACAGTTGATCCGTCGAAGGTTGTCCCCTTTACTGCCCAAGAAGCAGAGGTCCCGCTGCCCGATGACCCAATACCCGAGGCCATTCCGGCAACAGAGCGGCATCCAGAGTGGTTCAGGCCACTCCAGGCTTCTCTAGAGAAGAAGATTAATGTCGAGGACACCGATGGGTCGTCGACATATACTGTTGCCACCGCCATATATCATTTTGGGGACACTAAGATTGAGTGCCCCATTATCGAGGAAGTTGCGGCGACCTTGACGGAAGAGGAGTCGTTGAAAATGGTAACATTTTTCCAACCGTAAGTGATGTTTTCCTGGAGGCCTTGTGATACTCTTGCTGACATTCATTATATATCTGTTGCAGTTGACTATTGCTATGGCCAGCATCCTTATGCGAGAGAAGGCACTGAAGCAAGAGATTGCTAGCTTGCAAGTCGAGAAGGGGCTCCTCGAGCAGGAGAAGCTATCAAGCGAGGAGTCGAGGAAGAAGGAGCAGGCCCTGAGACTTGCTAGGGAGCAGGAATTGGCTAAGGTCCAGGCCCTGTATATGGGGGTTGAGGCCAAGCCGTCAGAATACAGAGAGACGCATGTTCCAAGATCAGATTTGCAAGCATGGATGACCGCTTTTTGGGCAAGAATGGTGCCCACTGGTGGGTTGACGAGCATTCTGGTGGGCATCAGCAATGATGCCAAGGCGTTGGGGGGACATGGTGTAGCAGTGGCCGCTCTAGAGAGGATGGAGGGCGGAAGGACTATTAACATTGGATGGCTTCAGCAAATTATAAGGCCGCATCATAAGAAAACTCTCCATGAAGCCATCAAGAAAGGATTGCAACAACTTTCTGACGGCCAGCTCCCCCTGTTTGCGCCTTTATGCAATGCCTTTTCTTAGATGGGGTCGTCGACGGAGATTGCTTCCTTCGAGGGAGATGCCCTTACGATGCTCCCTGATGATGCTGGAGAGGAGGTGTGCGTGCCGGAGCGGCCCCAGACTTTATCAGCGTCGAGGTGGAATGGGAAGAGGATTCCTCGGAGCAGGTCGAGGAAGACGGTCAGAACAACCAGGAGCCGGTGGGAGAAGGGACGTCGGCTCCTCCACCCGTCGAGGAAACCAATGAAAGCCAGCCAAGCCAGCCGCCGAGTCAGAAGGAAGTATGAATCTCCTTCTTGTAATAGGGTTTTTTCTGCTAAGGTTGTAGACCTTAGACTGTTGTAGCAATTCTCGAACCTTTTTGCCGCTTATTAATTAAATCGATGCCTCTTTCCCCTAACGTTTGACATACTTCTGTCTCTTATGCCATGATTCGTACTTTGTTCATCTCATACATCTATTGATTCTTGAGGAAGATGAGGTTGCGAGTTTCCCATGTATGAGATGATTTCTTCGATTTTGAGGAAATTTGGGGACCTCCATAATACCGACAAAGTGAAATCCCTCGAGAAAGAGCTTTCCGATGCTGTTAATGCACTTAACCTACGGGCGCACTCCCGCTTGGTACAGCGCTTCAGATAGCAAGAGGAAGAGTGGAAGCGCCGACTTCACCAATACGACTTGGACTTTCATGCTTCCCTGTCTCTAGAAGCCAACATTTACGAGGAGATGGAGAAGCTGAAGGAGGAAAACTCTCAACTGAGGAGGCGCGAGAAAATCGTTATATCTCCATGGTTCCTCAAAAAGTTCGATACGCTTGCTTTGGTCGAGTCTCAGATAAAGGTTCGCACTGAACGTTTTATTGCTGCCATCGACCTCCTGAAGAAGAGGACCAAAGAGGCGGAGTTCTATTCAAGGCAGGCTGCTGTCCTGCAGAACATATTGGTGGACCACGAGATTTCTTTATCCATCCTTGACGACCTCGATCCGGAGGATGAAGCGAGGGAGAGGGCGGCTGCTGAGGAGTATCTTCTTAGAATCAACGATCAGGATTGGGAGACTCTAGATTTGAGGGACAAACTTGGTCATTGTCTCCATAAGCTTAGATCAATGGGATGGTCTGGCTTTATTAAGCCCTCCCGTTTTAACCCTAAGGGCACGGACCTCAAGATTTAGGTAAATACCATGTATGTTGATATACCTTTCTAACCCCGCACTTAGTGTGAGGGGTATTATACTTAAACTGAGCTGTGTCCAGCTCAGTTATTTGTTTGTACTCGAGAATGTTTGTATAGCGCTTGTTTAGCTGGATGTTAAGTACACGGCTTCGTCGAGGGATCGGATACGGATCCCTCGATTTACCAATACCGCGATCTACAGTGGATGAGAGGAGTCCTCGTCTTAAGCATCTGGATGTTGAATACACGGCTCAAATCGAGGATGGCCCTATAGAGGGTGTCCATCTCGATGACTAGTCATAAGATAGTGTCGACACATGCAAATATATAGAAGAAATATGTAATGACTTTTATTGATAATTACCCGAGGACCCAGGTTAGTATTACATACAAATGAATGAAAGCAATCAAATCACTTAGCAGACAAAATAACAAGTAACATGTAAGGGATCTAAACGTAAAACCTGCACAGATTCTGAATGTTCCACCATCGTGGGAGAATGGTTCCCCTGTCATCTGTTGTCTGCAATCGGTAGCTGCCCAAAGGAGAGACTTGAATGACTCGATAGGGTCCTTCCCAATTGGCTGTTAATTTCCCCGGGGTCTCTGCTCGACTGGCGTCGTTTTTCCTAAGCACCAAGTCCCCGATTACGAAGTCAGTACTCTTGACTCGTTTGTTATAGCTTTTTCTCAGGATCTCTTTGTACTCAGCTTCCCGGACTCTTACGGCATCCTGCCGTTGCTCGAGCAAGTCAAGGTTAGTCAGGATATCTTTGTTGTTGGTGTCTTCGACAAAGTTGATTGTTTGAGGACTTGCCAGGCCAATTTCAACTGGGAGGACGACATCCATTCCGTAGACCAAACTGTATGGTGTTTCGTCAGTCGAGGAATGAGCTGTGGTGCGGTATGCCCATAAAACGTGAGAAAGCTCTTCAACCCAAGCCCCTTTTGCATTGTTCAACCTTGTCTTAATTTCATGTATGATGGTTCTGTTAATTGACTCAGCTTGTCCGTTTGCCTGTGGATGGGCGACAGTGGAGAATCGACGCTTGATCTGAATCTTTGGGCACCATGACTTGAAGGGGTCGCTCTCGAACTGGGTTCCATTGTTTGATATAATCACCTTGGGTACTCCAAACTGGCAAACTACAGTTTGCCAGAAAAAGTTCAACACTTTTCTTCCCGATATCGAGGCCAATGGTTTCGCTTCCACCCATTTGGTGAAGTAATCCACGGCTACAGTGACCCATCGCAGTCCTCCCGCCCCTTTTAGAAAGGGGTCGATGATGTCGGTCCCCCATTGGTAGAATGGCCAAGGACTTTGTATGGTTACCATCTTGTGCTGTGGTTGTCGGGTTATTGGTGAAAACCTTTGGCATCTGTCGCACTTTTGGACGAAGTGGTAAGCATCCTTAAAAACTGCGGGCCAGAAGTATCCTACTCGAAGGACCTTTTTTGCTAAGCTTCTTGCTCCCATGTGGCTCCGCACGACCCCTCATGGACTTCTTCGAGGATATATGCCGCCTGATTTGGTCCGACGCATCGTTACATCGGTAACAAATACCTGTGTTTGTAGAGGATTCCATCTTTCAGAGTATACTTGACTGCTTTTAGCTTCAACGCTTGAGCTTCATGTTTTTATCGGGGAGCGTCTCATTCTCGAGGAATTGGATGAATGGAGTCATCCATGTATCCTTATCCTCGGTAATAGCCAGGGAAACTTTAGGGTGAATGCTGGGTTCAGGGAGTTCCTCGACCCACACTTTGTGACTGAGATTAGCGAAATTGGATGAGGCGAGCTTACTCAGTGCGTTGGCTCTTTTGTTGCTGGTTCTGAGGACGTGAGAGATAGAGCACTCTTCAAACTTGTCTTTGATTTCCAGGACCTTCTCGAGATATGGCCGAAGATGTTCCTCACGGACTGTGTACTCACCTTTGATTTGGTTAACCACTACTTGAGAGTCGCTAAAAACTTGCAAGTTTCGAACTCCTAACTTGAGGGCCATATTTAACCCCATAATCATTGCCTCGTATTCAGCGACATTATTGGTAACTGGGAAACCGAACAGCAGGGCGTAGGAATATTCTGCATCGTATTCCTTGACTTCCTCGATTTCTCGAGATGCTACTGGCTTTGCTAGGATGATACCTGCTCCTCCCCCATCTTCACAAGAAGAGCCGTCGACGTACAGAGTCCAGGCTCAAGGATCTGTGGAGGGATGTTCTTGTAGTTGCTTCTTCGGTGTTGATTCTTCCGTGGTACCTGGAGCTCTGGGCATTTCCACCGGGAAATCTGCAAATGCCTGCCCTTTTATGGCCGTGTGGGGCTTGTACTCGATATAGTGTTCCCCTAGCTCAACTGCCCATTTCATCATTCTGCCTGAAGCCTCCGGTTTGAGGAGGACTTGCTGGATAGGTTGCTCGGTTAAGACTTGTATAGGATGAGCTTGAAAGTAGGGACGTAACCGTCAGGCAGCGAGTACAAGGCTTAGGATAAGCTTTTCCATAGGTGTATACTGAGATTCCGCCCCTTACAGGACTTTGCTGACAAAGTGGACATAGAGCTCTTTATTGTTTTTTTTTCTAAATCAGCCCTGCGGATATGGCTGTTTCTCGAGCGGCTAAATAGATATATAGAACCTCTCCTGGCTGTGGTTTTGCCAGCATGGGGAGTTGCTTGAGATGTTCCTTTAACTCTTGGAATGCTTTTTGACATTCTTCAGTCCACTAGAAACCTCTCCCTTTTCTTAGAGTCTTGAAGAAGGGGAGGTTTCTTTCTGCTGCTCGAGGCAAAAACCTGTTAAGCGCTGCCAGAGATCCTGTGAGTTTCTGTACCTCCTTGACGGTTTTCGGGGCTTCCATTGAAAGAATCGCTTCGACTTTTGAAGGATCTACTCTTATTGCGTCCTTTGACACTTGAAATCCGAGGAACTTCCCAGAACCCACACAGAAGGTGCACTTCTTTGGGTTGAGTTTCATGTTAATTCTTCGCAGGATTGTGAAGATCTCTTTCATGTCTTCGACCACCCCGCTGTCCAAGTTACTCTTGATAATCATGTCATCTACGTATATCTCGATGTTCCTTCCAATTTGACTGTGGAAAGCCCTATTAACCAAACACTAGTAGGTGGCCCCATCGTTTTTCAACCCAAATGGCATTTTGTCATAACAGTACACTCCAATCTCCATGATGTAAGCCGTTTTCTCAGCGTCCTCCTTGGCCATATGAATCTGATGGTATCCTTTATATGCATCGAGAAAGCTAAGGGTCCTGTATCCGGTAATACCTTCCACCATTTGGTCGATTACGGGCAAAGGGTAGCAGTCCTTGGGGCAATGTTTGTTTAGGTCTGTGTAGTCTTGACACATGCGCCAAGAATTGTCAGGTTTGCGAACAAGAACCGGGTTGGCCAGCCATGTGGGCCAGAGCACTTCTTTGAGGATATTGGCTCGAACCAGCTTGAGGGTTTCTTCATTAATCACATCATTGCGATCTCGAGCGAAAATCCTCTTCTTTTGTATAACCGGTTTGACGTTGGGATCTACATTTAGCTTATGCTCAGTAATATGTCGAGGAACTCCGGTCATGTTAGATGGCGACCACGCGAAGATGTCACGAAAGTCGCGTAACAAGGCAATTACCTCAGCCCGCAGCGTTCCATTGATGGATATACCAAGTTTGATGGTTTTTTTTCTGGCTCCTTTTCATCCAAGATCAACTCTTCCATCTTGCTGCTGAGTGGGGGAGGTTTGATCGAGATCCATTTCTGAGGTTTCTTGTTTTCTCTCATTATACTCGGTCGATGATACGCCTTGCCAAATCGACTAACATCCTGATATGGTGACAGCTAGCTCTGACTTTACTGTTTTCTTTCCAATTTTTACTGCCGTGAGAAGACATTCTTGAAAGCTGCGTTGGCACCCTTGGACCATTCCTATCCCATATTCCATTGGAAATTTCATGACCAAGTGGTAGGGTGACCAGACAGCGCGGGCTTGGCACATCCATGGCCGTCCTAGAATCACATTAAATGGCAACGGAGCATCGATTATGGAGAAATCCATTGTTAGATTTACCGTTCGAGAATACGTCCCTACTGTGATTGGAAGCCTAACGATCCCACTAGGGATTATCGTGTGCCCAGAGAAGCCTATCACTGGTAAGGTAGCCGGGCGCCAGTCTGGATTCTGTATGTTCATTCTCTTGAAACAATCATTGTAGATGATGTCGACATATATGCGGCTTACCCCCACGTTACCTATGATGGTATCGATAACCATGGCGTCGCTGTGGGGACAAACGCCAGGGACGACGTCACTATCAGTGAAGAAAATTGCCTCAGTTCCTCTAAACCGCTTGTGACTCGGCTCCTGTGGTGGAGTTTTTGTTACTTGTCGAACAGAGGCTTTTATTACTGTGGTCGAGAGAACCTCGAGGGATGCTCCATAAATTGCTTCGAAATTATAGGTAATCTGCTTAGCGGGATCGAGGGGAGGTATTTGCTGGATTGGCTGTGGTTTGTTATCGAGAGTTTGCTGAGCCAGTTGCTGTGAGTTGTCCCTCGGTTGCCAATTATTTCCTCGGTTGTCCCTGCGGAAACCACGATTGTTGTTTCGCATGGGGAAGTTGCGCGGAAAACCAGATTTTTCTCGGGAACTGCGGGTATCTCCTCGAGTGGTGCCTTGTGTGTTCTGCACATACTGTTGGAATTTCCCAAACTTCACCTCTGCTTCAATTTCCCGCTTGAGTTCCCGACAATCTTCCGTATCGTGCCCATGGTCCTTGTGGTATTCGCAATACCGATTCGTGGACCTATTCGGATTATGAGTCAGTAGCTTTGGGACTGGGAACTCATCCTTGTGGATTTGGAGTATCTCTCTGCGAGGCTTTATCAACGGGGTGAGTAGCTTGTCGAGCCTGGGCAGGGATGGTTTGCTTTCAGTCAAGGATTTGTATCTGTCCTTGCCTCCTCGCTCCCCTACCAGTGAGAAAGATTTTTGGGAATTCTTCACTGTTTGTTCCCATTGGATATAGCTCTCCACTGTGGCCCACATCTCTTGGGTGTTCCGGGGAGGTTTAGTGGCTAATTTTACTCGCAGGGGGGCGGATTTTCCCCAAGGGTTAAGTCCTTGGATGAACCCATTCCGTACGTCTCTGTCATCGAGGTTGTCAATCTGTAGAGATTCACGGGTAAAGCGGTGATGAAAGTCCGAAAGGCTCTTGTTATGTCCTTGCCTGATTGAAGATAGATCAATGGACATCTTTGTAACTTGCTTGCTGAGGAAAAACCGGGTAGCTAGTTTTACCGTAAGATTCTCAAAACTGTTGATGCTTCCTTCTGGCAGTTGTTCGAACCAACGTTGTGCTTGCCCGTCGAGAAATGATGGTAAGGCTTTCGCCATGAAATCCAGGGATGCATTGCGGATTCTCATGACTTGGACATACTTGTTTAAAAATCGCTGTGGATCAGAATCTCCTGTATAACAGGTGAAGTCTTTGGGGAAGTCGAAGTATTTAGGTTTCAGACAGTCTCGAATCCTGGGGATGAAAGGGCTTCGCTCCACGATCATCCCTATCATCCTCCGCATTGATTCTTGAATTGAAGGATCCTGGTTGCCTCGATTTTCTTGATTTCGAGGGTGATGATCTCCTCCTCGACAATAGTCATGACGGGACTTTTCTTGTGTCCCTTTTGGTCCGAGTCGAGAGTGGACATTGCCTCTCGGAGGTTCCCACTCCCTTCTAGACAGTTCCTCGACGCTGGGTGATCTTCGTCGATCTTGTCTGCGAGATTGTTTCTTTTGCTCGTGCTCCTGTGCAAATTGCTGAATCGCCTGATAAACCACCGGATTTTTGTTCTCAAGTGCTTCCCAGAAAGTATCATCGAGGGCCTCGGAAAGTTCTGCGCGAGAAGCTTCACGGTAGGGGATTTCTTTAGGAGCCCTTTCTTCCCCTTCGTTTGGGACTGGGCGTTTACCTCTTCTGATCTCGAGGAGATCCAAGGTCCTTCTCGCCTCTTTCTCTTCGACCAACTCCTCCATCTCTTGGTCCGTTGGGTCGGGCAGGCCTAATAGACAACGGCACTTGTATTCTTCGAGGATATATATCTTTTTTCTTTGGTTGAGGGAGTTGTCGTCCTTCAACTTCTTCAGTTCTGCTTCGATCTCAGCCAGCCGTTGTTTTTGATACGGGTCGAGGGCATCACGGTGACCTTTCTGATCGGTTGGTTTTACAGGAGTGGTCTCTTTCCTCATTCGTCGGTCATTTCTTTTCCGCTTTTGCCTATATCGGAAGTGCGCTAGGGTCTCGTCGTCCTCGGGGCTCGTCTGTCTTCCAGTTGATGAAGCACTGAATTGAGGACTATCAACTACCACCATCTTTTCTTCCACCGACTCTGTTCTGGAAGCGTTGGGAGCAGATTGAAAGGTTTTGAAAAGCTTGAGAAAGCTTGGTGACACAAACCCTAGTTTTCGGGTCCCACTGGGCATGCCATTTGACGATACCTGGAATTGTACCGCAGCTTTAGGGTGGAACTCCGGTTAGGGTTTTCTGCAAAACAGAACCTCGAGCGTCTCCCGAGAGTAGACACTCCGAAGCTTAAGTTAGAAAATAGGGTTATGTGTGTATATCGTTAGATAGCCAAGATTGCGTACTTTAATTGTGGAACCACCATCCCTATTTATAGGCAGGGAAATATAATCATCGCAACCAAATCCTAATAGGGTTTAGCAATGTACCCGCCCTATTGAAGTCGGTTGGGCCATTCACACGGTTCTTGGGCCGGTCCAATACTGGGGTTGGATATGGATTCGTCAGAGGAGAAAAAGTGGCACCCATAAGGCCCTGAAGATGCTGCGAGGACCCAAAAAAACCCAGAAAAAAACAAAAAAAAGAAATGATGAGTGCTTTTCAGTTTTAAAGATTATGGTTGGAAAGATCAGATTTTTCTGGTCTTTCCTTTCCATTATTTCATCTTGCGGAAGACTGTAGCTTATTTAGTATGATTGTCTCCGAGCATTTTGGTATCTATCGTAGAAGCTATCTAGTTTTCTAGGATTATGTTTTCTAGAAGCTATCGAGCATTATGTTTTATTTTTTGCAGAAGCATTATGTTCTCAAGTACAATTTTATTTTGTTTATTTATTTTTAATAACCAGAACGTAGAATTAGTAACTATAAATACTTGTACTAAACACTCCATTCTCCCGTCACAAAACAAGCTTAATTAATTCTTTACTACATCAAACCATTGATTTCAAAGTAGTTTCCACTTTATATATTAACCATGTCAAACTTCATATTGTTTTCCCTTTTCATTTTGATGGTTTTCCTTCCATCCCTAGCAACCGCCGCCTCCTGCGGTGGTTCATGCACAGGTTCAGACGACTGCGACGGCGAACTAACTTGCATGGACGGAAAATGCAACGATGACCCCGTCGTCGGAACCAATATCTGCGCCGCCGGAAGTACTACACCTTCGGGTTCCGGATCATCCACGTCAGATGACTGTAGTCCATCCGGGACTTTCACGTGCCATGGCGAAACTAATCCACGTACACGTGCTCGCCACCTGTCACCACCGACGCGACGCCGGCGATACTCACTTTGAATGACTTTGACAAGCATGGGAACGGAGGGGATCCTTCGGAATGAGATGGCCTCTACCACCATAACTATGAAAGTGCGGTGGCGCTTTCCACCAGGTGGTTCTCCGGCGGGTCGAGGTGTGGGAAGACGATCAGAATCACCGCCGGTAACGGCAGAAGCACGACGGCGATAGTGGTGGACGAGTGTGACTCGATGCATGGCTACGACGAAGAGCATGCATTTCAGCCGCCATGTGATAATAACATTGTGGATGCTTCGGATGCAGTGTGGAATGCATTAGGTTTGGATGAGGACGAAGGCCGAGTTCAGATTACTTGGTCCATGGCGTAAGCTAAGGTTACGCAGCAGATGTCATCGTGGCTTTTGAAGTCCCACTACGTACGAGGAAAACAATGATACCTTGCCAAGTTAATTAGCGATTTAATAAAATAAGGGTTGATTTTATATATCTAGTCGAAATTAAAGCGTAGTTTGAGGTGTGATGTCGTCTAAAAGTAATAGTTCACGTATTGCCCTCTCCTTTTGTTCTTGTTGTTTTGACTGAAGAAGTAATAGTTCATGTATTGCCCTCTCCTTTTGTTCTTGTTGTTTTGACTGAAGAATTTTAGATTAAATTTTAAGTTTAGTTCTTCTTACAATATTATCTTTTTTAAGGTTCCAAATATAACCTATCTAATAAAACAAGCTGAATTTCTATAAAGACTAGTTGATTTCTTTTTAATATCCCTCTGAACATAAAAGACAATTGCACCGATTCCTACCAAGGTGTAAGGGGAGTTTTACCCACATTTAAGTATGATTTATTGGGTGAATTTTAAAAAACGTCAATTTCAAAACATATATATTTGTACTCACGTTAGAAATTATAGTTAAGCTATGAATTGATCACTATATTAGTCTCAGGTGTTATTCTCCTCGTAAATAAATAATAATTTTGAGGTGAAATCATATGCAAATTTATATAGGTCTTCAAAACACAAACAAAGCTATTATGATTAATAAATGTGGTGTTTTCAAAAGTCAAATAAATTAACCCATTTACCAAGTCTTGAACTCAATTGGGTGGTTACATTCAAGAAACATGCTGAAACTCAAAATGATCTACTTGGAAATGGTAAATGAAAGCAATGTCATCCATGGAGCAAGTTGACGACTACAAATTTCATCACGCAAGAATGACTACGACTATAACATTTTTTTTTCCTTTGACAGCTTCCTAGGATTCTTGAGAAGAAAAGTACAGACAAATCAAAATTCTTCCTTTTCATTTGGTAAATCTCTGTATCACCGAGCATGTACTGTTGATTTCAGTAATAAAATCGAAACCTACTTCTTGTCTTTCTTCTTTACATATTATTAACACTTAGAAGTAAATAAAGAAAATTACCGAGTAAATTAGGGTGAGCATTAAAAAAAAACGGTAAACGATATGGATGTGTATTAAGTTGCAGAAAAAAGTTAATATGTTTATCTCCACATATTTCAACATCTAACTAATTTGCAAAGAAAAATAGAACAAACTTGCTGGCCATACCTTTTTTACATCTCCACTGGTTGGCTCCACATGTTGCAAAAATGGACATGTTTCATCTCCACTTAGGTTTGATTCACTAAAAAAGGGAGTCCAATTCAGCATCAATGATTTCGATCGCGGACTTGATTGCCCGGGATGCAACTTCCTCGGACTTGTCCACAGCATCTTGAGCAGCCTTGGCATTCTCCTCAACTATCTTCAATGAAGCTTTAGCTGACTCGAGTCTTAGGGTTGCGTTATTTGCATTAGTCCGAGCTAAATCCAGTTGATCACAAGCCGCATTGGAAGCGATGCTACAGAAATCATTGGGTAGATCCTGCCCTTTGGTGGCTAACAAGTTCAAAACCCATAATCTGGCAACCTCGTGCTCCTTAAGTGCAGCCTGAGCAGCCTCGGACTGCTTCTCAGCTTCTTCCAAAGCGGCTTTCTCCTCCTCGAGTCTCTCCCCTGATTCCTTTGCTTCAGACCGAGCCAACTCTAGTTTTTCGACGGCTTCCTCCATATCAATAATGAGCATTGTTGTCTCAAATTCGTACTCAATGGTACGTTTTGGTGATAAATCTGGCTGCATTTTAGTAGTCTCTCCTCCTCCAGAACCTGGACAAACAACAACAACAAAAAAGAAAAAAAAAAAAACAAGAAATATCATGCACAATAGAATATTATATGCCGTGAGAGAAAATTAATGTACTTCATAGAGAAATACTTACCGCCGTCAAGGGTCGAATCAGCTGTAACAATATCCTGATCCATTCCCTGAGCAAAACAACTGGTAACAGCCTTATTCAATGGCAAAGCAGAAGTCCAAGGAAAACTTGCCAAACCAGACGACTTCCCCTCATCCAACGCGGATATAGCCACAGGAGCTGGAAGGACTCTCTTCGCAGTGCGGGAATCTGATCAAAACGACCAAACAGACTCAAATATATATATATATATATCGATCCAAGTTGAAGTTGTATTAATTTTACTGTGTTATGCAAAAGATAAGTTGTAGTGGTATTATACTGTCTGTCCTAAAAACATAATTCCATAGAGTTTTGAAATTTGTCTTAGCTAATTTAGAATAAGTCTCAAAACTTAATTGGACTTTTTTCAGACTTTTTAATTTTTGGACGGAATTAGTATATTCTTATCATGTATTGTATAAATGACTCAATTTCGAAAGGAGCAACAATACCCGAAGACATTTGTGATGCGATAGGAATAAGGCATCTTGCCCTAAATGCCACCCTATTTTTCATTTTCCCCAACTGCCGGATTGTGGATATTGAATTATTGATTCTAATTGATCTATGTTGATTTATGATTTGCAACTAAAAGATAATTCCAGGTGTGCTATTGTTCTAACTTTTGGCTGCTTTATTGAATATAAATCACTCAAAACTAGTAAAAGTTTAGATGACTAGTTAATTAAAAGCTATTTCCATCATATATACTCATCATTGATTTGAATCTTGATGACACCTAGTCTTTCTCGAAATAAGATGATGCACATGTGTGTTTCATAGTTCTTTTAATACTCATTGGTTGATAAATTTTCGAGCTTTATATAATTCATATGGTTGAGTTGTATTTAGTTGTTGAGTTTGCTTGATAACACATACTTGGCCTTGTCTTAGGTGAAGTAGATATACACGCATTTCAGAATCATAAAACTCCGATCCAAAAGCTATTCCCCAATTTACATCCAAAAACTTGCACAATATTCTCATTCACTTTCATTTAAAGTCCCGGGAATTCTTGCTCTAAACCAATACATAATAATCTCATCAACAAATTTCTCAATTCCAATTAATATATACTATTATCAGAAATCGCAGATTTATCATTCATGATTCAACTTCAAGACCCAACAAAATTATGCAAGAAATTCATTGTTTTTCCATGAGCATATAATCCATCTACAATCCTCTCCTATTTATATGTCACAGAAAATTATCACAAATTTCAGATGCTAAAAAAGTATGCCCGAAATACAACTTGAAAAAAAAAAAGAAGAAGTAAATAATGCTCACCAAACCGAATGAAAGCGGAACTAGGGTTTAAGGCATTTTTTGCGCAGCCTCGAGGAAGGGAAAAGGTAGCTTTTCTGGTCAGACAAGGAACAAGACCCACACAGTGCGCCGCCGCTTCCATCTTCTAAACACCCACTGGTCCGACGGCCGTGAATTTCTTGTTTTTAATTTTTGAACAAATAAATGTTTGGAGAATTTTATACTACTTTTCTAATTTTTTTTTCGACTTGTCGATAATATTAATGGTATAGGAAAGAGGAATTGAAATTGAATGCAAACTCTTACAACCGAAAAGATACTAAAAAATTCAATTGCATGAGATGTAGAACTGTGGAAGGGATCTACCCGAATAATTCCAAAAACAAAAAAAAAAAGAACACACACACGCACTCCATAAAATAATAAGAAAATAATTTCTAAAAAAAACCCCATTATAATTTTCAGGAAGATAATCCCTAGTAGTTTATATAGGTGTCGTGACAATAAAAAGTTCATATAATGATAGATGTGTTTCGAAACTTTCAAGGGGTGCTTACAGTAGATGGGAAGCATCAGAAGTTTGGTTTTGTTTTTTAGGCTTGTTTCGTGTTTAGGGTTTGATTGGTTTTGATAGTTTAGTCATACCAGCTCGTGCAGCATACTATACAAAGACCCGTTCGATCGCAGTTGAATTTCTTTGGTCTTAGTGGAATCTCAGATATGAAACTAAAGGCAAAAATGACCATTATTATTTATTACTCCCTCCAAGAAAATTGTCCCCTTAGGGTTTAAGGTTTTGGGATGGAAGTTGCAAGTATGACATTTTATGCTCTCTTTTCAATCATTTTTTTTTTTTGGGCAATCTTACTGTTCGTAGACTGCAAAATTGATCATGATATGTTTTATGTAATAACATTCCAAGCAATGCCATGATAGAAGAAATGCCATAATAGACTAACTAATGAGGCACTTTAGTGTGTCATTAAAGCTTTTTTTTTTAGTGATCGCCGCCGCCACTTTTGCAATAGGACAGGGAGAAGAGAACCACAAATTTAGAAGTAAGGGTTTAGATAGGGTTTGGTTCAGAAATGTGGAAGGACTCAGGATGATGAGAAGCAAACCCAAGTTTCCAGTGGCCGCATTAATGGTTGAGAAGTGAAAATTAATAAGCATGATGATGATGATGATGATGATGATTAGATGAAGATATAACAATAAATAATAAAAAAAATAGAATCAAATAAAATTGTTTAAAAAGATGAGGATAAGCCACGAAAAAAAAAGATTCGAAGCTAAGGGTATGTTTGTTTCGTTTTTTTCTTGTGTGTTTTTAGGTTTTCTTTGTATTGAGAATGTAAAAAAGTATGCTGGAATGAGACATTTATTATTATTTAATTCTGAAAAAACTAACTAAAAAAGAAAACAAACAAAGTCTAAATATTTGCTGAAAAAAATGGATAAGAATCATGTGCCTAATTAATCAAATATGCGCGTAAATGGATTAATTCATGTGGTAAAATATCCACTCTTTTTTTGACATGTTTGTATCACATGCACTGCTTGGGTACATAATGCAATGTACAGTTAGGTGCTTGATATTATTTGTCGTTTCTAGAATCGTAACCAAGAACTAAATCATAACTCATAAAGGTAATTTTTTGTCACTTATTACCCTGGAGCGAGGATGCAGTGGTGTTAACTAAACGGGCAGAAATTTCCAAGTATTCCACAATTTTTTCCTACATTAAAGTGTAAATAGCTTTTTTTTATTCAGAACAACCGTATTGGTAATTAATATCAGGAAATAATTAATTTTACTTTTTTCCTTTTGTAATTTTTTGGTTAATTTAGTTTTATTTATAAATTTATAATTTTATATTAAGAAATTACCGTTTGATGGACTGATGTGGAAGCTACATGTGGACCAAGCTATCTAATTTTTTGTTATGTGGATTAACGTATCTAATTTTGCGCCATGTGTTCTATTGAAAACTATCCCTTCATATATATAGAGATATAGATTTCTTAGGATGAGCTAAAAGTCAGTTGAACTTATAAGATTGTGAACTACATAACTCAACTTGAGAGAAGCATACAAGAAGAAATATTTGAAACATTCCTAACAGTATGGATTATTTGTTTTCACTATATAATTAGCAGCAAAAGCATGTTTGTGATAGACAGATGAAAAATGAACAACCAAAAGCATTATGAAGTTTTTGGTTCTCATAATTCATGTTTGTAATCGAAAATTTGGTTGTCTTCCTCTCTCTGTCAAAGCACATCGCGTTTATAAACAATTATAGAGATGAAGCTTTGGTTTTGATTTGCTATTTTGCTGAATTATGTTTAGTTTAGCTCCCAGAGGCACCAGCCAGGAAGCCATTAGCCCATTAGGTCAGGTTTGCCTATATATTCTTTTAGAATTTGAACTTTGAAAGTTTGTGAAATTGAGAAATACAGATACGCGAAATTCTTCACACTTGAAGCCCTAATTCACTCATTGGAAACAGACCAACAAATCCAAATCAATGAAAAGAGTTTCTCCATGAAATCAAAAGAAAATCAAGGCATCACCGTCACAATGTATAGCTATTGGTGGAATTGACAATATTCTGATACGAAATATTGGAATCAAGTTCATCAATGACAAATTTGACAATGTTTAATTGACCCGACCACCGAAAAAGTTTATCCTTGACGGAAGAGGCATGGTTTGTTTTGACGAATGACAGTAATGGTTGGCTTGGCTCAAGCCAGCGAATTTGTTGCTGATATAGAAGACAACCAAGACTTATCGCATCTTAGATATCGTTCGTCCAAGAGAAACTTTGCGTGGTTTATAGATAATAAAGGCGAACTTCTGAAGGATTCATTCCACTAGCTATTGTGTATGACAAATCACGGTTGTTAATTTAACACATCTGCAAATAATTACTTTTGATTTTCACGGTTTTGCAAGATTCCCTTGCTTTAATTGTACAATGTGACTTAAAAGGTGCATTAGTTCACACGAATTATGAAATCTGGATGATGAGGGAATATGGGGATCAAGAGTCATGGACTAAAACATATAGTGTGGTGTTGCCACCCCCTTCTGGCGTAAATCATCCAACCTTGAAAACATTCTAGGAGACGCCAATTTATTGGAATAATGAGCTTCTGGCAGTAAATCATAAGAATGGAGAGATGTTCCTCTATAATATTGCCCAAGATGAACAACAACAAGAAGCAACTCAACTTGATCTTGTTAAAAATGTCGAGCCCCATCTTATTTTTGATAAGTGTAAGTCATTTGTGAAGTAGTTAGGGTTTCATTTGTGTGCAAGTCACGGAAGATACTTCATAGTTTTATGTAAATATTTGAAACTCATTTTTTTTTTTGAAATCCAATGGTGTATGGAAATAATTACAAATTTTCGATTTGCATTACATTCTAAATAAAAATTGAACTATTAAGGGACAACAACAAAGAATCCATTAAGGGGCGACGACATCTTACTCGAAACACAAACGTTCCGGTAATTCCCAAACGTTTTCACCTAGGAGACTATATGATGCCCGAGACTTTGTCATGGCTCAGTTACTTCTTTGCAGAGTATTGAACTTTTTTTTTTAATTTTTTTATTAGCATAATGGCTTCTCTTCGGTTGTACTTTGTTTTGTGATGTTTTCCATCTTCGCTTTCTTCGTCGTTGTCTTCTTCATTGTCCTCGTCACTAGAGCTATCACCAGCGTAGGAAAGCTTCTTTTGGCAGCCATTGGCACAAAAAACTACTTTGAAATTCAAAGTATAAATCATATTTAGCAAGGGCAAAAATTTAAAAATCTAGAAATTTATACTAAATTTTTAAAGGGGTCTTTGGAAAAAAAATTGGCTGGGGCGACCGCCCCTGCTGGCCCCCTAGCTCTGCCACTGCTTTGAAAGCTCTTTTATCAACCAATCGAAATAGCAAATAATCACCATATTTCAATTTATGAACCCGCGCAAAAACCGACCATGATTATCGCAAATGTAATAATTCTCCCTTGTAAAGAGTGGATATGATCCGGTCCGCCTCTTGGTTAATTCCGTTGAAAAGCTATATGGTATTCGCTAAAACCCATAATTACAAACAAACAGATCAAGTGAAAAAAAAAACTAGAATGCCGAATTATAGGGTTTTCAAGGGAAGGAAAGAGATAAGTACAATGAAATGGAACTTACAATTTTTTCGGATGAGATCATCTTCGACTAGATGTTTCAAAAATAAAGGGCGATGTTTTCTTTCCATTGTGAAGCGTCGAGAAGGTGGTTGGATGGATGGATATATTTAAAGGATATTTCCATTCCAGGAGAAGGTCAAAAGACATTGTGGTTCAGGCTCGACGCTTAGTTAACAAATTGAATTGGGAAAATTTGGTTGAAGGGTAATGGAGGCATTTGGATCCACCGATTGGAATTAAACTGTGATTGAAATTACGACATAGTCTCACTCACAGAACAAGGATCTTATCATATTCTACTAGTCAAAACACTAGGTCATTCTTCACTTAACGAAACACCATCCTCTACAATTTCAGCAGCTTTGTACTTGTATAATGAGCCACATAAAAGAAAATAACAAAAATTAACGCCTACAATTATAGTGATCAGACAATACACAATGTCTAATCTCCCCTTATTTATGTTTTCTGGTAACCAATCTGTTGATCTGTGAATAACATGAATCAGGGCATTGCCAATGTAAAAGGCAATGCCATAGAACAATGAAACAACTCCGACCGAAGTATTTTTCAAGTAATCTGGAAATTCTTGATAGTAAAATGAGACAAGTCCAGGTAAATGAAATGCTTCTCCCATCCCAACAAGAGCTAATGGAGGCACTAGCCAAAATATCGACATTGGCACCTCGGCGCCATTATCCTCGTTTTGAAGGTTATGCATCCGTGAAATCTTCAGCCGCTTCGCCTCCACAAGAGCTAAAACCACCATGCTAAGGACATTAGTCGAATGTCCGATGCCTATTCACCAGAGACGTGATGGGTTTGAGGCCAAACTTACTCCAGATTGGAAATAAGATTCGATCTATGAAAACGACGCTGATACAAGTGGATATGAATGAAGGCGACTATTATCGCTGCCGGAACTTTAAAATCAGGCCCAAGACTTCGGTCCATTTTGAGAGCTTGAAGGATTCCCAAACTTACTTGGATAACATATGGAACACGCACGAGTAATCCACTTGTGAATAGCGGAACAATCTTGATTAGGTCCTTCAGATCTTCTATTTCAGTTATGGTACAAAGTTGTCCTGACTTCCTTGTAGATTCATTTGTCTCTAAATCTCTTTCAGTTTTAAGTGCTGCCCGATTCAAGAACCTACCATATGATAGACCAGAGATTCTTTTACAGATTATAATGTAAACATGGAAAACAATACAAATGTTGATTGTAGCAATGAGAACATTAAGATGAATGCGTGGACTAATAAAATGAAACAGGGCTAACAAAAATGGTCTAACACACTGATGGATGATAAAACAAAAGATTATGGTCAAAGTAGTTTAGAGAAGAACCCAATTGAAACCTGATTGTTAAGAAAGTAGTACCTGAAGAATTTTGAAGGCAAAGTAGGAATCTTGTTATTCTCAGGGCCTTGGAAATAAACTCCAGGATTCTGGGAGAGCAGAATTCCCCTGTTCTTGACCGCTTTAACAACAACACGACCTAAACCAGTAAAAGGGCTGCCCTGCGGCTTCATCTGACGATAGAAACGAGTGCTGGAAAACAGCAATAACAATCCAAGTGTGTTTGCTGCAGATGAGATCCCAAAACCCCAAGCCCAACTCACATTGTCCACAACATAGACAATAGCTGTGCAACTTACAATTAAGCATACATTTGATACAAATGTGTACCAATTAAAAAATGAGTCGCGATCATTTGGTTTATCTAATTGGTATGCGCCCATTGGTCCGATGGTGATTCGATTACCGCGATTCCAAGAACAACTAGTGACAAGCTAAGATAAAGAACTCCTGATTGGAGTTTCGTCGGCTCTGTGCAAATGTTTGATCCATTTTGACATGGTGGCGGTCTTAATTTACTAATGGCTGAAGTTACAGTCAACATCAACATGCCCAGCATCATCAACACAACCTATTATTTGACTGAAAGAAATGTATACTAACTTCATAAGTAGCAGCAGTGGTAGTCACAATAGTTGTAGAAGAATCATTGCTACGTTCTTTGTCGAAGATCCAATAGGCAGTCTACTTGAGTAGGAAGACGTATCTCTCCATAGTATCCATTTTTGGCATGGTGGAGTTTTAATTTGCTAAAGGCTGATGTTAAAGGCAACAGAAACATTCCCTACATAATAAAAAAGAAACCGAGAAGAAGATGAGGTGAAGAATCAATTAAACTATTGAAAGAATCGATTTTCGGGTAAATTCCCGGAAAAGAAAATCGTATTTCTTGAATTAAAATGTTACAGTGAATATAACATTTCTATTGGGGCGGATAGAGTGATGAAATACACAGCGGGGAGCTGAAAGAGGTACCTAAAAATAAAAAATGAAAGGCATAGGAGTCCAACCGCCTTTCTTGGACTCATTAGACTGGGGTGGGCTTTTTTTAACAAAATAAAATAAAAAATTCCCTTTTCAAAGTAAAAAAATTTCTAATAAATCTATATTCTATAATCTATCTATCTATCTATAATCTATAATCTATCTATCTGTCTATAATCTATAATCTATAATTTATAATCTATAATAATAATAATAATAATAATAATAATAATAATAATAATAATAATAATAATAATAATAATAATAATAATAATATGATGTGTCTTCAAAACTTTATTCCCACCCAAGCAGCTGGTTATAATAACTCTGGTTATCAATCAAAATTTATGCATTAGTTTTTGTTTTTTTGAGGGATGTTTATATCTGATTGTTATACACAATTTGTGTTACTATTGTGGCCTCAAAGATAAGCAATTTTTTCTTCATCATTCTCAATGGGTCACCACTGTGCGCATTCTCAGTCTTATTAGCGGATGAATTTATATGTTTCAATCTTTAAAAATTTTGTTCATTATGTGTTATAGAGGTGGAACATTCCTGAAAATGCAATGCTCATTGTGTATCGCTTCCGTAAATGTTTGTCGTTACCATACAACTTGAAGTACCAGTTAGAGTTTATGTTACTATACTTGCTGAAGTGTCTTGCTATTTATTATGCTTTTTGCATGCAGTTGAATGCTTAACATAGCAATGTTCACTTTTTCTTTATCTACCAATAAATGACTTTGGACGTGGTTTGTTTCTCATTGTACATGTAGTGCAAGTAGTAAATTTGGCTTCAGTTGAAATATTTACATTAGAAACATTCAATTATGATGATTATTTATTTTTTTGTTGTACTGAATTCGAAAATGAAGAAAGGAAACAGATGGAATACAATGATGATTAAAGGATGGGATAGACAATGATGACTCATTGCCTTTGATTTTAAAGATTACTGAGGCTGAAGAGTCTAAACTCATTGTAATTAATAATAGGTCGGGGTTTGGGACATTTGGAGGAGCACTTTCTAAAAGAAGTGTTTATTCTTTTAGAAATCTATGTCACTCATCAAATTTCTTTTTCTGATGATTTGTTTTAATTGTGTAACCAATGAAATCATAGACCGGCCATTGGCCACGTATTCATTTGTTTTTACTTTTTTTTATCATTGTTAGTTATGATAATAAAATATATAACGTGAGGTTTTTTATTATTTATTTTTTATTCCAATGAAATATATTCTTTTTAGTTATACATTATTTTATTGAGCAAGCTTGCCTGAGTATTCGTCTAAGGCAAGTTATTATTATACTAATATCAATACATTTTATTACAAATATAAATTCTAAGAGATTGCCCGAGCATCTGCCCAGGCCAAGCATCTAGTTTATAATAATAATAATAATAATAACTCCCATTACAACAAAAATTACTTTTATCCTAAAAATCCAAGTGTCATTATTTCCTTAAAAGTCTCTTCTCCAAATTCCCCCCCCTAAAAAAAATACAAAAAAATACAAAAAGAATTAAAAAATGAACAAAAATCCTAATGGCACTTTTACACACCATGTAGAACTCCTATGAGCAGTTTGCGGTTGTCAAAAATAAAAAATAAAACATGCTCTAATCTTCATCTAAGTGTACATCTAATTGCAGGATAAAAGAATTAAAAAATATTAAAAAATCCGAATTCATTTTTCTCCAGTACCTTTCATCATCAAAATGATGGCAATTATAATGAAGGCCATAGTGAAATTCTACACCAATATGTTCATTTGTCAGTTTAGACAGCCATTAATTAAATTAGTAAATAATCATGACGTAGTCTACACAGTGTAATGATTTTTCTATTGGCAATGTCAAGTTAATGAACACGATGGTAGCTTCGGGAAAAAAAAATAATAGGAAAACTGAAATTTAGTAAGTCCTATTATAACAAAAACCACTTTTATCCTAAAAATCCAATTGTCATTATTTCCTTAAAAGTTTCTTCTCTAAATTTCGCCAAAAAAAAACACAAAAAGAATTAAAAAATAAACAAAAATCCAAATGACAGTTTTATACACCATATAGAACTCCTATGGGCAGTTTGCGGTTGTCAAAAATAAAAAATAAAACATGCTCTAATTTTCATCCAAGTGTACATCTAATTGCAGGATTAAAGAATTCAAAAATATTAATAAATCCGAATGCAGTTTTCTCCGGTGCCTTTTCATCATTAAAATGATACAATTATAACGAAGGCCATAGTGAAATTGTATACCAATATGTTCATTTGTCAGTTTAGACGGCCATTAATTAAATTAGTAAATAATCATGATGTAGTCTACACTGTATAAGGGTTTTCCCATTGACAATGTCAAATTAATAGACACGATGGTAGTTTCAGGGGAAAAAATAATAGGAAAACTGAAATCTAATTGACATTAAATGAAATACATTTATGTTAGAAATATTTTTAGGTTGTTTACTAATCTTAAAAAAAAAAAAAATAGAGACTGCATTCATGATTCAACTACTTGAACATTCCCGCTAACCTTCGTTCAAATCTTTTTAAAATTGATTATATGAAATTTCAATGTCAAACCCGTGCGAGTGCACGGGTTCAAAACCTAGTTTAAATTATAAATTAAAAAAAAAAAAGAAAATGGAAAACCTCGAGATGTGTCTTCTCTTGAGGGTCTATTAGAGAGGGCTTATTAGAAACCCTAGCTACTCATATCTTCTCTTCTTCCACCGCCAACAAAACAAGAGCAACATGGGAGAGTCTCCAACAGGGCTGACAGTCATGGCAGTAATAAGATCAGCCAGGCCCATCTTTCGGAACGCCTACGACAAGCTCGCCTTCACGGTTCACTCTACATTTTTGGCCTCCGGTTTCGTCCTCCGCGCCACCGGTCCAGATGCTTTCTCCAAATACCATATCCATGATATCCATCCCGATGGCCACTTAGAGGTTGGAATTGACAAGTGGAACCAAATCGGTGCTAATTATGCCTTCGTTTACACAACCAAATCCGATGCGGAGAAAATTGTGGTGAAGTGCTTTGGGTTGGAGGGTAAATTGCACATTGATGCCCTGAGGGAAGGATCACATCTAGCCATTGCCCGGATGGAGATCAAAGTCGAGGATTATTTTCCGGATGAGATTGATGGAGGAGGAAATATTCCGGCGAATAATAATAATAATAATAATAACAATAGCTATGATTACGCTTCAATGATGCCGGAGGAGGAGGATTTCAAGGATCTGGTGTTTGATATTCATTATGAACTTGTGACCAAGTTCAATCCTCCTCGGCCGAAACATAATCTACCTATGCCACTTTTTCCTCCTCCGAAAAAGCGTCGAAGTACTTCATCTCCTCGTCCAACTCTTATAAAACCACATCGATATAGACCGTCGTGATGCCGGTAAGATGGCAAGTTCGGCAGCCCAGGGCAAAGAAATCAAGAAGATACTTTTAAGTGTCCAGATTTTAAGTTTTCTTTTTTCTTCTAGGAGGAATGCTATTTTGCTTTTTTTCATTTTCAAAACAAAAATAAATAAATAAATAAAAATTATCAGTTGTTATTTTCAGGTCTTATTTTCTTCTTATGTCGCTTTACGTCGCACTTAGCTTTTGGAGCTATTTTGTATGGGCTCTTACAAATAATTATAGATATAATTTTTCTTTGACAATTTGATTCCGTTTTGGTGGCGGAGTGTAGAAAGAAACAGGAAGCAATCGGAAGGAAATGAAACCAGAGAAAACGGAAAACCGCTGCGATCCAAAATTTCCGGGTAATCAAATTCTTTTCTTCTTTCCTATAGAAGGATTCCCTCGGAATGTGCAAATTGAAAGGAGGAATATGGCTTATTATTTCAAAAAAAAAGAAAAAGAAAGGAGGAATGGCTAGGGGCAGAGATGGTTTTTCAGTTTATAATATATAAATAGTACCCCCGAAAAGAAATTTTAGAAACAAAAACAATGCGGGTATCATAATTTTAAATTTATTTATTTTTTGGTCATTAATATTCGTATTTCTAGTATTCTCTATTAGAATCAACATTTTTTATTTTCATCAAGAAAAATGTACTCACTCTATTCCAAAAAAGTAATCCACATTAAGACAACTTCGCAACCCAATTCATTCATTTAAATAATCCACATTTATTTTTTTTTTCTGTTTTTTCCTTCTTTTATCGTCTTTCTTGCAAGAAATAAATTGTAGTGCCGTAGAGTCGTAGCTAGACAGATACTGAGAAGCACAATCATGTTTGTGACTGTGGATCAATTGCAACCTGAAGGGGAGTTTTAAATTGTAGGAATGTGAATAAAGGAAAACAAAATTATGAATTTGTTAGTCCTTTTGGACTCTAGAAAGTCGGGCAAATTTGATAAAACTCAGTGTGTGTAGTGGAGCCTTTTTTATTTTATGTCAATGCTATGATATTTTCGTGAGAAATGTATATTGTAAGTCAATCCTATGATTCACTAGTAAATGTAATTATGAAGGTAATAATAGTACCCTACAAATTGTAATACCAGTTTTTCTATTTCACGTCAAAGCAAATGACTAAAGATGCTAATGCAGCAGTTCAACACATTAACAGAAGATTATAGGGAAGTTTTGGACTTTGCTGGCTGAAAAAATGTTTGTAGATGTATCAATTAAATAATAAATTTTCTCCAGAGAAAAAAAAGAAAAAAAGAAACACATAACACAGAAGCAAATAAAAGCTTTAAAAAAGTTTCATTAATTATTTTTTTCACATAAAGTACTTTTGGAAAAGGCCTTGACCAAATGCCTTTTTTATATTTTTAACTACTAAAAGGTTTTTGTAATTTGTTTTTACCAAAGTACTTTCTAAATATTTCCTCCAAAAAGGGGTTTATAATAGGAATTTACAAAAACTTGTCCAAATGGAGCCTTAAATAATTCAACTTAAAATACGTTTTTTTTTTTCGAAAGAGGATTAAAAAAATACATATTCGTGAAAGAAAAATACAAGTTTTAGAGTTCAACAAGGGTACGGTTTTTTTTGAAAGAAATATTCGTGAAAGAAAAATCACTGACTCCTGTGTTGCCGGCGGCTCAACCCTCATCATTGATCTTTTTTGAAGTTTGATCTGCTCTTCTTTTCTTTGGTGGACGATTTTTGGGGTTTTTGGTTAATTGCATACACATCACTTACAATTATTTTCTATTGATTATTCAAATTGTTTGCAATGTTTATCCAATCATTTTTTTTTTGAAGAGTGAATGTCAAAAATATGATTGGATAACAAGTACAAACAGAATGGATAATCAGTCCAAACCGGTTGGATAATCAGTAGGAACACAACGGATAACCATTTTTCAAAGAAAAACGAAAAACACATTTCTTCATTTCTGCCCGTAAAATTTAAATAAATTTAAAGTTCAAAAAAAATATTCAACATGGATCTTATCGGATAGATTTCGTCGAGCACTATAAATTCCATGTATAATTTATATTCTAATTCTTTACGGATCAAGAGATATTTGCAATACAAGAATCTTAATCTAAACTAAACCGGTTATCCATTTTTCTAAACTAATATCCATCTTATTCTGCCCATCGAAATTTAGTCATTTTTAAACTCGAAAAAAATATTCGACATGGATCTTGTTGGATAGATCTCGACGAGTACAATAAATTCATGTGTGACACGTTCTCTAATTTTTTACGGATCATGAGATATGATCGTTTAAATATTAGAGATGTTTTTTAAAGGAGAGGGAAAAAATCAAAGAGACTAAACCTGTAAATTATAGGATATTATTTAGAAAAGTGGCAAAAAAATATAGTAAGGACTAGTAGTGTAAAAAATAGGAGGGGGAGTATGGTGTTCCCAGGTATACGACTCCTAATTTCCTATGTCAAAATACGAGTCGGGTTTTGTCAAACAAAAAAGTTATGAGATTTTTACTCACACTGTTTCCATCTAAGATGATGAGACAAAACCATCATCATCTTCAATAGTTTTATACTTGTATAACGAGGCACATAAAAGGAAATAACAAAAGTTGATCCCTACAAGTACTGTAATCAGCCAATACACAATGTCTAGTCTACCATTGTTTATATTGTCCGGCAACCAATCCGTTGATCTCCGAAAAACATCGATCAACGCATTTCCTACGTAACAAGTGATCCCATAAAACAAGGAGACAATTGCAGATGAAGTGTTTTTCATGTCCTGAGGAAATTCTCGGTAATAAAATTCAACTTGCCCTGGGAAATTAAATGCTTCCGCAATGCCAACGAGGGCATATGATGGCACTAACCAATATATTGACATTGGCACCAAGGCGTTATCCTCGTGTCGAAGGTTATGAATCCGCACAATCTTAAGCCTCTTCGCCTCGACAAATGCTGAAATTGCCATACTAAGGATATAGAAACAATGACCAATGCATATACGCTGGAGAGGGGTGATGGGTTGGAGACCAAATTTATTCCACATTGGAAATAAGATTCGATCTATAAAGAGTATGGTAATACATCCCGATACTAATAAAACAGCGACGACTGATGCAGCTGCAATATGTGCATTGTGTCCGAGATGGCGGTCCATTGTTAGAGCTTGGAGAATTCCCAAACTCGTCTGAATAATATATGGAATGCACACAAGTATCGCACTTGTCCATAGTGGAATCAGTTTGATGAGGCTTTTGAGATCTTCTACTTTTTTAACTGTACAAAACTGCCAAGATTTCTTTGGAGATCCATTTTGCTCTGTATCTCCTTCAATTTTAAGAGCTGCATGATTTAAAAACCTGCAAGTAACATTGTTTATTAGCGATTGTGATTGACAGAATTATAAATACAAGTTCATACCTGAAAAATTTTGAAGGCAATGTAGGATTGGTCTCATTTTCATGGTGTTGGTAATAATCTATTGGGTCCTGGGAAAGCAGAGTTCCCCTGTTCTTGATGGCTCTGATAATAACACTAGCCAATCCCGGAAAAGGGCTCCCTTGTGGCTTCAACTCACGAAAGAATCCAGTGCCGACAAAGAACAGTAATAGCGCAAATATATTGGTTATTGCTGTAATCCCAAATCCCCAAGCCCAACTCACATTGTTGATGACATAAACAATGCCCGTGGAGCTTACAATAACGCATACGTCCATAACAAGTGCGTACCAGTTGAAGAAAATTCCGCGTTCCTTTGGTTGATCGAACTGGTGCGCGCCCATTGGTCCGATGGTGACCCGAGTGCCGCCCATCCCCAAAACTGCTAGTGCCAAGCTTAGATAAAGAACGGCGAATTGGATTTTGGTCGGGTTCGCGCAAATGTTTGATTCGCCGTGACATGGTTGAGGCCTTAGTTTGTGAAAGGTTGCTGTAATGGTTAGTAGCAACATGCCCTTCATAAAGATCCCGATAAATCACTTAATCAGGTTAAATTTCTTATGCCATAAACTGTGCAAACATATAGTGAACGCTGAAAATGGAAAGATCACCAAATTGATCACATTCTTTATAAATGACAACATGTATGATAAAAATTAGAAAAATTTTATGGACAAATGGCTAACCAGTGATGTGATGAGAGAAGAAAACCAGATGACAGTGTAACAGCTAAAGAATGAGTCGGCTAAAACTGCTGCTCCAATGGGTACCATGGAAACTAAGCCATTGACCAGATTGCATTGTTGAGCTGCGCTAATTCTCTTAATGTTGAATTCTTCAATCAGATAAACTTCCAGATTCGAAAGCAATACTCCAAATACGAGCGATAGGCCGCCCGCGATTGCTGCAATATTTCATCAAAATGATACATAAATATTTAAAGCTTTTCTTCTAAAACTACATATCCACATACAACTGACTTGAACCAAAAAATAAACATGAAAACATTCTAAAGGGTACTTATCAAGAAGTGCAATGAAGAGATGTGAGAGATACCTAAAATGAAAGGAAGTGTGACCCAACCGCCTTTCTTTAGAGCTTTTGCGGATGTAGCCGGAGCTGGATCTGCAAGATTATTATGTATTGAGGTCATTATTAACTTCACTAATCCATTGAGGTTTGATAAACACTGTTGGATGAAGAGGTCAGCTGCGAGGTTTGTAGCTTCATTAAGTCACTTCAAGGTTGGTATAGTGATTATATATAGTACCACCACATCCGTTCTAAAATGAAAATTATATTTTTGAAATAAGTTGGTACGATAAACAATATTCTTATTTCAAGATAGTGAAAATATAAATGTATATTTTCAGTAATTTGATCCCTTAAGTTAGTCATGTGACAAAGATTCGAATCAGTTTTAAGCGGGACGGCCGTTAACTTTCAACATTTGGAATATAGTTAGTAATTTATTAAAAAGTACTGCATGAAATCCCTTTTATTTTTTGTACCAATATAGTGTATAAAAATGATTAAAACAAACGCTACTATGGTCGGCAGCAAGTCGTTAAAAATGAGACCGGTGGGTGAAATGCTTCGAGGACAAAAAGAAAAACAAATTAAGGTGGTAGGTGATATATCTAGACAAAGAGTTTCTGAACGTGGTGTATTTAAATTTGTTTTATCGTTTGTATTGGTGTAAGGTTTGAATTGTCTTGGGAAAAAAAAAGAGAAAGAAACGAAAACACATCTAGGGAAAAGGTAAAAGAGTCAGTTGCGCTTTTTTTTTTTTTTTTTCCTTAAAAAAAAAAGGATTTGTTTAACAGTATTAAGGGCACCAAATTATTTTTCTTCTACCCGTAGTTAAATTATGGTTGACATATATACGAACTTACCTTAAATTGAAAAGTTCGATTTGTTGAACTAAAATCGTGTCCAGATAACAATGGTGTGATAGTCCAACACATTTCGATAAAACAATTTTTGTGCGATACATTAACCAAAACGGCATTAGATTGGGATGTGGAACACTTGTTTTGTATAGAATTTCAACTAGTGTTCCGCAAACTAATGCTGCTGTACAACATATGAATCGTTATCAGTCCGGCCGAGTGTATCTTCACATTCCATCAAAGTTGTAGTTGGTGCTGAACAGTTGGATTTGTACGTAAGTGTAAAAGATAATCTACTCAAGTAATTTTTTACATTTGTTAAAAAATTTAATTTGGTTTATAATATTAACAATTTACTTGTTCAATCGTTACATTTGTGTTTTCAGCTAATTTGGTCTTTCTTTTTTTTCTTTTTTTTTTTTTACTTTTTTTGATATTTTACATCTGGAAGTTCCCAATTTGACCATTTATTGATCGAGTCAACAGAAGTATTTATGGTGTTTTGTAAATTGAATTTCAAAATTTGATAAAATAATATTAAAAGTAGTACACCAATAGATAATTTATACAAATAGTATTAATGTTACATTATTTAAAATAAAATTTGAAATTCAATTTAACTTTTTTAAAAGATCTGATGTCCTAATATTATTCATCCAATGGCTACCGTGACCGTACTTCTTTTCCCTTCTTCTATTACTTTTATTCCCCTCTCCTTTCCCCCTTCCCCCAAAGCTCAAATTTGCCATGGGCTCCGACTCCATGGTTTAGCAGAATAATGTAACGCGTAAGTTTTATTAGTTGGTCATAATTAGTGGAATTGGGGTTCTTTGGGAGGCCGAGACGGATCGCAGGCTGGAAATGGAGGGGATAGTGGTGGGTTATGTGGGTCGCATAGAAAAAATATTTGATCTATCTATCTATCTTCTATACACTCTTAAAGTAAAAACTAATTTTTACCTAAAAATTAAAGTGTGAAATTATCCTTAAAAGTATCCATGACTAACCCCCAAAAACACCATTCCCTTTTTAATTCATCAAAAAAAGCAAACAAAAAAAAATTATAATTGTATTTAACCCTCAAAATTGATCCATGATTTCAACAGTTACTCTTTCAAGGTTCAACCGAATCACGATCATTTATATCCTCAAATAAACTGTAATCTGGAACAAATTATAAGATCTCCACAATTCTCAATCGATTCCTTTTAACCAATTTCTTTTTTTTCCAAAATTCTCTATTGATTTCTTTTATTCAAATTTCTCATGGAATTTAAGACGTACTACTAGGGTGTAATTAAAGTTAATAAAGAAGAATTCAGAAATGGGAGAAAAACAACAAGAAAGAAGAAGAAAATCTTAAAGATGGCAGTTCTTGGAAGCCATGCTGGAATTCCACCACAGCTGGACTAAAGCTGCAGCACAAAAAAACTCTAAAATGGTTTGTATTAATTAGATCAAAATTTTCAATGTTGTACTTTTTGGATGACAACTTCCATGAGTGCATCTCTTATGTATTTATTTGTATCAATTTCCTTGAACGAATAGATGTAAAGGTGAAACGTTGGTTTCATAGAGTATGATTGAGTTCGGGAGCTATTGATTAAATATCTTCTTAACAAAACCACTGATCATCTTGAAACTATTTGTGTTCTAGTTAGCAATTGAAACTATTCAGTTGATTTACTTAATTGTATATTTGTAAGCGAAGGGAGTTTGTTCTTTTAATAAAACGCAGATTACAGATTGAAAATTATCAAGCGCAAATTAAAAGCACAAATCATTTACCAGGCATTTCTCATCTCATGGGATGTGTCCGGGCTAAGATACTATAATAAAAAGGTTTTATGCTATTTTTATGCAATTAGTAATGAGCAATCGTTTGAGAGAAAAAACATGTAACCATTTTTGGTTAGTTTTATACAAAAATGGCGGGATATAAATTTTTTTCTTTTTTTGGTTCTTTGGTGATGCTAAGAGATAAGAACTTCTGATTGATTTTGTTCTTGTAGGCCTCAACTTTTGTTATTTCCTTTTCTGTGCCATATTATACAAGTACAGAAATGCTAATAACAGAAATTGAGGCCTACTAATACACTCATCAGCCAGTAAACGTTGTCTAGTCTCCCTTTGTTTATATTGTCCGGCAACCAATCCGTTGATCTTCGAACAACATGAATCAGGGCATTTGCTATGTAATAAGCGACGCCATAGAACAGAGAAATCATTGCAGACGAAGTGTTCCTCAAATTCTGTGGAAATTCTTGGTAATAAAATTCAATGTGCCCGGGGAAATGAAATGCTTCTGCCACTCCGGTAAGAACTAACGGTGGAACCAACAAAAATATTGACATTGGCTCAACAGAGTTTTCATGTTCTTGAGGGTTATGAACCCGCGAAATCTTTAGCCTTTTAGCCTCTACCGATGCTAAAACTACCATGCTAAGGATGTAAAATAAATGGCCTATTCCTATCCGTTGTAAAGGGGTGATTTGGCGGCGACAAAACTTATTCCACATTGGAAACAAGATTCGATCTACGAAGAGAATGGTGATGCAAGAGGATGCTAATAACAAGGCAACAATCGTCGCGGCAGGAATCTCGAAATTATGTCCAACATTTCGTTCCATTGTTAGAGCTTGGAGGATTCCCATACTCGTTTGGATAACATAAGCAACGCAAAACAGTATTGCACTTGCCAAAAGCGGAAGCAATTTGATTAGGCTTTTGAGATCTTCTACTTTTGTAACTGTACAAACTTGTCCTGATTTCCTTTTAGATCCATATACAACTTCTGTATCTCCCTCTGTTTTCAGGGCTGCACGATTCAAGAACCTGTAAAAAAAAATAAAAAAAATAGCCCTGTTATCTCAAATCATAGTTTGTACATGAGGAAAAAAATCACTAACTTGATAATAATAACCTATTACCTGAAAAATTTGATAGGCAAAGTTGGGGTGTAATTTTCATGGTCCTGGACTCCTGGTGATAATCTGTCGGGTTCTGAGAGAGCAGAGTTCCTCTGTTTCGAAAAGCTGTGACTAAAACATGAGCCAAACCAGCAAAAGGGCTCCCCTGAGGCTTCAGCTGACGATAAAATTTTGTGCCAAGGAAGAACAACAATACAGCGATTATGTTTGCTGCTGCTGAAATCCCAAATCCCCAAGCCCAACTCACGTTGTTTTGAACATAGACAATAGCCGTGGAGCTTAACATAATGCATATGTTCATAACCATTACGTACCAATTGAAGAAAATTCCATGGTTCTTTGGTTCGTTGAATTGGTGTGCGCCCATTGGCCCGAGAGTGAAGCGAGTACCACTCATCCCCAACACTGCTAGAGCCAAACTTAGATAAAGAACAGTCAACTGGATTTTCGTCGCCTCTGTGCAATTGTTTGACTGATCATTTTCGCACTTAGGTGGTCTTAGTTTGCTAAAGGTTGCTGTCAATGTTAACAGCAACATTCCCTGTATATAAATACAGTTACAGAAAAAAGATTAAAAAATTTGGACAAGAAATGTTAGGTCTTGACTGGATTGAATGTTAGTTATTAGAACAAGTTATAGGAAATGTAATGTCTTAAAAAGTACTCCTTTTGTCCCAAAATTATTATCCAGTTTGGATTTTCACTTTTAGTATATTTTGTACTAGAACTAAAAATCGAAACCTGACAATAGTTTCGGGACGGAGGGAGTAAGTGTTAACTGACCATTTCTGAGATGAGAGAAGAGATCCAGATGACAGTGTAGCAGCTCAGAAATGAGTCGGCTAAAACCGCGGTTCCAGTTGGCAATATCGCAATGAGTCCAGTGACTAGATTGCATATTTGAGCTGCACTGATTCTCTTTATGTTGAACTCTTCAATCAGATACACTTCCAGATTCGAAAGCAATACCCCGAACACGACGGTCAGCCCTGCTGTGGTTGCTGCAGAACGGGTTTAAGTTAGTATCTATGTATGTATAAATAATGCACATTGATTATAGTTAACAAACTAAGGTGGAAAAAAAAGGTCAGAAGATAAAGAGACCTAAGATGAAAGGAAGAGTGATCCAACCGCCTTTCTTTTCAGCTGGATAATTATTATTATTATTATTATATATATATATATATATATTAATTCAAGTGAACATGGCCTAACGTATGATCAAAATATACTTTAATGGCTGCTAATAATAAACGGGTTCGGAGAAAATGTGTTAAGAGTTGACCCGTCACATTCCCAGTTTAATACACAAAGTCAAATATTTTTCTGAAACAAAGAAACTAAAAAGAAAGCGGATAACTCATAAATGCAAAGCACCAAAGTTGAGTCATCCCTTCCTTTTTCGGTAGCATGATCAATTATATTCGTTTGATTTTTATTTGTTTTGAAATCGACATATTTTCTGGTTAAGAAAAGAAAAAACTGAATCAATGAGAACGAGGTGCAACCTCCCCGTAAAGGAAATTTTACGTATAGAAGTAAAAAGAACCCTCTAATGTCATGATAATTACTCATAAAATGAAGGAGCTTAACATGGGTTTGCTCCCCGTCCCCAGATAAAATTCCTAGCAGATGGAAGACATGCTCTCAAATCCGCAATTTAAATATACTTCAACATATTTTTGGTTTTAGATCTAATGTGAAAAAATGTTATCGGAAAACAATACCAAATTAGACTCAAAGAGTAACATGTGAGATTGAGGTTTGCTACTTCGCTTGGAATTTCGGTGAGTCGATAATGGATAATTATTCCCACTGGCTGCACCTCATCACCTAGATCAAACTGATGGGAATAAATATAAAATTGTTGAGGAAGAACCAATGTTTCCCAGAACCAAATTCATTTTCTCCCCAAAGAAACTTTTGACATTTCTTTTCCAACTCTATAATGATGGATCTCGGCGGTACCAAAGCAGCAATTGTATGCACCGACAATGCAAGGAGTACATGCTTAATAAGGATTAACCTTCCTCCTATTGAAAAAAACCGATTCTTCCAATTCCTTAATTTGACATTCATAGCATCAAGGAGATGATGAAAATACTCCGCCTTCTTTCTTCCCTTGAATAGAGTACAACCAAGATATTTAAATGATAGTTATCCTTGCGGCATTTGCAACATGGTAGAGATAATTTCTAATTGTCTCTCGTTGATTGACTCCGAGGCAATAAACATGCTTTTTTGCTTGTTTATTTTTTGGCCTGTTGCTTCTTCGTCATCCCTGAAAAAATCATTCAACCTCTTCATTAAATATTTCAAACCCTTAGTAAATATTACTAGATAATCCGCGAAGCATAAATGTGATACAATGCGCGATCCCGCGGGTGTTCCATAATGTGCCATTTTCCCAATCTCCGTTAGGATTTTGGGATTTCTTGATAATACCTCCGATACTAAGATGAATAAATATGGAGAAAGAGGATCCCCTTGTTTAATTCCCCTTGAAGCTTTGAAAAAACCAATTTGACTTCCATTAAGGAGTATAGAAAACCAGCTCCTTTCTAGATTGGACATCACTAGCGAAATAAATCTCTCATGAAAACCAAATTTGCTTAGAACCCGTTGTAGAAAGCTCCATGAGACCGATCAAATGCTTTGATCATGTCGACTTTAATGAGTAGGTTACCCGCTCTCGAAGAATGATCCAGAAATTGAAGCATATCTCGAGTAGTTAAGATATTTCAACAATGTCGCACCCCTCAACAAATGCTGATTGTTCTTCCGAAATCAGCCCGAAAAGAAGAGGTTTCAATCTTTGTGTAAGCAGCTTCGTGAACACCTTGTTGATAAAATTACACATACTAATCGGCCTGAAATCCACAAAGGAAGTAGCCGTAGCTTTTTTAGGGATCAAGGTCATGATAGTGCTCTCAATTGTGAGCGGCATAGGAGTTCCTGCGAAAAAATCCGAAGGGTCTAAACTGAATATTCCAACACTTTTGTTAGAATTCACCCCCGAAACCATCAACACCGGGAGAACTCGAAGGGTCTAAACTGAATACTGCATTCTTGATTTCTTCCATGCTAACCATTTGCAACAAAGTTTCATTCTCTTCTTGTGTGACCAGCTTCGGAATATTTTGAAGAATCCCATGACAAGCTTCCTCATGATGCGGAGAGTCCTCCTTTGTAAGTAGATTTTGGAAGAAATACATTGCTTCTTGCTCAATATCTTTCTTTTTCGTAACCCACGTTCCATCAGCTCGCCGAATTTTATGAATTCCAAGGCGCACTTGTTTTTCTTTTAAGGAAGCATGGAAAAATGACGTGTTCAAATCTCCTTCTTTTAACCACTTTATTCGAGCTTTTTGATGCTGGAAATCTTTCTGTTCTTTCAGTTTATTCAGAAGATGAGCTTGTGCTTGATGCAAGGCCATGCGATTAGATTCAGTATTTGATTGATCATACTGCCCTTCCTTAATGCGAACCTCTTCCTCAACTTCTTTTAAATTTTGAAAAACATCACCGAATTCAACTTTATTCCATTCCTTGAGTCTTGCTTTCAACCGTCGTAACTTCAAAGAAAATGCTAGCATACCCTGATGTTCAATCGGTTGATCCCAATTTTCCTTAACAACCTCAAAAAAACTACTTCTTCGAAACCACATTTTCTGGAACCGGAAGATCCTTGGCTTTGTGTCCATATCCACCTTGTATTGCAACAATAATGGTGCATGATCTGAAGTGGATCGATTGAGATGATGAACCAAAGCAACGGGAAATAATGACAACCATTCCTGAGTGAAAAGTAATCTATCCAGCCGTTTTAAAACTCGTCCCGCCTGTCTCGTACCCTTCCATGTATACAGATTTCCAACTAGTGGAAACTCCAGCATATTACAATTGTTGATAAAATCATTAAACTCATCTATTGCCCCCATATCTTGCTGTGAAAACCCTTCATATTCTTCTAGGTTTTGGATGACATTAGTCTCCCCCAACAAACCAAGGTTCTCCATCATTATTCTATCTGAAACTTATTAATTCTAACCACAACTCTCGCCTTTCCTATTTGGTGAATTTTGCAGATACTGCTGACAATAAGAATGAATGTGAAGACCCCAGATTTTCAACTTTCAAATGTAGTACTTGATCCATTCCCCCCTTCACTGATACTACCCAATCTTTGGATGCAAGAACCTATATTTTTCCCGTAACTGATGATATAGCTGAGGAAAAATGCAACTTATTTTTCAACTCATCCAGTTTCAAAACCGACTGCATTGGCTCCTGCAACATAACTAAAGAAACAGCAGGCGATCAACCAGACTTTTTAATCGTCTGATTGACTCCTTTTTCCCTATACCTCTAACATTCCAATTTAAGATGTTACTCATTGAAAAACGTTAACTGGAGAGTCACCTTACAATCTCGTCGATCTACGAGTTTCTGTTCCCTGAACATGAGCAGTCTTTGTCGATCCTCTTGGCCTTCCTCTTTTTTTCTTCTGTTCTTCCCCATCAGAAACTACTAGGCGCGCTTCCTCCATTTCAGAATCATGGTTTCCAATATCTCCGTCATCTCATGTTATATCTTGACGGCTTAGAACATGAAATCCTTCTCCAGAATCCGCATATGCCATTTCAGTTTCAGAATCACTTGCAACTTCATCATCTATTTGGACATCCGCCCTTTTCTGATCCTCCTCTATAACATTAGGCTGGTCCTCTTACAGTTTCGCTAAAATATCAAAACGAGACGATAAGTTTGATGGAGGAATCAAGATCGAATGCTTTTTATATTCAATAAGTTGCCGATCTTTAGTCTCATGATTTGTAGCCATATCATCTTCTTCCCATGTGTTCTTCAAATTTTCTTCCTGCAAACTCTTCTCCAAAATTGCACTCAATTTTTCTTTAGAAAGAAAACGCTTATCTTGTGAACCCATAGGACTTGAATCCCCAATATATGTTGGAATATTCATTTTTTCTGCCGCAGTGAGACCTGATGAAGACTCATCTTTATGTTGATTAGTTTCCTGCCCCGTGACTGATTCTGCTGCTTTTTTTGTCTTCCATGTAGGATTTGTTGAAGGTGGCTTAGTCTGTTGTCCAGACGCTATATTTTTTTCCTTCTGTTTGCTTATTTTGATTCGCAGATTGGGATGTTTTATCCGTCGGGTGGGTTACCTTATTCGCAGGTTGCGACACCGAATTCTCCTTCTCTTTCCCAATCACAGGGCGTTCTTTTTCCTTCACCGGCGCCTCCTTAGCTTTCCCATGTCGAAAATTGTGAGAAGAGTGGCCAATTTTGCGACAGTCCATGCAATATTCAGGCAGGTTTTCATACGTTACATGTTGATAATATGAATACTCATCAGTCCCTAGTAAAATCCGTTTCGGCAATTCATGAAGGAGATCCACTTCTACACAAGCCCTAAAAATTGAGGGGCGAGACATATTCAGCGTTGGGGCGTCAATCTTTAGTGGTTGACCTATGATGCTTGACAACTTCCGGAGATATTCTTCATTAAACCTGTGAACCAGTAATCCTTCAAAAGACACCGATACCGGAGTGATTGATGATTCTTGCTCAGTCTTAAACCTCGGAGTCCATTTAAGTACCCTCATGATGTGATGATCAAAGGACCGGAGTCCTTTTATCCAACACCTCTGGAAATCCTCTTCCAAATCAAAATAGATCAAGATGTGTCTATGATCTATCATCCTAAGCGAGAAACTAGCTTTGTAGCCAATCGTGTTAAACTTATTCCACAAATACTCCATCTTCGGTCTTCCCTTCGAAAATTTCCCGATTAAGCAGAACTTAAACGGAGCTGCAAGCATCTCATCCTCCTCTTTCAAAAGCAGGAAGGCCGGTTTGCCCTTTACCATTGTCAGATTAGACTTTATGAATGTTTCGGGAGTTGGTTTTTCAACTGGTTGAATGATACTTTGGGGATTTGGCTTAGAGACGTTGAGAATTTGTGCAAAGGAGTGTTGTTTTTTCCGGCCATTGTCCGGCGGCTTTGGAGCCGCCATCATTGTGTTCGGACAAAACTAGGGTTTTCTTAGAGAGTGATGTGCTTATAATTTATCTATTTTTAATATCCCTTTATGCGAGATTTTGCCAATGTTTTGAGTACAAATATGCTATTTATATGATTTCATTTTTGATTGTAGGACTTGTACTCAAATGGAAGAATTGTTGAGATTTTGGACTAAATTGAAAAGAAAGAGCAACTAAAAAGGGCCTAAGTGAAGATTGTAAGAACTAATGACGATGGAATCAAAAGACTTGAAGATTTAGAGGACTGAATTGTAATTTTCATTTTTTTTTTATGGTTTAGCCGAGCTTAAGGTGGTGCGGCTGTTGGGGTTGAATATGGTAAGAATTTTAATCCCAATATTATTTGGGGAAACAAGTTTTCTTCCTCTCCAAGAAGTAGGGTTTGACGGAAGCCTATAAAAGGAGGATTTGGGTTTTATTTTTTCACCGAACTTGACCGAACTTTAACAAAACCCACACACAAAAACCCACTGAACCGGCGGCAGCCTCCTCTTCTTCATCACCTTTTTTGCACCCTTTTCCTTTCAGCCCTGCACATCCCATCATCATCACCTTAATCATCATCATCAACCCATCACCGCCGCTCGCGCAGCTCCAGCACCCCATCACCTCTCTTCATCATCATCAGCCCCTCTTGCACTAAAATCTTCATCCATTACACCCCCACCGTATGCCAAAACCCATCGCCTCACCACCACCTTGAGCCTACGCCCAAAACCCTACGCCTCATCACTAAATAAGCTCCTCCCAGCCCCAAAATTCCACGCAAACCTTCCCCACCCACCAAAACCAAAACCTACGCCCAAAACTTTAACCACCAAACTCACGCCTCCATCACCATCGACGCCTCAACATCGTTACTCCATGCACCATCATCGCCAAGAGGAAGGAGAAACATCGAATCAATTATTCCAGGCGCAACTTTTGCGACTTCTTTATCATGGTTTCATTGTTTTATTTATTTTTGAGATGATGTGTAGCTAAACTATTTAATCTAAAGTTTTGGATGTAGCCGCCGGATTTATTTGGTTTATTTGATTCATGATACTTTGATTTTTCCATTGATCAATATTTAATATTCTTGCTTTTATTCCATGTTTGTAACTGACCACTACTTGCATGTTTAAAGATATTAATTGATGGAACGACAGTTAAAAATTAATATTAGTTCATGGGAATATTGTACTTAGGTAGTGAACCACGACAGTATGAACACAACCTTTGCAACGTTAGATTCTTAAGTACTTAATGTGCTTTTCTTAATCCTATAGTCACGAGAGTAGTCATAGGATTAATCTAAGTAAGAGAATTATAACACGAGAATGTATAGTTCTTAATTAGGTGAATCGTTGTGAAATTAATGGAAGTTAAAAGTCAGATATTTATGAATTGAATCAAACCAAATATTCGGTAGGTGAACCCAATGTCCTAGGTTTTCCCAACTTGATTGTTTCAACCTTTGAAAGTAATTGCAATTTTAGATTTTTAGGTTTAGTTTTATTTAATCCAAAAATTTGAAATCATCATTTATCTAGATAATAATAGGAGTAATTTATACCTGATAATTAGTATTCCTTCTCTGTGGGTACGATCCTATTTTTCGTTATACTAGTGTTAAGTAGGTGAATTTATTTGACTAGTTGTGACAACAGCTTGTCAGAGAGAGGCGAGAGAGAAAAAAAATTTTAGAGAGAGAAAGCTTAGAAAAAATTGATAAAAGGATCAGCGGTTTCAAATGACAACTAATATAACCAACCCAAAAATCAAACTAATATTTGTTTGGTTCGTTCAATTTATGCATTTTTTAAATAAATCACGGAATATCCCTAGTTCTATGCAACGTTCAAGATTCGGAAACTTCAAGTAACACCTTGAAGAATCCGCGAGACCGCGACCTTGAAATTAATTTGAGTGCGGCAACAAAATCACACTGTAGAAATACAGTCAAAAGCTAAGAGTAAGGCAACAATTGTGGCGGCTGGAATCTCGAAGTTTTCCCAAAGTTTACGGTCCATTGTTAAAGCTTGGAGGATTTCCATACTTGTTTGGATAACATATGGAACACACAAGCAATCTGATCAAGCTTTTGATATCTTCTACATTTGTTACTATACGAAATTGCCGCAATTTCCTTACAGATCCATTCTGTTCCATTATTATTACAGATTTTTTTTGTTTGTGTTTGCTTGAAGTGATGATGATCGTTATTTGATGAAAAATCAGTCAACTGGATGTCATTATCTTTTCTTTGGCCTCAAATGAAGTTAATAGAACATTAATAGTGAAGTTCCTAGCTTCAACACTATTATTCTTCAGTTTCTTCAATAAAGGGAAATCTGGAGGACGTAAATACATTACAAAGTTCAAGCTTTCATGAAATGAGAGATGATGCAGCAAGAGGAAAGAGCACCTTCTCATATTATGCTTTGTTTACAGAATCATCATCCACTACATTTTCAACAGTTTTATACTTGTACAACGAGGCACATACGAGGAAATAACAAAAGTTGACGCCTCCTAGGATAGTGATTACCCAGAAAACGTTGTCTAATCTCCCCTTGTTTATATTGTCCGGCAACCAATCAGTTGACCTGCGAATGGCGTCAATCAAAGCATTGCCCATGTAAAACGCAATGCCAATGGACAGGGAAACCACCGCAGTGGAAGTACTTTTTAGGTACATTGGAAATTCTTGGTAATAAAATGCAATGTGTCCAGGGAAATGGAATGCTTCTCCCATTCCAGCAAGAGCTAACGATGGAACTAACCAAAATATTGACATTGGCACCACAGCATTAACTTGATCCTGAAGATTATGTGATCGTGCGATTTTCAGCCGCCTCACCTCCACCAAGGCTAAAGCTGCCATGCTAAGAACATCAACCAAATGGCCGATTCCTATACGCTGAAGAGGAGTCATGGGGCGGGGAGCGAATTTGCTCCACACCGGCATTAAGACTCGATCAGTGAAGCAAACTGTAATACAAGTGGAAATGGATAAGAAGACGGCAACTGATGCCGCTGGGATTTGGAAATTGTGTCCAAGATGGCGGTCCATGGTTAGGGCTTGAAGGATTCCCATACTCATTTGGATGGCTAATGGAACGGACACAAGCAATGCACTTGTCCACAGTGGTAGCAATTTGATTAGGTTTTTGAAATCTTCTACTTCTGTAACTGCACAAAACTTCCATGATTTTCTTACGGATCCAGTGATCTCATGATTCGCCACATCTCCTTGGGTACTTTTAATTGCTGCACGGTTCAAGACCCTGCGATTTTTCACAATCATGGTTCATACATAACCATAGAAGCCTGTATGATAATAAATGAAGTGATAAAATATTAATTCCTTTGTCCCAAAATTGTTGTCCAGTCATTTTCATTTTAGTACAACTTGAACTTAAATGAAAATTCAAACTGGATAATAATTTTGAGACAGAGGGAATACTTACCTGAAAAATTTTGTAGGCAAAGTTGGAGTCTTAGTTTCAATGTCTTGGCAATAATCCTCTGGATTTTTGGAAAGCTTAACTCCCCTGTTTCGAATAGCTGCAATGACAACGCGAGCCAAGCGAGCAAAAGGGCTCCCTTGCGGCTTCAACTGACGATAGAATCTCGTGCCAAGAACAAACAACAACAATCCCAGCGCATTTGCAGCTGTTGAAATACCAAACCCCCATGCCCAACTCACATTGTTCTGAACATAAACAATAGCCGTTGTGCTTATAATAAGGCATGTGTATATCACAAATATATACCAGTTGAAGAAAATTCCTTGATGTTTTGGTTTATCGAATTGGTACGCGCCCATCGGTGCCAGGGTGAATCGATTTCCGGACATCCCTAAAACTGCTAGTGCCAAGCTTAGATAAAGAACACCTAATTGGAGTCTTGTAGGATCTGTACAAAGATTATTTGACCCAGTACTTTGGCAAGGCGGTGGTCTTAATTTGCTAAATGCTGCTGTCAGTGTTATTAGCAGCATCCCCTGCATCATGAAACAGAGTTTTTCATTCCCTGCTGATGGACTCAATATTTGGACAAAGATCTAAAAAAAAAAAAAACCATAATTCCAGCTAACATTATAATGTACTGAAACCATTACGATGTCGAGAAACTAGAACAAAATTGAAAGGCAGCTTACCAGTGATGAGATGAGAGAAGAAAACCAGATGACAGAATAGCAACCAAGAAAAGAGTCGGCTAAAATGGCTGCTCCAATTGGTAATATGGAAACGAGGCCGTTGACCATATTGAATATCTTTGCAGCACTGATGCTCTTGATGTTGAACTCTTCAATCAGGTACACTTCTAGGTTGCTGAGCAGTCCACCAAACGCAAGTGATATTCCAGCCATTGTTGCTGTATGCCACCACATGAAACATCGATCTCAAAGTTTAGTGTGTGTGTGTGTGGAAAATGATCTTGTTGACATTAAGAAAAAGTAAAAGGGAGAGACCTAAAATGAAAGGAATGGTGATCCAACCGCCTTTTTTCGTGACATTGAGTGAAGTACTAGCCAGATCTTCAGGATTAACTGAGCTCATATTCCTGGTTTATTGAAAGGACAAATTTAGATTCAAGATTTTTGAGTCCTTGTAAAAGGAACTGATCAGCTAAATGTTTTGACTCTTTTCTTCTGAGAGGACAATATTGTAGCTTGTGGCACATAAATAACTTTGGTTGGGTTACTTAATTGGTTTTCAAAAACATTGAACATTATCATCACCATGTGTAATAAATGTTTTGTTTTTTTTAAAGCTTTGATTGGGACTGTGGTTGACTTCGGATAATGACAGATCTGAACTGAACTTATGTAAAATTTCGTCTTTGAACTTTGAAGAGTCAAAGAAAAAGTAAGTACAGACAAATAAGTTGGTTATCGAATACATATCAAAATATTTAAGGGCAACAGCGTCAGAGAAGTGCAAACTAAAAATATCGAAAACTTTTACCCGATTACAAAATTTATTGACTACAATTGATGAGTGTTATTTTCGATTTGAAATGTCTAAGATGGATAATTAGTCTCAATGAATGACCTAATCAGCCAACTCTTTAGTCAAAGAAATTAGTAGAAAATGTGGGAGGAAGAAAGCATTGCCTCTCTGTACATCCCTTAAATAATTTACAAAGATTCCTTCCTAGTTATCCTGTGTTTTCTCCGGAATCCACCTATAAAGAATACTACAATGTGACCATTAATCATATAAGAATTTTGGCTTGGTCCCGTTCAACTTGCCTGGATGGCTGCATTGGCTAGAGAACAAATGATGATAGTAGGAACACAAGATTCGAAATGTAATAAGTAACATGTTGAAGATATTACATTCTAAGATGGTGCAGCAAAACCACCTCTGGCTTTTCATTCTCATTCTTTATTTACAACAATAGCATCATCTACTTCCTCTTCTTCAATAGGTCTATACTTGTACATTGAAGCACATACAAGAAAATAACAGAAGTTGAAGCCTCCGATAACAGTGATTACCCAGAAAACGTTGTCTAATCTCCCCTTGTTTATATTGTTCGGTAACCAATCAGTTGATCGCTCAATAACGCCGATCAAGGCATTCCCCAAGTAAAAAGCGATGCCAATTGCCAAGGAAATTACTGCAGTCGAAGTATTTTTCAAATGCTTGGGGAATTCTTGGTGATAAAATTCAAGGTGTCCGGGGAAATGAAATGCTTCTCCAATACCAGCAAATGCCAATGCAGGCACTAGCCAGAACATGGACAATGGCACCACGGCGTTATCTTGGTCTTGAAGATTATGCATTCGCGCGATTTTCAGCCTCTTCACTTCCACCACGGCCGAAGATATCATGCTAAGGATATCAACCAAATGGCCGATCCCCACACGCTGGAGAGGCGTGATGGGCCGGGGACCATACTTATTCCACATCGGTATAAAGATTCGATCTACCAAAGGAATAGTGATACAAGTGGCTATGAATAAGAAAACGCTTATTGAAGCGGCTGGAACCTTGAAATTGTGTCCAATATAAGGATCCATTGTTAAAGCCTGGAGGATTCCCAAGCTCATTTGGATGGCCAGTGGAACGGACACGAACAATGCACTTGTCCATAGCGGTAGCAATCTGATTAGGCCTTTGAAATCTTCCACTTCTCTAACTGTACAAATTCGCCACGATTTTGTTATGTATCCGTTCAGCCCTGCATCTCCTTCGGTACCTTTAAGCGCGGCGCGATTCAATATCCTACATTTTTTCATAAGTACTCCAGTTTGTTGAGCAAACACAGCTATAAAACTAGAACTAGTATTGCGAAACGGAGCAGATTATCTTACCTGAAAAATTTTGTAGGCAGAGTAGGCGCCTTACTTTCTTGGTCTTGGAAATAATCCGCTGGATTTTGTGAGAGTTTAATGCCCCGGTTTCGAATAGCTTTGATGACAACACGAGCCAAGCCAGCAAAAGGGCTTCCTTGTGGCTTCAACTGACGATAGAAACGGTTGCCAACAATGAACAGCAACAGGGCTAATGCATTTGCAGCCGTGGAAATCCCAAATCCCCAAGCCCAACTCACGTTGTTTTGAAGATAAACAATAACCGTGGAGCTCAAAATAATGCAAACGTACATAACAAATATGTACCAGTTGAAGAAACTCCCTTGTTGCTTTGGTTTGTCCAATTGGTATGCCCCCATCGGCGCAAGCGTGAAGCGATTACCGCCCAACCCGAAAACTGTTAGTGCCAGACTTAGATACAGAACAGTTAGCTGCACTTTATTTGGTTCTGTGCAAATATTCGACCCGATTTCGCAAGGCGGTGGTCTCAGTTTGCTGAAAGCTGCTGTCATGGTTAACAGCAGCATCCCCTGATTTTGATGAAAATGAGTATATTAAAGATTTATATGTCGGTGATCAGAAAAACAGAACAGATAAATTGTGGCTCACCAGTGATGAGATGAGAGTAGAAATCCATATCACAGTGTAGCAGTAGAAAAATGAGTCAGCTAAAATGGCTGCTCCAACTGGTATTATAGAAACGAATCCGCAGACCAAGTTGGTGATTTGAGCTGCGCTGATCCTCTTGATGTTGAACACTTCAATTAGATACACTTCCAGATTCGAAAACAATCCTCCGAACGCGAGCGATAACCCGACCATTGTAGCTGTCACACATAAAATTTTATATAATTCAAATTACAGTGGAGTTGTGACAATCAAGAAAAAACAAGAAGTTAAGATGTATGATCAGACCTAAAATGAAAGGAATGGTGATCCATCCGCCTTTCTTCTCGGAAGTCGGTTGAGCTGCGGGATCTTCAGGATTAATGGCTGGGCTCATTTTTGGAGTAGTGATCTAGTAATGGTTGGCTGATTTGCTGCTCCAATGTTTAAAGGCTTTTAAAGAAATTAGTGAGCTGTTATGTACTCTCTTCAGATGATGAGAAGTCAATGAGTGGGACATAATGTAAATTGAATCTTTTGGTAGCAGATGATGTTCAACAAAACAAAAAAATATCATTGATGGCTTTGCAATTTTAGCTTTGATTTGAGAGTGATTGGGTAGTTGGCATGGATTAATTAAGTGTGATATTCCCTTTGGCAGTAGAAAAACAATGTTGCGACCCTAGGCGAGCCGCCGTGGTAATATATATAGAGTGATAATTGTTGCAGGAAAAATTTGGAAGGAAAATATACATAAACTGAATCATAATTGTCCACATCCATTTAAGGGTTAGGGAAAGTTAAAATTTCTTATAAATTTTTCATGCATGTACCACTGCTCATATATATACTCTTTTGTTTTCAATAACAGTCATGTTTGTCAAAATAAATTAGTGTAACCAATCTAGCTTCTTCTCTTTTTGTTGGAGTATAGAACAGTTTAGAACAGGAATCAAGAGGATCAAATCAAACCTCTTTTTTCTGTAAATTGTTTTTTTTTTCAATAATCAGTTCAATTTATCTGTAAATTGAATAGGTTAATTTTGTTGTTAATCAACTGGAATCTGTATGGGCCTTCTAAAGTCGTTGTCAAGGTTAATAGAAAAAAAATTTCGAGGAAGAAAATAGTACCTCTGTCCCGTTAAAAAAAATAAAAAGATTCCATCTAACCATTATTATTATTACAATTAGTTTTGGAAGGGTGTGTGAAGAAATAGTATAAAAAATTTTACCCATTGTTTTCGAAGAAAAGAAATCACAACGTGATCATTATTATTTTGCCTTGGTTCTCTTCAACTTGCTTCCTGGATGGCTGCATCACAAGAACGTCAAGTTTTAGACTTAGGACCAAATTTCCATTCGGCAGTGTTTTTTTTTTTTTAAGCGTTGGCAAAATTATTGGAAAGGAAGTTCCATCAATGCTTTTGGCCCCAAAAATTGATCAATTTGACTCTGAATTCGCTAAGATAAAGTTCAAGCCACGAAAGTTGAATTCTTTTTTTTGGATGGATATGATTGATTAACCTTCGGCATTCCTTAGCCCCGATGAGTAAATGCGCAAGTGTCCGTAACTTTTTAATTACCAAACTGTTCACTAAGTGACGGTAGAATGTTAACTATACATGTACAAACATGGCTAAAACAATAAGATCTCCCTACAAACGTGCAATTTCTTCCAAATTTTCTTCCTTAACACATGGTTCTAATCCTGCAGATAAACTGAACTTGCGTCATTTGTGTACTTCTGAGGGAGTTCGTGTCGCATGGTTCATTAAGGAAATGAGTAACCCGTAAAAGAAGGACCCGTACTAATCGATTTAAATAGTTTTTATACCGCCAAGTATTTGTCGTTCGAAACACTACTTGATTTATTTAAAATCAAGTCAAATAATTCACTTTCGAAGACAAAAATTCCCAACTATGAGTATTTTAAATAGTTGAGCAGCTTAAAAAAAGTGTTGGCGTGCCAACAGCATCATTTAAAACTTGTGTTACTATTATCAAAAGAAATTGCGTTACGCTTTTACATAGTTTTATTATTATACGTATCAGCCTCATCCTTCAAATCTTCATACAATAATAGAGTCCTAAGATAAACAAAATTCGAAGCTATAATCACAATAATTGATTTAATTCGTTTAACTAAATTCTAATAAACATTACCATCAAGCTACCTTCCCTTTTGTTTTACAAATCACTTTGGTCAGCATCATTTAAAATCCTCATCACCACTGATCTCCTCTTCTTCAACCTTTCGATATTCATATAAGTAAGAACAAACAAGAAAATAACCAAAATTAATGCCTCCAATAATGCCAACAAGCCAGAAGACATTATCTAATCTCCCTTTGTTAATGTTATCAGGCATCCAATTTGTTCCCTTTTTCACGTACTCAATCAGAGCTGTCCCAATGTAAAAAGCAAGCCCAATGGCCAAGCCAACAATCCCATTAGATGTGCTCTTCAATCCTGCAGGGAATTCCTGGTAATTGAATGCAAAATTCCCAGGTATATGAAATCCTTCTCCGATACCCGAAAGTACTAATCCAGGAACTAGCCAAAACACTGACATTGGAACCACTGAATCATTCTTGTTTTCCAAATTGTGCAGTTTCACCACATTCAGCCTTTTGATCTCCACCAGAGCCGAAACGATCATGCAAACGATGTCGACCACATGGCCGATCGCGACCCTTTGGAGGAGCGTCATTGGACGGCGATTTAGCTTCTCCCACATGGGAAGAATGAACCTGTCTAGCAAGAAAATAGTGGAGCAAGTTCCAATGAAGACAAATATGTTAATGCTGGATGGCGGAATTTGGAAATGGCTTCCGAGATGATGGTCCATTGTGAGAGCCTGAAGAAGGGTTGAGCTGTATTGAATGATGAGAGGAACGTTCACAAGTATAGCACTTGACCATAGTGGCAGCAATTTGATTAGGCTTTTGAGATCTTCAACTTCTTTTACCGTACAAAGTCGCCAGGGATTCCTGATTAGTCCCTCTGGCGTCGTCTCTCCTTCCAATTTTAAGGCCGCGCGGTTGAAGAACCTGCATTTGTGGGAAATACGATCTTCTGTCCCACTTATTATGTATCAATCGTGTTTAGTTCAAGGTACGTGAAATATTTACAAACAAAATGATCATTTCAGTTCCAACGGGAGGAGTTTTCAGTTTTATCACCTGAAGAATGTTGAGGGAATGGTAATAATGTCCTGATCAATTCCAGGTTCCTGACAATAATCTTCCATTTTTTCTGAGAGTGACAATTTCCTTTTCCTGATTGCGACAACAACGACACGAACCAATGCAACAAAAGGGCTTCCTCCCTGCGGCTTACTACGGCGATAAAACCGGGTGCCGGAGAGATAAACGGCTAATCCAAGGATGTTAACGGCTCCAGAAATGGCAAAACCCCATGCCCAACCAAACTTTCCACCAACATATCCAATACTAATTGTGCTTATCCCAATGAACAGGTACATTGTGAAAACATACCAGTTGAAAAACCTGGTCTGCTGTTTTCGTGTGTTGAGTTGACTTGCTCCCATTGGCCCAATGTTATAGCGTTTCACTCCCACTCCAAAAGCTACCAGAGCTAAACTTGTGTACAGGATTCCCAATTGAAAACTTGATGGAGTTCCGCATAAGTTAGGATCTGATCCTTTCACACATTTCATTGGCTTCAACTTAGAGAAAGATGCTATTATCACTAGAAACAGAGTGCCCTGAAATTTAAGAACAACAAAAAATTTCTTAGGCCCGGGTTTTAGTTTCTGAGATATTGAAAATGTAAAAAAGGTGAATATCGGAACCAGAATCAAAATCAGGATCAAAATCCAAATGGGCTCTTAATTTTTACCAAATTACTATAATAAGAGCAAAATTGATTATTACCAGGGACAGGATGATTGAAGAAATCCAGATTACGGAGTAACATCCCAAAAAGGAGTCGGCAATAATCGCTCCAAGAAGAGGGAATGTTTGGATGCATCCATTAACGACGGTAAAGATTTGAGCCGCATTGATTTTCTTGATGTTGAAATCTTGAATCAGATAGACCATAAGGTTGAAAACCATGCCTCCATAAGCAAATGTAACGCCCATATTCGCAGCTGAAATAAGAAGGGTACAACAAACAATTGTTAGTTTAGATTATTAAGCATAATTAAGTACATATGAATCATTTGAAGCAGTTCATGCATTTGTATATACCTATGATGAAAGGAAAGGTGACCCAACCGCCTTTTTTCGCCATGGAAGAACTTGAGTTGAGCTCAACTAGATTGACAGAATTCGTTTTTACTCAGCTGGGAAGAGGAAAAATTTGTTTTTGGTTATAATGTGTTCGGTGGATTTAAGGAAAAATGTTTGGTAGTACATAATACTTATCCCCATTAAAATACTATATATAGAATTGAGTGCGGTTTCTTGTGATCCCAATTGACCATGTGTGAATGGTCAAGATTTGTAATGATAATTATGATAATCTTTGTTCCTAAAATGGTATTTATTTAATCAAGTTGATCACTTAGATCAGTCCAACTGAATGTTTTGTCCACCACATGATATTGCTGGAGAGGAGGAATTTAAAACAAAAGAAAAACAACCTTTTGAATTTGTTGCCGATATGTTGAAAATTGTTGGAAATTGTTTCCAAGAGTAATCATCAGCGAGCTCAATAATTTTGAAAAGATTTATCTCTACTTTTGATCTCAAGGTTAAAATTATTTGTTTGTTCTTTTTTAGCTAATCAAGCTTTTTGCCGTGAAATGTGGTACGTTATTTGATAATGAGCAATGATAGAGATAGTGAAAAAAATAGTGAAAATATATAGTGACTGATGTGTCAATAGTAATTAAGGGTAAAAGGTTAATTTTAGGGGGAAAGAAAAAATTTCAACGGCAAAGTGGTAACAAAATAAGGGATACACATCAGTCACTTTATTTTCTCACTATATTATTTCACTGAGAGTATCATTTCACATTTGATAATTGATAAATGTGTTGCCAATTCCTGGTCGTTTTTCCCAAATTAGCGTAGTTGGAAACTTATCATTATTTGTTATCTCTAACACTCTTGGTGACAATTTTCATGTGAACAATCAAAGATACTCTCAGAATATGGCCAATTCAACACTGTAAAGTGAACCCAACGCAAACCAGACGTCTCCGTCTCATATATGTAGTTCTTGTTAGAACAAACTGGAACTGATTAATGTAGGCAAAACAAAATTAACAATCTTGTTTCCATTTTCCAAATTATTCTTTCCTTCTTCCTTGAAGAAGAAGAGACGTCAATTTATTGATCATGGTTTGTTGTAAATTTTTTACTTTTTTTTAAAAAAAAATAATTTCCAGATAGAAAAGTAAACCTAATTTTAGACGGACGGAGTACTACTTCTAAACAAACACACAGTCACACACACTTGTCATGCCTACGCCATGACCCAAAATGAGGGGCCATATTCTGCTTGGCCCATTTAATTGAGTACATGCCCAATAAACAAGTAAGGGCCTGGGTGTTGATTCGGTTTTTATCATTCACTTTTCTCTCCCAATTAACAGATAGTCATCAATCTCAATGATTCCACTACGGATATTCTGTACCGCATTTTTTTTTTGTTTTTTGGTTACAAAGAACCTCACTAGGGGGTCTCTAAGGCTTGTTCTATTACATTAATACAACATTTTTCATAATTTTAGCATATCGTTACATAGAGCATTTTTATGAGACGTTATTCAAAAAGTGATTAAAAAGAAAGAAAAAAAACATTCCAGTTGATTGTTCGTGTGTTGAGTTCGGAATTGGTCCGATCACTTATTATGTTGTTATATATAACCATAAGAAATGTAAAGTGGGTCTGATAATGTGAAAAAGTGACACAACACAAGATTTGATGCTGCTGGAATTTTAGTACAAACACTAAAAATTTTTTAGGTTTTGAATGGTGGTGGAGAGACTTTTGGAGAGGTTTCATTTCAGTTGATGGGACGGTCCGCGGTTAGAGAGTTTGAACTGGCTAAGGTTTCTTGTGGATCCTGAATTTGGTGCGCCACTACTTCAACATTTTATTGGATTACCAGAATTTGGACAGGGTCCAGTTTATTTAGGAATCTAGTCTATACATACCTCATGTACATTTTGGGCCACTGTTTGTCTACTCATTTTCAACCCAATAGTAATTACAGATTCCTGATATTTCAATCTGAGAGAATAAAGTTTGCTGTAGCTGGGTTATTTTCCATCCAAGTAAATAGTGTTAAAAAAAAAAAAAAGGATAGCGCCTTTAAATCCGAGCAACAGACTCACACGTTGAATCTTTTCTAGTTTTTGTTCCATACAAATGCATCAAATTATGGTTTTAGGGGCAAAAGAAAAAAAGAAAACGGCTAATATCCTCCAAAATGTAGGCCATAAATGATAATGAAGATGTGACCTAATAGATTTGGATATTTTCTTGTATTAATTCTTTTTGTTTTAATACTAAAAGCAAAACAGTGAATGACTCCTAAAGTTCTAATTGATGAATTTGCTTGTGAAATGGCCTGAAGGTCTTAATGATGAACCCTACTATATATCCCGCTCATCAAAAGAGTGATGATGGTCAACAGGCATCAATGCATTATTATAGTTCTTATAGGCCAAAATCTTTTGGTTGTGGTGTAGTGTTGGGGCTAGACTACTTCTATTGTCTTTCTCTAACCTAAGTACTGTTATAATTTGTAATAGTATGAATCACCCAAAAAAAAAAAAGGAATTTCAAAAAATAAAAGTACTGTGATAATTGTGACACTCGCAAGGCTAGTTGGGTGAATCTTCTAAGTCTGGGTGAATCTTTGGGTGTAATTTTTTGACACAGGGCACTAAAAAATAATTGTTCTTTAACGATTATTCAATTCGAACTCGTAACAATAATAGTTTCTCAATTTAAACTCCTAATCATCCTTCCCAAGTCCGAAACTTCCCGAGTTACACCCATTGACACTCAAAATTACTCATCAAGTTGATCTATAACTAACTTTGACAGACTTTCACATCACTATGATGTATATGTACTTAGGTATTCTGATGAAATATTAGTTATCTTCCAGGGAAGGGGGTCCGAAATAGGTATTAATTAATTTGGAGCGGATATGGATTTAATCGTGGGTGTTTAAAAAGAGAATTTGAATGCGACATGATAACCTACTCTTGATGTGAGAGATCGATATAAGAGACACATTATTAGATATTGAAAATTTCAAGCCGGAGATAAATAATAATGTAAATATAAGTAAAATTAATGAACTCAAAACTTTATTTACTCGGATGTTTTGGTTAAACTCCAATATGGGCTCTCTTCTACTCGTGAAGTCATGATAAAGGGAAGTGGTTAAACCCAATTTGACCCTCAATTTCTTTGACTAGCTTAAGGCATGAAATGGCAGCGTTATCATTTGTCAACACTTGGTTTATGCAACTTCTTAATTCTTTTGAAAAAGAATCAATTACAGTTGTTGATGTTTCTTCTTCAAGAACGCTATACGCGCTTGAATAAGACGGAGGGGAAAAAAAATACTAAAGCTTGACAAACTCATTCAGAAATAATTATTTCTTAAAACAAACAAAAAAAAAAACAAAAGAATGAAACTAAGTAATTAATCTAGCTTATCTTGATTGATCTTCCTCGAAATTAACAACTATTATGGGTTAATCATTGTCGAGATAGAACAGTAACTTTGTCAAACCCTAACCTTCCCAATGTCTTCGTTATCTCCCTATAAAAGACGACCTAACAATCGAACTAAGATGCATCTCTCATATCTATTATTCCCCAACCCTTTCTTCCAGCACATCACTATAACATAAAAAATTTCAGAAATGGCTTTGTTTTTGGGGCTGATGAAGAACCACGACAACAAGAAGCAGATTAGCTGCTTTTCACTTGCTGCAGTTCTATTGATGTTCATCATCTTTGGCGCAGCGAAAACGCAAGCACAAGATCAAAATTCTTGTTGCATCGGTTGCAATGCTGATTGGTATAGCTGTAAGTTCAATTTACAAGTGTGTGAGCAGTCTCTAGGCTCTGGTTACTGCCCCGACGACGAATGCGACATTGACAGAGAATCGTGTTTTAGTCAATGCGGCGACGATCCAGCTAACTTCTACTGTAACGCGCTTGACGGAAAACAATGTTGCGACAGCTGCTACTATGCTTATTGTGACAGTTCTGGTCAATGCGACGATGATAAAGCCACTTGTGACGGTATTTGCAATTTTGCTATCGATGCCAATTGTGGTTGATCCATCCATCCATCCCTCCCACCGTACTCTCCTGTCTCAAAGTGATCGTTAGTAATTAGATTTTCATCTTTAGTATATTTTAGTGTTTTTTATGTCACAAAAAAAAAATTTATATCAAAGTGCTTAAATTGAAAATCTAAATAATGAGATAATTTTAAGACAAATAGAGTACAAGTTTGCAAGCAACAGGCATGGTTCTTTTGTATAATTATCTTTCTCCCAACTTTGGAGTGATTAATAATTATTGTGAATAAACACAGCATTTATATGATGCAATGATTATGCTTTGGCTGTACATATTCGGTTTTTGCTTTTTTAATAATATTTATATTATTCTGTATAGTGCGCGCTATTTTCTTTCTTGTAATTTTGCAAAAGAAAACTTTTTGTGCCACAATTTTTTTTGAAATTAATCATATACTTTTGCCATCTCTACGCTAAATAAATCTTCATTGATTGGTTAAATCGTAACTCGCGTGGTGTCCATTGAAATAAATCTAAACGACTCAGGATAGGGAACCGGCAAATTATTCAGTATACCCGGGGGCACCGTGCCCCCCTCCTATTTTTTGCATTTTTAGTCCTTATTGTACTTTTTTCTCAATCTTTCTATATTTTACAAGTTTAGTCCTTGTGACTTTTTTCTCTCTCTTTTAAAAAATATCACCAATCTTTCAATGACCATATCTCATAATCCGTAAAGAATTAGAGAACGTGTTATGCATGAAAATTATAGTACTCGTCGAGATCTATTCAACAAGATCCATTTCGAATATTTTTGTTGAGTTTAAAAATGATCAAATTTCTTTCGGCAGAATAAGTTGGATATCCAGTAAGTTGGATAACCAGTGTGCACGAGTTGGATAACCAGTGTGCACGAGTTGGATAACCAGTATGAACACAGTGGATAACCAGTTCAAACAACTTGGATAACTATGTAAATCCATTGGATAACCAGCATTAGCGCATTGGATAATCCAATACAAACCAATGATTGGATAACCAATACAAACGAGTTGGATAACCAACTTAGTTTATTATTTTTTAAAAAAATAAAAAATAAACAGGTTGGATAAATAATATTAATTAGTTGGATAAACAGTATTAACATAAATAATCAAGATGGATAACCAACTTATTTTACATTCATATTGTTGTGTTCCTTGTATCTTTTGATTCGTAAAGAATTATAACACGAATTATATATGAAATTTATAGTGCTCGACGAGATCTATCCGATAAGATCCATGTTGAATATTTTTTTTTGAACTTTAAATGCATTTAAATTTTACGGGCAAAAATGAAGAAATGCGTTTTTCATTTTTCTTTGAAAAATGGTTATCCAATCGGTTTGGAGTGATTATCCATTATGTTCGTACTTGTTATCCAATCATATGTTTGACATTCACTCTTCAAAAAAAAAAAGATGATGGATAACCACCTCTATGCTATTCTGCCCGTCAGAAATTAAGTCATTTTTAAGCCCGAAAAAATGTTCACTGTGGATTTCGTTGGATAGATCTCGACGAGTACTATCAATTTCATATATAATTGGTTCACAAATTCTTCACGGATTGGGAGATATGCTCGTTGAAAGATTAGAGTTGGATATGCATACAAACCAAATGGATGGATATCCAGTATAAACAAGTTGGATAACCAGTATGAACAGATTGGATATCCAGTTTAAAAAGATAGATAACCAACTTATTTTACATTCATATTATTCTTTTCCTTGTATCTAATGATTCGTAAAGAATTATAACACGAATTATATATAAAATTTATAGTACTCGACGAGATCTATCCGATAAGATCCATGTTGAATATTTTTTTTGAACTTTAAATGCATTTAAATTTTACGGGCAGAAAATGAAGAAATGCGTTTTTCGTTTTTCTTTGAAAAATGGTTATCCAACCGTTTTGGAGTGATTATCCATTATGTTCGTACTATTTATCCAATCATATGTTTGACATTCACTCTTCAAAAAAAAGAAGATGGATATCCACCTCTATTCTATTCTGCCCGTCAGAATTAAGTCATTTTTAAGCCCGAAGAAATATTCACTGTGGATTTCGTTGGGTAGATCTCGACGAGTACTATAAATTTCATATATAATTTGTTCACAAATTCTTCACGGATTGGGAGATATGCTCGTTGAAAGATTAGAGTTGGATATGCATACAAACCAAATGGATGGATATCCAGTACAAATAAGTTGGATAACCAACATGAACACAGTGGATAACCAGTTTAAGAAGATGGATAACCAACTTATTTTACATGCATATCGTTGTGTTCCTTGTATCTTTTGATCCGTAAAGAATTATAACACGAATTATATATGAAATTTATAGTGCTCGACGAAATCTATCCGATAAGATCAATGTTGATTTTTTTTTTGAACTTTAAATGCATTTAAATTTTACGGGCAGAAATTAAAGAAATGTGTTTTTCGTTTTTCTTTGAAAAATGGTTATCCGTTGTGTTCATGCTGATTATCCAACCGGTTTGGAGTGATTATCCATTCTGTTCGTACTTGTTATCCAATCATATATTTGACATTCACTCTTCAAAAAAAAAAAAGATGGATAACCACCTCTATTCTGCCCGTCAGAATTAAGTCATTTTTAAGCCCGAAAAAATGTTCACTGTGGATTTCGTTGGATAGATCTCGACGAGTACTATAAATTTTATATATAATTCGTTCACAAATTCTTCACGGATTGGGAGATATGCTCGTTGAAAGATTAGAGCTGGATATGCATACTAACCAAATGGATGGATATCCAGTACAAACAAGTTAGATAATCAGCATGAACACAGTGGATAACCAGTACAAATAACTTGGATAAGCATGTAAATCCATTGGATAACCAGTATTAGCGTATTGGATAATCAATATGAACAAAATGGATAACTAACTTATTTTGAATTAAGAAGTTGGATAACCAAATGGATAAGCAGTAGAAACAAAATGGATAACCAGTTCAAACGGATTGGGTAATCACCATGAATACAATGGATAACCAATTTAGAACAAGTTGGTTATCCATCTTGTAAAACTGGATATCCATTCTTATTCTGTCCATCAGAATTAAGTGATTTTTAAGCCCGAAAAAATATTCACTATGGATTTTGTTGGATAGATTTCGACGAGTACTATAAATTTCATATATAATTTGTTCACAAATTCTTCACGGATTGGGAGATTTGCTCGTTTAAAGATTAGGGATGTTTTTTTTGGAAGAGAGAGAAAAAAAACTCACAGGGACTAAACGTGTAAAATATAGAAAGATTGAGAAAAAAGTACAATAAGGACTACTCGTGCAAAAAATAGGAGGGGGGCACAGTGCCCCCGGGTATACTGGATACAGCTTCTAGGGAAAAGACTAATTAGCACAACCTACTACTTTTTGGGGGGATTTCATGTTATGAAATAAACCAAAAAGGAAGTTTCCGGACCAGTAATTACTCGGTTATATCTCGAATGGCATTCAAATGTTTACCATGAATGTCAATCCGTGTTTCTTCTTTGACACCGAAATGAACACTTACAATATTATACTTCTTCCGTCCCAAAAAAATAATCCAATTTTAAAATGTACAAATTTTTTAATTTAATCAACCTAAACAATGTACAACTCTTTTTATCTTTTAAATTTCCAACAATGACCCTGCTTATAATCTCTATCCCACAAACCCAAAATTTAGGCACCAGAAAAGGAACACCGTAGCCTGCAAACGAGATCCTTTGTTTCAAAATATTTTCCAGAGCAAAATCATACAATAATTAAGATTACTGATCGGATTTGACTTTGATCACGAAACCGAACCCTATGCTGACACGATCTCTGTTGAGGCTTGGTTATCGCAGTTAACGACAGCCGGATCTTTTTTCTTTTGTTTCTCCTTTTGCCGGAAAACACGAAATCACCGACGAGAATTGCTGTCACTGCCGGAAACGTGGAAGGGGGAGATCGGCCGACGAGAAGCAAACAAGATCGTCGTTCTTCAGAAGAAAGAAGTTGGGGTTAGCATCTCCGACGGCCGGCAATGGAGATAAAGTTAGGAGTATCTTCTGATGGAGTATTTTCATCCAAATGACTTAATCATAATGATATTTAAATCATTTCATCCAAATTAATTTTGACTTTCTTAAAACTAGAGTATTTTCTTGGGACAAGATTTTTTATCAAATTGGACTATTTTTGTGGGACGGAGGGGTACTATTTGCCAATACTGAGGAATTTCCGACAAGTTAAGAGAAATATGCTACTCTTTTATGTTTTTTAAAATAAATCTAGTTTGAGTTTTGAGACTTGTATTAATTTCATTATAAATTTGAAAACTCAGTACCAATCCTTTCTGTAAAAGTTGCCTTTCCTCTTTTGATTTTCTTCCCCTTTTTCTTTGTACCGTGGTGAATCCATCAACATCTTTGAGTTGAGCATCATCTTTCTCTCCATCTTTCTTTCTATCAGACCAACGACTTTTTCCGCAGTTTCTTCATCATCAGAAAAGAGAGAGTACAATTTTCGTTATCATGAGAGATGAACCTTTTTACAAGATCAAATAGTTGGAGAGCTACAGCTTGTGAGATCTTCCTATTTGTCTTTTCCATTATCACTCTTCCTGCTTCACCCGCTCCAAAACGAAAGGGGGAAAAATAGATTCAACTACGTATAAAAGAAGCAATGAAACAAAAGGGAATGGGGAGAGTTTGTGGGTTCGATGGGATAATTATTAATATAATAATATTCTTTTTGTCCCAAAATTATTATCGAGTTTGAAGTTTTATTTTTAGTTCAATTTGTACTAAAACTAAAAAGTCAAATAATAATTTTAGGACGACGAAAATAATTGTTTAGTTTTTGAAAAAAGCAATCACAATTAACTTTTTTACTCTAACAACATTATCGATTTGACCTAAGTGATCTATCATAAAAATTTGAAACATTCATAAACTTTTACCTCAATCGTCAAAGTATTAAAAATTTGATGTTGTTAGAAATAAATCTTTTAGCCAAAGACTCCAAATCAAATATTGAGAATAACCCTAATATGAAAGCATATCTGAATCCATTGAAAATGAACAATCTCCTCAGTTTTGGTTTGATCTTCCATATAATTCCTTCAATTGTGAAAAGAATGTGAGTTCTTAAAACTGACAAATAGAAATCAGACAAACAGCATAATGGCCCATAACCAATTATTTTGATAGAATTTTTTTCACCCATTACAAAAAAGAAACCGGATCTTTTGATTTTTTACACAATGTTGGGCTACACCTTTAGCTTAATTATTATTAGCTCAAAGTTAATTTGACTTAATAATTAAACCACTTTATGTGGTCTGATATTAAGAAAGTCTATATAATATACAATCATATATATTTAGTGTAGAAGTTCACATAGAACTCACAGATGTCACTTATTCAAGAATGATTTCCTTCTATTTCGCTTTCGAACCAAGCATGCTTTTCTTGTACACTTATAATGTATAAGTTATCTAGAATCTAAAATATGAATTTCACGATAAACCCCTCCAACTGTCAACCTAAACAATAGTGATGTTGAATAGTTAATGTGTCAGCTGAGGATGGATTAACGTTTAGTTTCAACGAATAAAGATAATTCTTTTGTTGAATAAAGTGACTACATAACAATATATAAAGCATGTATCGTAAGTTAACAATGTAAGAATAAATCGTAAGTGTATACATTTTTACAAGATCATATAGTTGGAGAGCTACAGCGCTTGTGAGATCTTCCGATTTGTTTTTTCCGTTATCTCCTCTTTACATGTTCCTGCTTCACCGCGCCAGAAGGAAAAGGGGAAAATAAAATATAGATTCAGCTATGTATAAAAGAAACAATGGAACAAAAAGGGAATGGGGAGAGTTTCTGGTTCAGTAATCAATGAGATAATTATTCATATATATGGTAACTGATTCATCTTCGAAAAGGCAATCACATTTTTTATTTTTACTCTAAGAACATTACCGGTTCTGGTTTGACCTAAGTGATCTATCATTAAAGAAATTCGAAACATTCGTTAACTTTTACCACAATCATCATCAAAGTATTATAGTTTTCTAACTCTACCACCAACCCGATTAATTTTTGCTTTATTAAAAAATTACGATCTCATATGTTGATATCTCTTCTTTAAGAACCACTTTCTTCTATTTCGCCAACGAACCAAATTCAAAAAGAAAGGATGCTTTTCTTGTACAATTACTTATAATTTAGCTAGAATCTAAAATATAAATTTGCTGATAAACCTCACCAACAGTCAACCGGATAAATGGTGATCGTGAATAGTTAATGTGTCAGCTGAGGATGGATTAACGTTTAGTTCCAACGAATGAAGAGAATTCTTTTGTTGAATAAATTAAGTGACTACATAACAATATAAAGAATACATCGTAAGTGTATACTTCTGTTGGTGGGTTATAATTAAGGGCTAGGTTTCATCGATCATTTTCAGCTGTGATAATTAATCAGTTTGTTGATGTTTCTAATTCACAAATGAGTTTCTTTATTCTGATTACAAACCTATAAGTTAAAATATTACTCTGCAGTTTTAAGGGTGGCTCAAAATTATAAATTAAATAAGTTCCTCAATCATGAACATCTTTGTAAACGCCTAACTTCGGCTAAACCTTTGGGCTTTCTTTATGAGCATATCGATGATACAGGACCATCAACTATCTCTAACTAGTAACTGAACGTGAATGTATTTTTAGTACGAGTAATGCTATTCATCTCACCACATTCATTTCACCATTGCATCTCATCTTATATGTTAATTATTTATTGGATTAAATGTCTGAGTTAATTTAACTATTTTTGTGCTATATTTATAAACTATTTGGATATTTTTATATTAAAAAACTTTAAAATATATAGACCTTAACCCCCACACCTTTTGGGTATTTTTATATTCATATATATATATATATATATATGTGTGTGTACTGTATATGGTTACTATAGTTAGAGATATTTTTTTTTCTTTTCTGGAAAAGTGTTAAGAGATAGTTATTCTTTAGTCTGGTCTCCATTTTGTACGCAGAGTATATATGACAACCTTAATCGGAATATAGGGGCAAAGAGTAGCTAACAATTGAAAGAAAAGAATCAATCATTTGTAATTTGGAGTTTGTGGATTCTTTTTCCCTCAAAATTATTGGTATGGTGTCCATTGTTCATAAAAGACAAAATTACTTAGTTCGACTACCTAACTGTTGAAAGTGAAATGTTAATAGTTTTCAATCTGCTTGTGGAACATTTTTGGGTTTCATTATTGAGTACATTTGTTGAGTTTTGGCTTCAAGAAGGGTGCTTAATTTAAGATGTACATATTACCTGGACATGCAAAAATTAAGTATATAAATAATTAAAAACAAAACCTATGAAATAAACTAATTAGTTAGAGAGAGGTCTTAATCAAAATTAACTACTAAAAGAATATGTTAATGATCATCATATCAGTACAGACAAAAACTTTCTGCGATAATTTAGGGTTAGCCTCGGTGTGACATTAGTTAAACGATGATTATTAACAGATGTCTAACCATCTATGTATCCAAACTGAGTTAACTTATTATTTCTCTTAGTCATCTAATTAGATGTCGCATCGAGTATAATAAAAACGTGTAAGCTGCCTTCATTTCCCTCCTATAATATCGCAAGAATCAAACCACAAAACTCATCCCGTCTTATTAATTCTCCATCCACGTATAATTAATCATTTCCAAGAAAGAAAAAAATGACTTTGATTTTGGGGCTGAAGAAGAAGCAGAGTAACAGGCAGATGATCAACAGCCAGCTTTCAGTACTGCCGGCTATGGTGGTGGTACTAGTGTTCATCATGTCTCAGGCAACGAACACCGGAGCACAAGATAATTGGGAGGACCCACTTACTTCTTGTTGTGGGACTTGCACCGGGGATTGGTTTGCCAACGAGATGAGCGCTAGGATAGCGTGTCTGAATCAGACTGATCCGGGAGCGTGCTCTACTGCTCTGGCTCCTGATCCTAAATACGCCACCGACAGAGATTCGTGTTATGACACATGCGTCGCCGGCATCAACGGCGATCCCACCAAATGTTTCCGGATGCAACCTCAAGATTGTTGCAACATCTGCTACGCCGTATCCCCGCAGGCCGGAGATTGTTCGTCTTCCGGTGACCCCAACTCTGATTGCCGTATGAAATCTATATGCTATGGTGCTTGTGCTGCCGGTTGCGTTGATCCCCCCACAGCCTCTTCCTCTGGCTGAGAACGTCTGATCATCCACATCCCAACTCCATGCATTCATGGTGGACATTTGTTTTTCTTTTTTTTATTGGCCTGGCTTTTGTGTGTGACTGTGTGTGTACGTGTTCTTTTTTTTTTGTTTTGTTTCGTGGAAAGTTGAAAGCGTGTGTGGTTTAAATTTTTGTCGTGAATACATGTGTATTGTGGTGAAATAAATAGCATTTGATGTGTGTTGTTGGTTAATTATGTTTTGGGCTATCTATATATAGATCCACTCATTCTGAAATAATTCAAAATTTCGTTTTTAATATAAACGGAACAGAGGAACAGAAGAGAGTAGTGTGTGTATATATTGGGCCTTTTTGGACATCAACTCATTTTACATTTTCACTCATTTTCCCTCTTAAACACAAAATCCAACGAAAAAGAAAATATCATTCAAACAACTTTCTGATTTACGTTTTAAATTCTAACTTAAAACACTTTTTGTTTATGTAATGACCATTTTAGAACTACAAATAGTTCAGTGACAAATTTGGCAGGATTCCGTTGTTGAGTAATTGTTTTTGAAAAAGTTCTTTTTTGCAGTAATTATAATTGACAACATTTAATTGTTTAGTAATGACTTGTACTTATATTTCAAAATGTAGTTCAAAATACTTTTTTTCAAAACCAACATCCAAACAACATTTTTATTTCCCATTTAGTTTTCAATTTAAAACACTTTCCACTTTTAAATAGTAAAATGAAATATAAATTGACGTCCAAACAAGCACTTGGTCTTTTGCATTTTTAACATACCCTCTATATGCTTATGTTGTGTGGAGTTGTTTCTTTTTCTTTCTTGTGGTTTTATACCGTTGTAAGAAAAGGCTGCATTGATTAAAATGCATGCATCAGCCGGCCATTACCCTTTCATTTACAGTTTGTATTATGTTTCTTGAGTTCAGATCTCCTGTCTCATTATTTGTGTCCCACATTTGTCCCACTCTATAAAACTAGGTACTTTTTAAGTACCAAGTCTATCAATGTATTAATAGTTAAAAAATAATACGGCTCTAAAGCCTAGTAAGCCGATTAAGACTTTGCTTTTTTATTTTCGTTCTTGATCATTATCATCATCATCGGCTCTTCATCTTCATCACACTCGTCATTCTTCATCTTCAAAACTCCCATTCAAAGGCCAAATTTAAATTAATTCCAAAGATAGCACACATTTAAACAGCAAAGATGTTTAATCTCCTCAATTCGAAGACCCAAATCTACCTTAAATCTGAACCAAGATCAGTTAATTATGAAAAGCTAATAAGGGCAATTCATTGTGCTAACAAGTTCTTAAATATGGTAATTGCTTTTGAGCTCTGCAACGTGAATCCAACTTCATCATTCTAAGAACATTACTACAAACATAAAGAATATTTGATTTCTCAAAAGAAAAAAAAATCCTGAACCATTTGATGGACGGAAATAAAAAGCCCCAAAATGTAAGAAACAAAAAGCTTTGAGGGAATAAAAGCTTAAGACCTTCAATTCTATCACTTTCAAATAAAAAAAATTCTCAAATCAAGAAACAAAGAACCCATGACATGGCGTTCCATTTCGGTGGGGTTGAGTCGGATCCCTTGACGTTGGCGAAGCGACGGAGATCGGAAGTGACAGAAGCGATCAATTTCAAATTGATGACATTGACATCGCGATAAAGATTGCCAAAATAAATTTATAATCGCTAACTAATGACGAGAGCAAAAAAGATGAAGAGCCGATGATGATGATCATCAAAGAACAGGAAAAAGGGAAAAAAAGAAAAAAAGAAAAAAGAGCAAAGTCTTAATTGGCTTACTTGGCTTTAGAGCCGTATTATTTTGTAGCTACTAATAACTTGATAGGCTTGGTACTTAAAATTACGTAGTTTTATAGAGTAGGACAAAGGTGAGACACAAATGTTGGACTAGGAGATCTGATCTCATATTTCTTCTAAGTTCTCTTCAATTTTGCTATTAAATGCAATTCTTAATTACGTTGGTGGTTTATTACTTTGTTTTGTGAAAGTACTTCCAAGTTCCACTAGTCACTGGGTCAAAAAGAAAGAACGATATAAATATATACGGAATATTTTCATAAAGAATAATGATATGTACAGGAAAAAAATGACAAAAAAAAACAATAAAGAATTGTTTATATCCGTTCACTTTTAACACTTTCCATTTGGAGTTTAAAAATTTAAAGTTAGGATATCATTTAGATGATTAACAACTCATTCCTTGTAAGTTTTTCTTGTAATTTTTTGTCTGTATGTATCACCGCTTTTCATAAATTTGAATAATGAAATAACGTACCCTAAATGTTCACATTTTGACTACAATGAGAATTAATTTTTGAGATCATACCAGAATTATTAACTGACAATTCGCACAAAATTTTCACACCCCCTTACTGGACTAATTAATCTATCTCAAGAGCGGAAACAAGTTCTAACAAATTGACCGCCTGACTCTCTTCCCCTCTCTCCCAAACTCATCTCAAAAAAATAAAAGATTAAAAGAACTTTTTTCCCCATCTTCCCACTATGGGAGGATGGGGAATTCATTTTATTCTAACTTTTTATATACACATTTTTATTTTTATCGTTCATTAAATGCGATTATTTTCTGCTTTTTCTTTGAAGTTTTGTCCTTTAATATATTATAATCTATTAATAAAGTAGGGTTCCTTTTTATTATAATATTCCTCTAATAAATTGTTTGCATTCTTTTGGTGAGGGTAGGATTTAGGCAGAGTTCGTTACCTCGTTTGTGATGTTCGTAAATTTACAGTAACAAAGTATAATACTTCACCCAACGACTTATCTTTCATATAATATACATCTGTATGAATTAACTCTAGAGAACTGGACTTTCTAGATGGAGGAGAATTTTGAAAGGAAATCCTACACTGTTTACCATAGATACAGTCAACACAAAGTTCAAGAGTAGTACCTTTCACCTCAGGGAGAAATTGCTTCTTACCAAGAATCTGTAGCCGCTTGACACTAATGTTATGGCTAGTGTTGTAACAGAGTTTTCTTGATATAAAAAAATATAATTTTTTGTATTTTCTTACTTATAAGATCGAATAAACTCTTTAAATTAATTAAATATTAATTTATCGATAAATTAATAACTCTATAAATTAATAAATTTTTAGAGGTCCAATGTATTAATTTAGAGAGATTTGATGTATATATTGTTGGGGTAAAAGGCTGCATTAATATGCATGCCCAAGCTGTCCATTGAAAACGAATGTAAGGATGTTAATTAAACCCTTTCGTTTATTCTTGTCGTTTATTAAACAATGGCGGATCTAGCGTATGGCTTAGATGGGCTGGAGCACCTCCGGCCGACGAAATTTCTTTCTCCGGCAGCCCATCCAAGCCTCAATTTATTGCAAAAGCACCTCCAAAGAAAACCCAAATGGCGTTTAGATCTAATATTAAAGTTATATATAGAATCAAATTATCAAACAAGTGACTTAAAATGAAGTTAAAATAGTCACCATTGATACCGGCGGTGATGAAGCTCAAAGTCTGGACGGAGAAGACGACTACCGTAAATTAAACTTATTTCTACACTACTGAAATTACAAAATTGGTGCTTTTGTATTAATTAACTACGAATTGACCCAATTATGTTTTCAATTTATTAAAAAAGCCCCAAAATATTGTCAATCAAGTCCAAAAACTCCAGAAAAATCACAAAATAATCTCAAATTTAAGGCTTTCTCACTATTGATTCTTCGAGTTCCTAAATTAGCAATGTTAATTAGGTTTCATTTTTTCTTGGCACTAATTTAAAATTTTTGTATCAATATTGAGATGGGGATTAAAATCGTCTTATAATCAAAACAAAGGAGTTACTATGATAAAGTTAAATAAATGTATCACTTATATCAAATAAAAATAAAAAATAAATGTACTCCCTCCATTCCAAAATAAGTGTCATTCTATAGTTTGCGTATAGTTTAAGAAAACATTAAATAAGGTAACTAAATTACTAGAATATCCTCAACCAACCTCATTAAAATAAATGTTCGCCAATAATATTATTTCTTTTGAGGGTATGTTTGGAAATTTTTGACAAAAAATGCATTTGAATCCGAAAATGACACTTATTTTGGAATTTCTCCATTTTGCCAAAACGACACTTATTTTGGAATGGAGGGAGTATCAAAGTTGCACAGAGCTGCTGGACTTGGAACATGGTGCTCCTCAGAGGATGGTTGTTTCATTCAAGCACATACTAGACGGAAATATGGCATTCAAGATGCTCTGATAGTTGAGATTTTGGCGATTAGAGAGACGCTCGATTTGACTGAGGTAGTAAAGCTTGAAAACTTTACTATTCAAGGCGATTCCGTCAATGCAATCTTAGCTCTCCAAGGAGATTATGTTTGTCCAATCATTTGCAATACATTGCTTGAAAGGATTCGGAAACGGCTTAACCAATCTTCATGTTTAGGTGTTTTCTGATGTCCTAAATTCCGTTGCCCATAAACTAGCTTTTTATACTAAGAATGATGTATTAAACTTTATTATATGGACAAGTACAACCCCGTTTTGTCAATCGCAGCAAGGCGATTCCTGGCAATCGTAATAATATACTCTCTTCTTACTCAAAAAAATATATATATATAGTTAGGACTTGGGAGAAATCCAGGTAGATCAGTCCTAATTTGATTCCCCTTTGTGTTTTTACGCCTCCATCGATAAGCTGACGGTGAGAGACCGGCTATCAAATTAAATGGTCATTTTTTTTAATGTTTCGTCGTCAATAAAATTCTATTTCCCAACCTTGCTAGCATACTAAAAAGTTCAGAAAAGTGATTCGTATCTCTTTGTTCATTATTTGAGGTTGGATATAATATGAACTTAATTACTGATCATCCCAACTGAAAAGAAAAAAAAACAATGTGATTACTGATTATCTTCTCACTGAATCCCTTCAATTGTCACCCTTACAACCTAACTACTAGTTGTGAATTGGAAATAATTTATTGAGTCAAATAACGAAATTATAATAATATGAGAGCGACACAATTGTTATCACTGTTTAGTAGCAACGCATTCAGAGAATTATTTTCGTTGAGAAAAATGATTTAACAGCAATGTAAGTATGTCAATTTGTTGTTGGTCGGTTATCATATTAAAGAGCCAGGGTCATCATTTTCAGTTGGGATATGTAATTCGTTTACTTGTTGATATTTCTCATTCAAAAAATTACTCCCTCGTTCCATAATTATTGTCCAGTTTAAGTTTTCATTTTTAGTTCAAATTGTACTAAAAATAAAATCTGAAACTGGATAATAATTTTGAGACAGAGAGAGTATTTTTTATTCCTCGGTACTGATTACAACCCAAAAATCAAAACTTTAATTGTGCAATTACGCGTGCCTTAAAATATCTTTTTGACAAGTTAATAAATTGTGAGCACCATAAA